ACAGGAAAGGTCGCCAGGTCTCCCTTTCCAAGTTTCCCAGAGGGGGAAAGTACCAGCGGGGGAGGAAGTGAGGTCCATTCCCCCGCCGTCGCCGTGGTTGGAGTCTCCCCCGGTGACACTACCTTTAGACGAGCTACCGGTAGGGGGGCGACTTCGTCCCTATGCCCACAAGTGGGTTTTCCTCAACGCAACATACATCCAACCACCCGACACATTCACCTTGATATCCCTCAGCTCTCTGCGTCGGATGATATTACCAAACGACTTCCTCGTCTCGTTAGACCTTCAGGACGCGTATCTACATGTACCAATAGCTTCCGAGTTCCAGAAGTACCTCCGATTCGAATGCCAAGGTATTCATTACCAGTGGGCGGCCCTCCCGATTGGAATTTCTACGGCCCCGTGCTTTTTCACACGGATCATGAAGACGGTCGTAGAATGGCTCCATCGGCAGGCGATCAGGGTCGCCTTCTACCTAGACGACGGGCTCCAAGCTCACCAGTTTACAGTAGCCCTTCAAGGTGAGTTGGCGACCACCCTGAGTCTACTACAGTACCTCGGGTGGATCGTCAACTTTCAAAAATCGGACTTGGTACCACCTCGGGTTCTACAGTACATTAGGATACGCTTCCAGACGGGAGTCAATCTGGTCCAGGTACCTCAAGACCGTTGGGACAAGATTGTCAGCAGCGTTCCGTGACGTCTACATGCCTCGTCGTCGGTGCACACGTGGCAGGAAGTCCTCGGTCTGTTGACATCGGCCCAAGACTTGACCCGTCGAGGTCGTCTTCAACTTCGTCCGCTGCAGAGATTGCTGTACCCCCACCTGGAGTTTCCCAATCTCCTGGTTCCACTTCCGGCGCAGCTACGTTGTCATCTGGAGTGGTGGCTCCAGCCGTCGAACGTTTGCGAGGGCGTCTTTATGAGCGAGCCTCCGTTCATACTACACCTATTCGTAGACGCGTCATTGGAAGGCTGGGGAGCGCACTTCGGGGACGACCAAGCGGCCGGGCGGTGGTCGCCAGTAGAAAAGGTCCTCCACATCAACTACCTCGAGATGGAAGCAGTGATTCGGGCGGTCGAGTTTTGGAAACTTCGACTCCGTCGGAAACGGCTGATGATACAGTCGGACAACTCCACAGTCGTCCACTGCGTCAACAAACAGGGAACAACTCAGTCGGCGGCCCTTCTGGACCAGACATTCAGGTTCTTCGCCCTCGTCGACGACTTGGACATGGGCGTACGCGCCCGTCACATCCCAGGGGCCAAGAATGTGATTGCCGACGCCCTGTCGAGACCATCGAGGCCGTCTCCCACGGAGTGGATGATCCATCCGACAGTCTTTCATCTGCTGACAGATCGACTCTGGTTGCCCCAAGTAGATCTCTTTGCTGCCCCGTACAACATCCGCCTCCCTCGATTCGTGTTGCCGGTTCCAGACCCATGGGCATGGGACCACGACGCTCTAGCGATATCGTGGGGGGTCTAGACGCTTACGCGTTTCCACCAACGGTGCTGTTACCATCGCAACTGGTGAAAGTTCGTCAAACGGCCAACCTGCGTCTGCTTTTGGTCGCGCCTTATTGGCCGGCCAGAACATGGTTCCCGGAACTTCTTCAGATCATCGTTCAACCACTGTTCCCGTTGCCAGATCGAGACGACCTCCTTCTTCATCCTCACACCGACGACTTGCATCCGGGGTTAAGAACTTCCAGCTTCACGCCTGGGTTTGCTTAAGACCTTGTTAATGAAGAAAGGCTATTCGGCTAAAGCGGCAGCGCTTGTCTCGTCGGCACATCGAGTTACGACTCGTAAGCTGTAAGATGACAAGGGGACCACTTTCTCCATTTTCGCCAGGTCTCATGGCTTCAACCCGGCGGTAGCGACCCCACCACAGGTGGCGGAGTTCCTAGTCTCTCTCCGGTCATCTCGGCGTCTGAAAGGGTCGACGATCTCGACATATCTGGCAGCTTTGGCTTCAGTAGTGCCGTCTCCTACGGGCGACAAGCTCACTAACGTACCGGAGTTGCAGAAGATTCTACGTGCCTTCATGGTTGAAGATCAGTCACGTAAATTCCGACCGCCGGCCTGGGACCTCGATGTCGTTCTGCGCAACCTGTCTAGTCAGGCTTACGAGCCTCTCGATTACGTTCGATCAGCGTAACCATGGCAACGTCCATCTTGGTCTCCGATGGGATTTTTTAGCGAAAAATTAACTTCCTGGCCTAGATCCGAGAATGTTCAACATTCCTTCCTTGTCTGCCATTATGGGCCCTCGTGATCACGCTGATCTCACCTTGTGCGCTTCGTATTTACCTGCAGCGTTCTGAACAGCGACGACAACATTTTCGACGGCTGTTCATACCGCTCTCAACCAATGCAAAGAAAGAGATTACACGTAATACTCTCTCATTTTGGTTGAGAGCGGTAATTCTCTGAGCTTACGAGGCGCAAGGACTCGCACCTCCCACCTCATCTCATCCGCACGAAGTTCGAGCCTTCGCTTCAACATTAGCACTCCACAGTAATTGTTCGCTACAAGTTATTATGGAGGGCTGCTTTTGGAGATCTACTTCAGTGTTTGCTTCGCATTATCTTAGAGATATCTCCACAGAAGAGGTTGAAGGACTCAAACAGTTTGGTCCACTCGTGGTGGCACAACAGATCTCTCAGAAAAGACAGTGAATTCGTGTTTTATTCACTTTGGAGTTTTTGCTCGACACTTCGTGACATACTACAGGTTACAATAAAAGCTGTTGGTGAATGTACGCATTCTTATGGTTTTTTGTTGCGTGCAGTACTTCTGCTTTTTATTATGGTTATTCGGTGTATGCATCGTCTTCCCATACATTATAGTACTGCTCGTATTTTTTAGTTACTTTGTATACTGCGAGTTGCTCTGTAACTAAATTATGCGCCGACCTCACTTCGATCCAGGTTCAACTGACGTGTGCAGTTGTACTGTCGCATCGATAATTAGTTGTGTGTCGATGAGCATTACCCATGCTATTTTAGTTACCTTGTCTACGGCGAGTTCTGTAACTAAATTATACGCCGACCACATTTCGATCGCAATTCAACTGACGTGTGCAGTTGTCCTGTCACTTCGATAATTAGTTGTGAGTCGAAGAGCATTAAACATGCTGTTTTAGTTACCTTGTATACTGCGAGTTGCTCTGTAACTAAACTATTCGTCGACCACACTTCGATCACAGTTCAACTGACGCGTGCAGTTGGCCTGTCGCATCAATAATTAGTTGTGTGTCGAAGAGCATTAACCATGCTGTGCGTTCGTGATAAACAACTTGTCTCGTCCGTGCATCTGGTCGAATGTTCTATTGTCACTACAGGGGTAAGGAACTTGGTACATTCGACGTGAAAGTGGTCACTGCCTGATTACTTTCCTGACCCTCCTTCCAGTGTTCCGTCGAATTCTACCCATTTGTACGACTGAAAACAGACTAAAACATGGGTTTTTCAGATTAAAAACGATGTTTTATTGGTCTGTTTTCAGTCGTACGTTCCCACCCAGCCATCCCCACAGGGAAGTAATCCAGTCCAGTCCTGCTTGATGGCTTATTCTTCGAGATTTGTGACATGTCATAGGGAGGTGCGTGCGCAACCGGACGGAAACAAGTTTAATGTTTACATTCCAGCTTCTGGCTTCCTCTAAACGTGCGACTAGACGTGAGGGTATGAGAGATACCCATTTGTACGACTGAAAACAGACCAATAAAACATCGTTTTTAATCTGAAAAACCCATTTCTCCTGGCGTATTTATCTTCCACATGCGGTTATCGAAGCCCTATGGAGTGCTAGGGATATGGTCACTTTGAAGTGTAAAGCTATATTGTCGTGCATCTCACTATCACAGTCTTAATAGTATATCTATATAATCATGCAAAACAATATGTAAACTGCATAGAAAAGCTTGCATTAGGCCTGTCTGTTCATATTTCAGAATAAGTGTATTTGTTTACATACAAGAGAAAAGTGATAAGCCTACACCTGTGGTGGGGTCACAGGAGCAGAAACTTCTCTATCAATATACCCTGTGCCTGTGCTTGGTGGGCATGGATGACCCAGCTGTCTTAGGCACCAGAATTCAATGAGACAAACTACATCCTTTAGGCATGCCAGAAACTTATCATGGGTTCAAATTCAAGTTTTGTCATACCCATGCTCTTGGTTTCAACATAGTGGTAAACATCTGAGACTCCGGGCTTTCCTTCCACATACCAGGCTCTCATGTCATAGTGAGTGAGTGAGTGAGTATGGTTTTACGCCGCTTTTAGCAATATTCAAGCAATATCACGGCGGGGGACACCAGAAATGGGCTTCATACATTGTACCCATGTCGGGAATCGAACCCGGGTCTTCGGCGTGACGAGCGAACACTTTAACCACTAGGCTACCCGACCGCCCCCTCTCATGTCATAACAGTCTCACACTCATTCTCTCATTGATTCTCTCACTTATTCTATCACTCACTCACTGTCCTTTGGCGACAGGTTTTATACAGTCTAAATATATTTCTCTTTAATGTATTACTTTCTCTTGGCACGATATGGCTGAAATATTGCCAATGTGATGTTAAATTTACCTACCTCACTCACTCACTCACTCACTCACTCACTCACTCACTCACTCACTCACTCACTCACTCACTCACTCACTCACTCACTCACTCACTCACTCACTCATAACCAATAGTCATTCAAAACCATTTCTGGCAGTTGGTATTTGCATCGTTATGCAGGCAAGGCACACTGTAATCACATGGGCAGCACATGATTACAAAAAAGTAACATCGGGTGCATATAATTGTTGAACAGGCATTTGTTGAAATGGCAGATCTATAAACAAATTACACCCCATGGCATGCACACAGCATCAGCAATAGGCGATTGCCTTACTGTTACTTATTATTGTTGAATAGCACTCACTCACTCACTCACTCACTCACTCACTCACTCACTCACCTCTATTTCCTTTGCAGCCGTCTGCTCTGGCAGTGACAAGGGGAACAACTCCGTGGGTACAGGTGTGTCGGACGAGGTTACCCACGACACCTTCACCACGTACTGGCATGAGCAGCACACTGTGCCTTTCTTCCTCATCGTCATCCTAGGACCACTTCTTAACTTCAAGTCTCCAACTTTCTTTACCAAGTTTAATTCTCTGGGTAAGTTGAAGGGAGCATTCTCCACCAAATATATCTCAATCTCCTCTTTTGTGAGGAAGGATTTACATCAACAGTTTAAAAGGTGTTTTTACATATTTTTTGTGAAATGTAATCTTTAAGGTGTCAAGTCAATTCTTAATAATACATACGTCAACAAGAATAACTACATTGACTGTTTATTTAATCATTAACAGAAAATTGTAGACATTATGAAATAATGACATCGTTCAGTACAAAGATGAAACCCAAGTCCCGCCCCCCCTATTATCAGCCAATCAGGAAACAGTAATCTACTAGTGGGCATGGCCTAATTCTTTTTTGATTGATGGCAACACATAGTTACCTGTGACAAGCCACAGATAAGACAACATTATTTTCAGAGCTGCTTTATAGACAATCAAACCATTTGAACAATATCCAGAAATTTGCAATTAGCTGGCAGAAAAATTGATTTTGTCCTAGTGAAACCTCCATAAAATGTCTTGCCTCATGATATCTGTCTGTATGGGTAATGTAAGATTGTAACTGTATTTCCCAGGAACCATATCCGTGGCCTACCTGGTGTGTTTTGTTGCTGTGAAGGCATCACACTGGAAGTTCAACATTGATTTCAACCCGAGTGATGCTCTTTCCTGGGATTATGTTGAAAGTAAGTGATGACACAACAATACGTCGGACCAAGTTTAATGTATCCAAACAATGTCATTCTATAAAACAAATAAGAAAGATCGCCTTTGTGAGACTGATCACAATATGGACATGCTCTATGTCCCATTAAATCTGGGTTACAACTGGTCTTCAGCAACCCATGCTTATAGGAGCAGGAGACTCACAGGATCAGGTGGTCAAGAAGCTGACTTGGTTGATGCATGTCATTGTATCCCAATTGTATACAATCAAAGCTCATGAAAGGTGACTATGCTTGTCGTAAAAGGCGACTAACGGGATCGGGTGGTCAGACTCGCTGACTCGCATGTCATCGATCCCAATTGCTTGGATCAATGATCATGACATTAATCACTGGATTGTCTGGTCCAGACTCGATTATTTACAGACCACCGTCATACAGCTGAAATATTGCTGAGTGTGGCGTTAAACAACAAACCAACCAAACTTATTGTAAAAAAACTAACAAGCATTAGGTAGTTACAATGCATTACCTGGCTGATTGTGTCATGGTTATCCAATTGCATGGCTGTATGTTGCTCATGCAGTCAACCACAGTCAACCATTGCCAGACAGGCCCTGGGTTTACAGGCTGCCGGGCTGGATTAATTACTATGGTTACAGGCTGCAGTGTTACAGCTGCCTGAATTACCATGGTTACAGGCTGCTGTGATGCAGCTGTGTGAATTCCCATGGATATCGGCTGCTGTGATGCAGCTGCATTAATTACCATGGATACCGGCTGCTGTGATGCAGCTGCGTGAATTCCCATGGATACAGGCTGCTGTGATGCCGCTGCATTAATTCCCATGGATACAGGCTGCTGTGATGCAGCTGCATTAATTCCCATGGATACAAGCTGCTGTGATGCAGCTGGATTAATTACCATGGTTACAGGCTTCCAATCTACAGCTGGAAGCCTGTTGCAGCATAAAACAACATTCACCCACTCAAATTACAGGCTGTTTTAGGTGTCTTTTGTGTTTCAGATTTTAAGCTGACATTCCCAGCCTTGACTGGTATAGCATCCCTGGCATATTTTGTTCAAAACTGTTGCCTGGCAATATGTAGAAACCAGAAACATCCAGAAAATAATGTGAGTAGACAAGCAAATAATGTGTGAGACTAGAAAATAATGTGTGTAGACAAGAAAATAATGTGTGTAGACCAGAAAATAATGTGAGAAGACAGGAAAATAATGTGTGTAGACAAGAAATTAATGTGAGTAGACAAGAAAATAATGTGAGTAGACAAGAAAATAATGTGTGTAGACAAGAAAATAATGTGTGTAGACCAGAAAATAATGTGTTTAGACCAGAAAATAATGTGTGTAGACAAGAAAATAATGTGTGTAGACAAGAAAATAATGTGTGTAGACAAGAAAATAATGTGCATAAATAAGAAAATAATGTGAGTAGACAGGAAAATAATGTGAATTTTAGAAAATAATGTGAGTTGTTACCCTGTCTGGCGCTCAGCGTTAAGGGGCTAAAACAAGGACTGGTCGGCTTGGAGTCACTGTACTGTGTCTGAGTGGGGTATTCATGTTAAACTGCGGCGTGGTATCTCAGTGGTTATAACACTATAAAATCGGCATCACTCCAGACTAGTACAAGCACACACTCACACTCACACTCACACTCACACTCACACTCACACTCACACTCACACTCACACTCACTCACATGCATGCATGCATGTTGCTATATAAGTGCAATAATCTTGTACGCAACATAAAGCCCCATGGCACCTCCCCTCACCTCTGAGTTTGTGTCTTGGGGAGATTCAGGGCCAGAATAGGTCCCCAGCACCCGATGCTTGTCATAAAAGGCAACTCAAATGGGGATTGGGTGTTCAAAATGAGTGACCATGTTGTTTATTTGCCATGATGTCTTGGCTCACCCTAGAAGATGCAGGACGTTCAGACAGTGATGATGCAAAACAAAGAAGACATTTTGACTTGTGACAAATTAGTGAAGCCTGGGTGCCGTTCCACAAAACGATCTTAGCGCTACGATTGTCGTAAGTCATGTTAAAGTTATGGAGTGACCTGTACAACCAGGACAGACATTACAAAACCAGGACAGACATTACAAAACCATAGCAGAAATATAATGCACCAATGCATTGTTTGTTTTCTTGATGTGGGAGTGTGTGTGAACCAACAAGTTTTGTTTCTTTCATGAACCAAACTATTCGGTTGTCTTGTTAACGCAACGTTACTGTATTTGCAGGTTCGAGATTTGACGATAGCCTACATATTGGTAGCTGCAACCTACATCTATATGGGTGCCATATTTTATGCATCATTCCCGCTTGACAAGTCTTGTATAGAGGATGTGAGTACCGTAATGAGTCCATGGATATATTCCTCCAACACTATTCATGGAAACCAGATAGACACTCTGCAGTGTTTCAGTCAGCCCATGCATTCACAAGCCAAGCAGAGTTCAAAATAGGCAGGTAGGCAGGTAGATCTCATGTTTGTCCCATAGTTACAACTTTTTATGGGTCCTTATGGCTTGTTCTAAATTTATGTGTCAATTTATTTGTCACAATAAGCTGCATTTTTTAATGAGGACCTGGAGAGTTTACTTAGGGCCTGCAGCTTCGAACGTCTGTGGGTTCTGATGGCACTCCAAGGGGGATGCTCCATGGGGGATGCTCCAAGGGGGATACTTCAAGGGGATGCTCCAAGGGGGATGCTCCAAGGGGGATACTTCAAGGGGGATGCTCCAAGGGGGATGCTCCAAGGGGATGCTCCAAGGGGGATGCTCCAAGGGGGATGCTCCAAGGGGATGCTCCAAGGGGGATGCTCCAAGGGGGATGCTCCAAGGGGGATGCTCCAAGGGGGATACTCCAAGGGGGATGCTCCAAGGGGGATACTTCAAGGGGGATGCTCCAAGGGGGATGCTCCAAGGGGGATGCTCCAAGGGGATGCTCCAAGGGGGATGCTCCAAGGGGGATGCTCCAAGGGGATGCTCCAAGGGGGATGCTCCAAGGGGGATGCTCCAAGGGGGATACTCCAAGGGGGATGCTCCAAGGGGGATGCTCCAAGGGGGATAGCCCAGATGTGTGCATAGTTCTCGCATAAGGTACTGCCCCCCCCCCCAAAAGGGAGCTCACTGTAAATGCTTACTCTTACACTTCTGGAACCCCGTGACATGAATTTGTGTGGCTGCTGACCCTTATTTACATTGTATAATTGAGAACAATAATCCATTATTGTATATGTTGAAGAGTCCAGGAATTTCTACAATAGACCTTTCATCTCTTCCTGAGAATCATTACTGATTTGGTGTGTGAATTTCAGAATCTCCTCAACAACATCAACACAAATGATGTCATGGCGTTCGTGGCACGCATTGGGCTGTTCTTCCAGATGCTGACTGTGTTTCCCCTGCTGCTGTTTATATTCAGGATTCAGTTCATGCAGGCGATCTTCAAGTCAGTCTGGCCGAGGTGAGTGTTGCCATGGAGATACTCAGCAGTACGAATCAGCCCTAGCACTACAGTCAGCGGATGTAGCCAACTGTAAACATGAAGGCCCTTATTAATAAATTAGTTGTTTTCCTCCAATATGCAGGTTTGATGTATTCTAAACTTGTTCTACAATATGACTTTGTGGCTTGGGTCACGTGGGTGATTGCATTTCATTGTTCCCCGACATTGTAGGACATAATATCAATCACAGGATTGTCTGGTCAAGACTTGATTATTCACAAGGTATTTTAGCAATAACTGTGATTTCTAAATTTGTCCTATGGTGATTGGTTGATAAATGCAAGCTAAATTCTCAAATATTTTATCACTGGTGTTGGCTTGGCCACTGTGAAACATTGCCATTTAACCAACTTTATTAACTCTAATATGGATTCTGGGGCCGATTGAGTCCCTAATATCCAGTAACCCATGGGTGTACTGGAGATTTGACTTCCAGGATGAATGTGATTAAGTTTGTTGCATGCAGGATGATGCTATGACTAGGAACTGAGATGATATGTTGCCATGGTTACAGTTGGCGCCATGTCATGATGCTCAACCTGGTGCTGATGTCTATATGTATACTATTTGCTGTCTTTGAACCACATATTGGAAGAATCATTGGGTGAGTTTTGCCAGTTTTTGCTTTGTGGTCTGTTTTTGTTTCTCACTTACTATCTTAGCCCTTGTGCACTTTTTCGTGGTAGGTCAGTACATATTCATACAACTTCTAACACTTGCACTCTTTTCAATTGGGTGAGTTTATGTCATGGCCTGTTTGTCAATGTGCATCGTGCATTGTCTGTTGCCGTCCTCAGAACCAATGAAGTTGAAACCTCCCATTCTTGTTGCCACCAATGATGACACCCCAATGTCTTAAAGAGGTTTGGATTTAAAATATAGCCGCCATGGCAGCCATATTGAAAAAAACTATTTATGTAACTATTTATATATGATAACATGACATTTTGTACAGTTCATTTTAGTTATTTATTAGTATTTATGTGGTTGGTTGGTTGATTTGTTGCTTAACGCTGCACTCAGCAATATTCCAGCTATATGACGGCGGTCTGTAAATAATCGAGTCTGGACCAGACAATCCACTGATTGATATCATGAGCATCGATCCATGCAATTGGGTTCGATGACATGCATCAACCAAGTCAGCGAGCCTGACCACTCGATCCCGTTTGTCGCCTTTTACGACAAGCATAGTCGCCTTTTACGGCAAGCATGGGTTGCTGAAGACCTATTCTACCCCGGAATCTTCACGGGTCAGTATTTATGTGGAAAATATTTGAATATCAATGGCGACATCAGCTTCTGTTCAGTTGCTGCCTTTGATTTTGTAACTGTTGACAGCTACAGTACTGGGGCATTAGTTTCACCAGTGATCTGTTGCACTGCAGTGATGCAAGACAGGATCTGCCGATCAGGGGTTCGAATCCCAGATTATGCCCCTTGGTCTGTCAGCACCATACCATGTGTCCATGGGTTTTTCAGGCTCTGTGACTCTTTCATTTCATCCTGCCGTCATGGCAGTGATTGTTGATCATGGTTTCACTGAACGGTTGCCTGGGCCGAAATTATGTTTACAGCTTATTTTTGACTGAAATGTTTAATCACTCAGTCACTCTTGTGGCAGATGTTTCTTCATGTCATATTTTTTTTCATTCAGATTTGTTGGAGCTTTTTGTGGGTTCTCGTATGCCATAGCCTTGCCCTGCCTGGTCCACATGCGAGCACTGTACTTGGGTCAGACAGGAAGCACCCTCTCATGGCCATCAGCGATATTTCACTCTGCGCTCATTCTTCTTGGTTTTGCAAACTTCGTTGGACAGTTCCTCATCATCGGCCATACATCATAGGACCTCAGACCGGTTCTCATCATTGGCCATAAAACATAGGACCTCAGACCGGTTCTCGTCATTGGCCATACATAATAGGACCTCAGACAGGTTCTCATCACTGACCATATGGCATAGGACATAGGACCAGTTCTCATCATCGGCCATACATCATAGGACATAGGACCTGTTCTCATCATCGGCCATACATCATAGGACCTCGGACTGGTTCTCATCACTGACCATATGGCATAGGACATAGGACCAGTTCTCATCATCGGCCATACAACATAGGACATAGGACCTGTTCTCATCATCGGCCATATGACATAGGACCGGTTCTCATCATCGGCCATACATCATAAGACCTCGGACCGGTTCTCATCATCAGCCATACATCATAGGACATAGGACCGGTTCTCATCATCGGCCATACGACATAGGACATAAGACCGGTTCTCATCACTGACCATAGGACATAGGACATAGGACCAGTTCTCATCATCGGACATATGACATAGGACATAGGACCAGTTCTCATCATCGGCCATATGACATAGGACCGGTTCTCATCATCGGTCATATATCATAGGACATAGGACCAGTTCTCATCATCGGCCATGTATCATAGGACATAGGACCAGTTCTCATCATCGGCCATATATCATAGGACATAGGACCAGTTCTCATCATCGGCCATATATCATAGGACATAGGACCGGTTCTCATCATCGGCCATACATCATAGGACATAGGACCGGTTCTCATCATCGGCCATACATCATAGGACATAGGACCAGTTCTCATCATCGGCCATGTATCATAGGACATAGGACCAGTTCTCATCATCGGCAATATGACATAGGACTTAGGACCGGTTCTCATCATCGGCCATATGACATAGGACATAGGACCAGTTCTCATCATCGGCCATACATCATAGGACATAGGACCAGATCTCATCATCGGCCATACGACATAGGACATAGGACCAGTTCTCATCATCAGCCATATGACATAGGACCTCAGACAGGTTCTCATCATCGGCCATAGGACATAGGACATAGGACTGGTTCTCATCATCGGCCATAGGACATAGGACATAGGACCTGTTCTCATCATCGGCCATACATCATAGGACATAGGACCGGTTCTCATCATCGGCCATATGACATAGGACCTCAGACAGGTTCTCATCATCGGCCATAGGACATAGGACATAGGACAGGTTCTCATCATCGGCCATAGGACATAGGACATAGGACCTGTTCTCATCATCGGCCATACATCATAGGACATAGGACCGGTTCTCATCATCGGCCATACATCATAGGACATAGGACCTGTTCTCATCATCGGCCATACATCATAGGACATAGGACCGGTTCTCATCATCGGCCATATGACATAGGACTTAGGACTGGTTCTCATCATCGGCCATATGACATAGGACTTAGGACCGGTTCTCATCATCGGCCATATGACATAGGACATAGGACCAGATCTCATCATCGGCCATACATCATAGGACATAGGACCAGATCTCATCATCGGCCATATGACATAGGACATAGGACCAGTTCTCATCATCGGCCATATGACATAGGACCTCAGACAGGTTCTCATCATCGGCCATATGACATAGGACATAGGACCAGTTCTCATCATCGGCCATACATCATAGGACATAGGACCAGTTCTCATCATCGGCCATATGACATAGGACCTCAGACAGGTTCTCATCATCGGCCATATGACATAGGACTTAGGACCGGTTCTCATCATCGGCCATACGACATAGAACATAAGATCTGCCCGTTTTCCACATAAATTTTACATTATTGTAGTTGACTATGTAAATTGTGTTAAGATAAGTAAGATAAGATAATAAGCTAAACTTCTCTGGCAGGAAATGCTCAGAGAATAACCAACGAGCTATGTATCCTTGTTGATCCAATGAGATTTATTTCCATTCCGTTATGTTAAATATCCTGGAGTCAGCCTCCACCCTAGCATCACGAAGTGACGTCACCACCTCCACCTCCCTTGTGATGTAACACCAGCATTTGGAGACTTTAGAATGATGGACGGCATTACCGGTGTAACATATTGTTCTCAGCAATACACCAATATGACATATTGGTTCAACTGACCAACCCTCTTTGTGAATTGCTAAAATACACATAAGCAAATCATTAAATCCACTGGTATATATTGGAACTGTAATGTGTATATGAAGGCTACCTGATACTGAAGGGATTGTATCAACATCCTTGACAATGGTTTATACGAATATCAGAAAGCTATCATTAAACCTATTGGTAATATTTTAGAACTGTAATGTGTATATGAAGGCTACCTGATACTGAAGGGACTGTATCAACATCCTTTACAATGATTGCAATTAGCAGAATTTTGAACTCATTATAAAATACAGCTGTGTGATACGAAACAACTTGAGACTGGTAGGTAACGGGTCGAGAGAATGTCCCTAGCTCTCCTGCCAAGCTACAGGAGGAGGGCATGCACTGTGGTATGATAGACAGGTAGTGTCCTGACCACTTCAATAGAGCATGTTTACCTTATGTTCACTACATATTTTTATTTTTATTTAAAGGCAATGCTTTGTGTTTAATGCTGTTATTAGGCTAGGCCAATATATTGTCTTGTTTTTCACATATTTTTGTCAGTATGCCAAGAAACAGGAAGGCAACAAACACCATATTGTTTCTTCTGTTGTGTTGATTCAAGCGTGTGGTAGATACAGGAGCTTGAGTTGTCCTGGTCCCACTTTCACAAAACGATCTTAGCGCTAAGACTATCGTAAGCCTATGTTAAAGTATGGGAGTTAAGATCGTCTTAGCGCTAAGATTGCTTTGTGCAAGTGGGCCCTGGTTATTGATAAAACTGGACGCTGTTATTGTATGTAGTCTTTGTGTTTAGGTTCTGTCAGAGACCCAACCTTGTGTTGTTGCACTTTCTGACAATTCTGAGTGCACCAACCTCACCATGTTTCCCCAAATCCTTGCCTAAAAAGTGAAATTGTTTTTATTTTCATTGGTTAGTGCTTCTGGGCCCAGTCATGGTTGGTGCGTGACATGTTTCACACAACTTCCATGGCACTGTGGTTGTGTGTAAACTGACTGTATTATGGCACTTACAGCTTCCAGAACCAATCTCACTCTTGTGACATGTTGCTATTGTATGATGGCACGTACAGCTTCCAGATGCAATCTCACTCGTGTGTACATGTTGCTACTGTAGTCAGTCATGATTAACTACAAAGCTTTTGTTCTCAAACAAATCATGCTGTTTTCCACAAATCTGCTTTTTTTGTAAGAAGGATGCATTGCTACAGCTGAACTTAATTAAGATGTTTTTGATTGTTACCATGGTAACATTTTACCTCATTAGAAATCTCACTAAGCTGAATTGTATTCTTAGGCTGTGGAACCTCATGTTGTCTCTGCAGTTGATCAGGTATGTGATCCTTAGTTATGATCATCAATTGTCTTTAGTATGTTCAATGTCAACAGTGTTTATATGAATTTATTGATAACTGAAAATGTATGATAATTATGATGATAAGAACTTTGTGGTTCATCAATCAGTTTTATCCAACCTCTTGTTGCGTGATGCTGATGTTTTAATGAGTATTTAGCTAAAAATGAAAGTCACCCTTCCTCTTTCCGTTACATCTATGAAACACCAAAAATGTTAGGCAGAATTTGAAATTATATCAATTATATTTATAACAGATAAAAGTTGTTCCTGTATTTTATTGTGCCTGGCTTTGGCACAGTTAAACACATTTTTCGTTAAAGAAAAAGGGTTTAGAGGAATGAGTTTTTAGCATCACAGTACGAAGCAAAAACCTGTTGACTGGTACTTTCGCCTTTGTGTTTTGTTATTGATCTTCACATACAGATCTGCAACCATTTCCCCTGTTGTCTCCCTCTTGATGTACACTGTCAGCGGCTTGTGATAGACCACGAGGACAATGATGGGACTATTATCACTCAACAGCAGTAATAGTAAAACGGTAAATTAGCACAGGTTTTCTTTTGTGTATTTGTCTCAAATCACGCATTTATCTCTATGTAACACAGATTCTATATCACACACTCTGTTTTAGACATTTATCGTCTTTATAACCACATAATTAATATACAATATGAGATATTTTCCAAACATAATATTTAAGTATATTTACAACATGTTATACAAATAACTTATATGACTGAATCGAAATCCAAAATCAACATACATAAGATCAATTGTTATTAAATCATCTGAGGCTGACAGACCACCTAGTGTAATTTTAATGCTACAGCTGTCATTACTACCGGGGTATGTACAGCTGGGGATAGATGGAACAGGACCCCAGTAATCCCACTTACCGTATTCAACGTAATAAGCGCCCAGGGCGCTCTCAAAATTAGAAATAGGGGGCTCTTATTAGAATATGTTTTTGGTGAAAAAAACCAGAAATGAAAGATAAATTTCGTGGTTTATGCTGACAGCCTGAAATGTTTATGTACGACAGATATATTTTTCAAGAATTTAATTGCCCATGATTAAGGGTGCATATAACACACGAGTGCGTATTATACGCGAAAAAATCGGAAGGGGTGCCAATTGGGATTGTTCACTAGCCAATATATTAGCAAATATCGCCATGGGCGCTTATTAGAACGGGGCGCTTATTACGTCGAATACGGTATAAACCTCCAGTGACGTCATGCTATTGTTCTCCAGTCGGGTTAAATCTCATAAACAGGGATGTTGTACTAGCCACAGGATTTTATATAATATTCCAGTCATATTTGCTATATAATATCCCAGGTATTTTATTGAAATAACTTCCGTTTAGATTGTAACATATGAATGTTTCTTGCGAGATATTTATTTTGCATTTCAACACAATGTAATGAAATATATAATCAAATCAAAATTTTTACATCCCCGAGGATCGAACACTCAACCTGGTATCTGTAGCCCAGTAAGTGTACCACTAGGCGACAGAGGCACTGATAAATCACAATGCTTTTAAGAATATTGTTTTCACGCCAGCAACAGATATTTTACGCCCGTTTCCAAAGGTTCATGGAAAGTATGTTTGAAACATAAAAATGTTGATAAATGTTGTTTTAATTTTCTTTTTTTGGTTTATACGTAAGATGAAACACTTCCTTCCACTTTATGATAATTAAAACCATTATTCTGCGGATTTAGGGTTTAGATATCATAAATACCCTCGGACATGGTTTATCCTACACATAAACCCATGTAATCTCACAATGTTCACCTCTTTTGAGGTTCTGTAATTATCTGTTGGTCCTGTATGTGCCTTTACCTTGTTATGCTTTCTATCAACAAATATTGATTTATTGTTCCCAATCCACCAACTCACTCCCTTGTGTACAAGCAGGGCAACAGTGTTAATGCCACTTAGCATTTACTCAGATGTTATTCTCATTGGATGTATTATTGGCAAATTAATTGAGTTATGGTGATTTAATGGTGACCTCCATGTAGAAACATGAAATCAAATTGGTCCACGTGACCCTGATAAAATACTGTGTAACCTTCCCAGGAGGGTAATAAATTTCTCAGCAGGGGAATAAATCTCTTATACCCCACCATGAGCACTACAGGCTGCACGTGGATTTCTGAGAGACAGAATAAATCCTTTATACCCCGCTTCAAAGCAAAAATCCACACGCTTTTTCCAAGCCGATAAATGTCACGTGACATAGTGCAAGCTTACCTCAGCTCAATCGAGCAGCTGTTTTCTATCAGTTTTGAATTTATTTGAATTATTTTACAATGTCATATTAAAACATGTCGGTAAGGTAAATTCGTTGAAGCAGGATCACTCTGGTTACATGGGGTTTTATGCGTCCCTTGTTTGGTTTGATACCACACGCCTCCAGCGGGACTCCGAGTGATCCTGCTACAACTTATAATAGCCACTGGTGGCGCTATGATTGAGCCTGAAAATTCCAAGGTGGAAACTGGACTTAGTCAGTTAATGCCCTTGCCTTGGGAAGATGAAATGTGCAGAAATGTTGTATTTTTGTAAGATCATTTACAGCTGGTGTCATGGTGTTCATGTCTGAAGCATCTGAAAATCTCTTGTTTGTTTATCATTGATGAAAAAAACAGATTATTACGTATGTTGAAATTATGTATCCTGTATGTACTTGATGTAAACATTTCACATAGTGCCACAGTAGCTTTCTAGTCACATTCCATTGAGCACTGTGATATTGCTGTAGTATTGCGAACTTTGTTATATATCTTCATTTAGTCTCTAGCTGTGATAAATGTACTATGTCTGCATATGGGAGAATATTGTTCAACTATCACTGAATGGACCATGGAATACTAGCACTGTATACATTGGTGGACATGATATCATCATGGTTATTCAAGGAGATTTGGAAGTGATTCTGTGGCATTTGATGGGCTAAACAAGGATGCATTTATGTTTCCATAAATCCCCCCAAAAGCCCTGTCCTCTAACTGTGTTTTGGATTGGTTGATTATAGATTGAGTGTTGCATTATTGCACAGAACGATGATGTAGATGTAGATATAGTTTTTTGTTGTCTACATATTTTTGTATGTTATTGATGAAATAAGTTGTCTGTAAAGTTATTATAGTTGGCATGACTTCAGTATGTTTTTTGCATTTATGGAGCTATAAACGTAATAACTGGTGAGCACGCTTTGTATAATATGAAGATTTACTCATTATTAACGGGGGCACGAGTGGCCCAGTCGTCTATGGCGCTGTGATTCGCTATGCACAGTTGTGTCCCTTGGGCACACCTGAAACCTATGATTGTGGGTTCGAATCCCGGTTCGCCCTGATTGTTTCAAGGTTTGTCAGCACCATACCCGTGCTAGAGGGTTTCACTGAAGTGGTAAACGTCTGAGACCTGCATCACTTTGGGCTTTCCTCCCATATTAAGCTGACACACTGTGATATAACATGAATACTGTTAAAAGCGGCGTTAAACTCACTCACTCACTTATTCACACCGTTTTGTACTTTTTTACGGTGTGCACGTTGAAAGAAATATTGAAGTTAATTTTTTCAGAAATGTACAGTTCTTGATATAACTTATATCAGTACTTCACTGGTTGATATACACAAGTACGTTCCTCCATCAGAATGTCTAATATATGGTTGAGATTGTATAGTAGTGCTTCCCATGTACTGTGCAACGCCTCCTCAGTTCAAATGTTTATCCCACGGAAGCGAGAGATTGACTCAGTGTTAACGTTTTCAAGCTGAGAAGAGCTGAGAAGAGTTGCTTCCCTCACACATGCCAGCATCCACTGATTGTTGGTTTGACTCCCAGATATACCCTGATAATGATCCTTGGTTTGTCAGCAATAAAAGTCGCATGATTCACTACAATAATCATATTTCCCATGAGTCGCTTTGTTTTTTGTCAAATATCTGATATGTACAGGGTATACTTCACATTTGAAGTTATCTTTTTATGAAAAATGTCATGTTTTGTCAGACAAATGTATTTTGGGTATATCCTGGTTCTAATTTGTACAAATGGTATCACAATATGCAGACTACTAATTTATCGTTTGGATGAGGCCCATGAAGATCCAGGTTAGAATTAGTCTTCAGAAACCCATGTAAGAGGCAACTAAAGGGATCGTGTTGTCAGGGTAGCTGACTTGGTTGATGCATGTCATTGTATCCCTATTGCACTGATTGATGCTCATGACGTCAATCACTGGATTGTCTGGTCCAGACTCGATTATTTACAGACCGCAGATGGTTGCATTTTAACACTACCTACCCACATCAGCTGATACTTGTGTGTGAGTTTGTATTAGTTTTTGTATCAATAGTGTACATTTTATATAAGACATATGTTTTGTGTATAATTTTCTACCATAAGAAATGATTTTCAAGTACATGTAATTTGAAAAATATTGTGATACAGATTTGTTATATTTGAATTGAAATAATAAAAAAAGAATTGAAAATGACTTATTTCTTTGTAAATAGCTACTATTACTGATGTGATGTGGCAGTAGAAATTCTTGTAGGTAGTGATGGTCTTCAACATCTAGTGGCCAACCTGCACCAGAAGTGATTTAGTAAATAAAGTGACCTCCCTTGGTTTTCTTGGGCGAACTTAGCGCTACAACTGTCATAAGTCTATGTTAAGATATGGGAGTTACGATCATCTTAGCACTAAGATCACTTTGTACAATGGCATCCAGGACAGCTGCATCACTTGAGTGATTGAGTGAGTGAGTGAGTGAGTTTGATTTTACGCAGCTTTTAGCAATATTCCAGCACTATCACGGCGGGCGACACCAGAAATGAGCTTCACACATTGTACCCATGTCGGGAATCGAACCCGGGTCTTCGGCATGACAAGCGGACGCTTTAACCACTAAGCTACCCGACCGCCCCGCATCACTTAAGAAGTTTCGTGATGTGACAATTTCAGTGTGGAGTGTGTGCACAGTTTGCACCCTTATACCTAAAAAACACATCACCACTTTTTTGAATGAACTGTTTATTGATTATGTTATACATATTTATGTGAATTTACAAACACATCAGGTGATTATGTACACATTGGACAAATGAATATGAAAACAACAACTTCAACAATGGAACAGTTAATATATGTCTACATCGTTCAAGCCAACATCACATACAGGGAGGCTGTTCCTACAGGTCCCAGGACACATGGTAAATATCACAGTTGGTCATAACACAGGACATAAGATAGAGAGTGATAGAGAATCTGGATCTCGGTACACTTGGCAATCTCGAATATAGGAGTTCACAGTCCTTAACACAATCATCGATGCAGAAATAAACAGGATTTAATGTAACCCAAACTTGCATAAGGTTCTGCTGTATGGCGATCTTGCTGCAGTGTTTGACAGCATCTGGTGTACTGATGGCTAAAGGGAAGCTACACCATGACCCACAGCTGCATCACTGGTGTAGTAATGCTGAGTGAGGTCTCCTGAGCTCCTGAGGTCAGACTTGGCAGGGGACTATACTTCTGGCAGGACTTCCTCCTCCTCTGCCTTGAGTCCGAGTTCCCGCAGGAAGTTGGCCTCCTCTTTCTCGTACTCGATGTACTCCATCTTAGCCTTGTACTCCAGCTCCTCCTCCGTCAACACCACGTTAGGAGCAATCTGAACATGCAAGCATTTGTATTATTATTATCATCATCATTATTATTCACTGTTTAAAATTAATGCGAACATGTTAAGGCAAGAGACTTTAGAAGATGACAAATCTCCCTGCCCCAACAAATTCGAAAGAACAAATCTGACTGTTACAGCAAGTACAACTTCATGAGGGAATTCTACCTAATCTGTCAGTCAAGAGTAGTTATAGAGCTATCAAAACAATACCATGGAATAGGGATTCGGAACTTTGTATTTCAATGTCAGATGCACACTAATATGAACAGAGTCCAAGTCAAACTTGTTGCTGTGGGAACAGAAAAGCTAAAAATTCCAAAAAATCACTACATAGCAAAAGGCACCAGTTGACAACGTGGTCTTTGTGTGTGCCATGTTTTATGAAAGAAAACCTGCTAGTTTTTGAGATATGGACAGTCGAACCACTATGAACAGAGTGATGGTCACAACCATGGAACAAAAATAGCTGTTTAGTTTTAGAGATGTGATCCAGACAAAAAATGATTGCAGACGGACAGACAAGCTGACTATGATATCCCAACGTATTACATACCGGGGGGATAAAAGACATATGAAGGAAATGTGTACTAATGATTTCACATGCTTGATGGCGTTGATGTTGCCGTGGAAAGACCAGTTGATGTTATTTTATGAAAGTTAGGTCAGAGTTAAATATTATCTTTCTCTTGGAAAGTTGAATTCTTTTCTGGCACTCATTTCATAAATTCAGTAAAACACACACTCAAGTAATAATTTCTATTGTCATTTTACTGAATTAATTCACACAGTATTGATGTGGTTAATCTGTAAATGGGAATTATCAAGGTAGATATCACTGCAATGAATTCCTTAAAATAAAAGTAACTGATCATGTAAATTTATTGATAATTGAAAATGGATAGATAGATGGATGATGGATGGATGGGATTGAGTGGTGCATATCTTGGTGGCAGGAGCAAATATTAAAAGTTTGAAACACAGACACACATGTACATATATACAACTGGGCCATACAAGGGTTATTGCAGTTGATGTGATGTCACTCACCCCAGCTTTTCGTTTTATCTCCGCCTCCAGCTCTCTCTTCTCTGTTTCTCTGAAGTCCCATCTCTGAACAACGAACCCTCGTCTCTTGACTTCCCGCTCGAAATAATTACTCACGCCATTCATCTGCAACACATTCAGACATTACAGGTATTTTTTTTATGAAAGCAGCAACAAAACCAAGGAAAGAGTTGACAAGATAATCAAATGTCAGTTTGCCAAGAAATATCAACAGACAATTAGAAATCCAAATCAAGACTGATGGAAACAAAAGGATCCGTGGATACAAACAGATTATCCAGATCATACTTTACACGATCAAGATCCTATTGTGTTAGTTATCAACAAACTGAATGATCTTTATCAACAAAGATTCCTGAATCCATTGAAGAGAATGAGAGGTGTACAGTAGGGCTGGGACAGGTAACTCAGGTACTCGGGTCGGGTGGGCACTGGGTAGGACCCAGGCATCCACAGTACTACCCAGGCAGTGTAGGGTCGAGTAATAGGGGGGGGGGAGGGGGGTCCAATGCTTCTTTGAACAATATTTCAGTTATTTCATAAGGGGGCCTAATGTCCGAAGAATGCCATAGAAAAGAATGTGAAACCCACAAACAAGTATAATGGCACTGACAGACCAAGGATATATATATTTGTGGAGAACTCAAACCTATGATTGGCAGATCCTTGCAGCACTAAGGGAGGCAAGTCAATAAATCATGACAACATGGGCCACAAGATGCCCCTTGGATCTACTGACACAAAGACCAGTTTGCACTGTATATTAATAATAGCTATATTTCACTTAGACCAGAAGAATCTGGTCGGTCAGTAGACCAGACTCCCAGCTCTACTGAGCAATGAAGCCTTCTTGTCAGATAACTACACACCTCATTGGATGTAGGTTGTCGCAGACTCCAGGGGATCTCGAGGATGTGGAGTGTCCCCGCATCGTCTCCCACGGCCAACAGCTGCTGCTTCTCTGTGTATTGGAAAGTTCCATGTGTTATCAGGCTGGTCTGTAGTATTTCAATGTTATGTGATGGAGGTGAGGTGAAATTAGATTTAACGTCACGTCCAACATTATTGCACTTAAATAGTGACGTGCATACAAGTGTGTGTGTGTGTCCACTTGTACTAGTCCTTGTCCAGTCCTTGTTTTAGCCCCTTAATGCCAAGCGCCAGACAGGGTAACAACAACAACCATATTTAAACATCTTTTGGTATAACGCGCCTGGGGATCGAACCCTGGACCTTCTGCCCTCTGGGCGGATGCACTACCACTAGACTACGGAGGCAGTCTTATATAATGGAAAGTCTGATGTGTTATCAGGCCTATCTGTAGTATTTCAATATATGGTGTGCATGCGATGTATAAGTTAACTTCTCCATCATGATACACTTTGTCATGAGAACATGAGACTATTTGCTGTAGTTTTGACTTCAATATTGATGTTTTGAATAGTTGCTGTTTTCTAAATGAAAGCAGCTTTCTCGACTTAATATATGAATAGTGAATTAATATCTGATTTCCCCAGCTATTCTTTTGAAACTTAAAAAATGAATGGCCTGATATTTCGATGTCAGAGAAAGAGACCTCACTGTAGAGTGTATTTTGAGAGAAAAGTGTAGCAGGATAAATGCAAGCCAGCTGATTTCACATAAGTTTGTTTGTTTGTTTAATTCCTGTAAAGGCGACATTTAGGTACAGATCCTTATACCGTTGTCAAGCATGCAGTCATTGGTTGGTTTGGTTTGTTGTTAAATGCCACACTCAGCAAAATTCCAGCTATATGACATTGGTCTGTAAATAATCAAGTCTGGAGCAGACAATCCATTGATTGATATCATGAGCATTGATCCACGCAATTGGGATACGATGACATGGATCAACCAAGTCATCAAGCCTGACCACCTGATCCAGTTAGACACCTCTTAAGACAAACATAGTCGCCTCTTACGGCAAGCATGGGTTGCTGAGGACCTATTCTAACCCGGATCTTCACAGGTTTCACGGTAAGTGCACATACGTGTGACTTGGAAGGGGTAGAGGGTGGTGATGGGGGATGGCGACACGCTCTGTGTGATCGAAGGCTCGTGTGTCTTGTCCAGCAGGTCCCATACATCAACACTGCCGTCCACCTTGGCAATGAAGAAGACACCGGGTCGAGAGGGTGACCAGTGGCCAGCAGACAGCTTCACGTTGGAGGCAGCAGAGAACAGGATCGGTCCACTCTGTAACAAGGGGACAGGGAATGTTTGATTAATGCTGCAGTCAGCAAGATTCCACAGTGGCGATCAAACCAGTGATTGACAGCATGAGCACTGATGGAGATCATCAGGCAAGATTCACACACTCTGAGCCATGTCACATATGGTGACCACCGAATCCTCATGTCAGACCTCTCCTTCTACAATCATGTGAAATGGGGACCTGTTCTATTAATACACAACCACCACAGGGCAACAAATGAGTGAGTTTTAACAAATATGGTCATTTATAATTGGTGTGTATGTGTGTGTGTGGGGTGGGTGTGTGGGGTGTGGGGGTGGGGGGGATGGGTGGGATGGAGAGAGAACAGGATGAAGGGAGATTCTGAAACAATGAAGAAGGGGGTTGTCAACATTTATCACAAATAACTGGGAGGGTCAGGTGGCATGACAAAATTACACAGTTTTGAATTGTAGTCATTCAGAAAAGGCTAGATGTGGATTCAGTGTGCATGTGCTTGAGTGGTGGGTGGTGGGGTAGTGGGGTGGTGGGAGTGTTGGTGTTACACTAGTACAGGAATGTGGGTCAATGTAATACTGACAAAGAGTCATTTGAATTAAGAGAGATCTATTAAAAGACATCTTCCAGAGGCAAGGGAGTTAAATGACTATAAAAGTCCATTTCCATCCTAGGAACTAGGCTGGAATTATGGAGCTATATTTTGGCTGTACTAACGAGTCTATGCATAGTCCCATCGAAATCACGTAACAAAATCATCATCCAGTTCGTAACCTGCCATGCAGGCTTCGGTCGACTGCAGGATTTGTGTACTGACAACTTAGCGTCAACAGATATTTTTCAATCATTTCATGTTTTTAATCAAGGTCTCATGTGATTTGTTGCACTTTGTGAAGTAAGATCCGCTTTATTACAATAAAGATCTTGATTATCTATCAGATCGTCTTCACTGAGCAATGCCATTTTATTTGAAGCAAATGCAAGTGATATGAGAGGTGGAATCTGATTGGTCAATAGGAAGGACATAGAAGGGACATAACTCATAATAGCCACTGGTGGCACTTTGATCAAGCCCAGAAATTCCAGCCTAGGTCAGCAAGGGTGGAAACTGGACTTTTACAGTCAGTGAACTCACTTGCCTCGGGAAAATAATTAAAAGAGAGGAATGCCTATTTCACAATCATGGTCCTAAGGGGCACGAAGACAACATTCAATGTTACTCAAGCTATTCAAGATGGGCATTACCGAAACATTTTCCTTCCACAGACTGAAGGTCCATCCTCCCACACACAACACGACCTCCTTGATGAAGGGCGACCTCTCCAGAGCTCTGACTGGTCCGTCATGGATGGAATGGTAGTACACTGGTTTTGGGGCTGCAACACAGAAACACATCTAGTACAACAGCTCTTTGATACAGACTTGTGAACTTGTTCTGTCAAGTTGACCAAGACCAAGGTGAGGGCAAATTTACCCAAACAACCCCAATGTGAGAACCCAAATCATTAGAAATCTCAATTAAGATTTCTGTCTTTTTTTTCAATGAAATAACACCTGAATTTTGGCTTGAGAAATGTTGAATAAGGAGTGAAACAATTTCATATTTGCAGTAGATATTATGATACAAACTATTAATATTATGTTGCAAGTAGTTTAGATTTTGTTTGTTTGAAGTTTAACGCCGCACTCAGCAATATTCCAGCTATATGACCGCAGTCTGTAAATAATCGAGTCTGGACCAGACAATGCGGTGACTGACATCATGAGCATTGATCCACCAAATGGGATCAATGACATGCTAAACCAAGTCAGCGTGCCTGACCACCCGATTCTGTTAGTCGGCTCTTACAAGCATAGTCACCTGTTACGGCAAGCATGGGTTGCTGAAGACTTTTTCTACCTTGGATCAACACGGGTCACAAGAAGTTTACAGTAAGTGAGTTGAGTTGAACACTACTTCAAACTATGGCATGTCAAAAGTTATGAAGATCACATTTGATGATAATGACGCTTGAATCAACACATCTACAGAGATTCTGAATATATTGCCTGCTGATTTCAACAGTTAGAACTACATGATGTCACAAACTGAAAAAATATTCTTGTAGATAGATATCATTTCCAATACATGTGAAACTACCAAACTTATCTTTGTGCTATTGATTGTAACAAGAAGACTGAGGTCTGTGTCTACAAGGAAGAAATGTTCTCACTCTGTATCTTGCCGGTGTCCTGATCTTTCTGTGGCATCCAATCCACGTACACGACTTCACCGTCCTGGAACACAGAGAACACCCACGCTATACTCATCAGGAGTTAACAAAGATTCCAAACTAAGCGCCTTGGCAGACAAATTGGGGAAAAAGTTAATTTTGTTCAAAGATGTAATTTTTGTAAAAGTCCTTATTTTCGTAACTTTATATGTATTTCAATATTTCATTCAAAGCAAAATTGTAAAACAAAAGCCTCTTCTTGTTTATTGTTCCTGTTATCAGTGAAATGCAAGTCACCTCTGCCAAGTGATAACATTAGTTATCATACGTCCATGTCAGAATGATGAGATCTGATTTGTCCACATGATCTTGATCAAATACTGTGTATCCTGCCTTGGAGGGAAATAAATTGCTCAGCAGGGGAATAAATGTCTTATACCCCGCCATGAGCAATACAGACTGCACGTGCATTTCTGAGAGACAGAATAAATCCCTTATACCCCGCTCAAACACAGGGATGTGAAATCTCCACGGAAACGCGGAAAATCTCGTTTTTTAAAACAGTAGTCCTCGGAAAAAATCATGTTCCACGTAAAAATTTAATCAAAAATTTAGAAAAAACACTCCGAAAAATATGATCGAAAACCGGACAACCGTCGCTGATTGTCCTGTTTTCGATCAGAGCTTTCACCAGCATAGGTTTTCGAACATCATACGTTTTCTATCACGAATACTTGCACTATAACGTGGGGTGTGGCGTCACACAGAAATTGTAAATACTCAGAGTCAGCTGATGGCTTGTTTTTAAGATAAAGTTGTCTTTTAGCCTGTAAGTGAATGAGATGTTTTACAGTTGTTCATGTGATTAGCGAGAAAACTATGAATGTTTCTTCAGCGTCCAAAACCCCATAACATGGGGATATATGTTGTATTAATGTCTTATGTTTGCAATGAGTTTTGTTTTTTTCATCAAAAGGTAAGTACAAGGTAAGTTTTTTTCAATATGCTTCAACATGGGGAAAGGGTCAGACATTGCACGCTTGTGACAGTTGTCCTTGTGTCTGGGGGATGGGGGTTGAAGTTTATGGCAGTATTGCTCCCAGACCTGGCGGGTAGCCAGGTGCGCGAAAGCTATGCCCAATTTTTTAAAAGTACTGATTTAACTTCGAAATTTTACTGCATCTGCCATCTTGTTTATTTGACTTTTGCCATTGACTTATTACATTTCTTGGTGTGAATATTGTCCAAACTGCACGAAATTGCTTAAAATGCAATCAAATGTTTAAAAAATTTCTGGGGGGGCATGCCCCCAGACCCCCCTAGACTTTTCCTCTTTTTTCGGGAAAACCTGCTCACATCCCTGCAAACATAAAGTCACACGCTTTTTCCGAGTCAGTGGAAGTCGCATGACATAGCACAAGTAAACCTCAGCTTAATCGAACAGCTGTTTCCTATCAATTTTGAATTTGTGTTAATTCTTTTACAATGTCACATCAAAACATGTTGGTAAGATAAATTTGTTGTAGCAGGATCACTCAGGGTACGTGGAGTTTTAAGTGTCCCTCGGTATAAAACCTAACACAGGACACATAAAACCCCATGTACCCCTCGTGATCCTGCTACAACTTATATCATTACTACAATAACATGACTAGGCACATAATTAATTCAAATCTGGAAACTTTTACTGACATTTGCTTCAGATTGTGGGCTTAACATCGGCCTCTCAGCAGGTCTACATGATTCCATGCTCCAGCCAAACTGAACACTTACAGTAACAATTTATATGGATTGATGATACATGTATTACGTTTTATACAGACTTGAGACATGAATGTCATCTATAAATTCTCCCACTTTAGTTCAAGCATGAACTGTTTATGACTTTTGCTGAAAAGCTGCCTGTATATATTCGTAAACTACTCAATTAATTACAGACTAAATTGATCAGAAACAAATGTGGAACCAAAATCAACTCTCTGCTTAGGCTTAGCAAAAGGTACATCAACAATATCAACAACAAAAATTAAAAAAAGAAAAAAAGACAAAAAAAAGGCAATATCTAATCCTGCTTCTCCCCTCCCCCACCATGTGTCAATGAGTCTCACCTCTGTGCCCACATAGAAGTGGGTGTTGACAGACTGAAGCGTCTTCTTCTCTTTTCCTGATCCAGGCTTGTTGCTCCCAAAGGAAAACCCTCCTGACTGACTCTGGTCTTTGTCCACACTGTCTGTTGCCTTGGCAACTGCAGAGGTACAATATATGGTAGAATTCTTTCTGAGAGGTCACTCTACTTGTCATTAATATTATGTCCAAATCAAATTTGAAGGACATCTCTTAAACACGTTTCCTTCACTAAAATAGCCTTACATAAATATTGCACACATCTCCAAATTTATGTAATTAACTCTGTTACCGACACATTTAATGATTTCCTGCATACAAGTACGACAACAGAACAGTCTAATAATCTCCCTCAGTAGAATTATTTTAACTGAGTCAAGGATTACTGAGGGTACTGAAGGAATGTTGATTAGATTAGACCACAAACTCAAGGATTACTGAGGGTACTGAAGAAATGTTGATACGACCACAGAGTCAAGGATTACTGAGGGTACTGAAGGAATGTTGATTAGACCACAGAGTCAAGGATTACTGAGGGTACTGAATGAATGTTGATCCGACCACAGAGTCAAGGATTACTGAGGGTACTGAAGGAGTGTTGATTAGACCACAGAGTCAAGGATTACTGAGGGTACTGAAGGAATGTTGATCCGACCACAGAGTCAAGGATTGCTGAGGTACTGAAGGAGTGTTGATTAGACCACAGAGTCAAGGATTGCTGAGGGTACTGAAGGAATGGTGATTAGACCACAGAGTCAAGGATTACGGAGATACTGAAGGAATGTTGATTAGACCACAGAGTCAAGGATTGCTGAGGTACTGAAGGAATGTTGATCCAACCAGTCAAGGATTACTGAGGGTACTGAAGAAACACTGATCCAGCCAGAGTCAAGGATTACTGAGGGTACTGAAGGAATGTTGATACGACCACAGAGTCAAGGATTACTGAGGTACTGAAGGAATGTTGATTAGACCACAGAGTCAAGGATTACTGAGGGTACTGAAGGAATGTTGATCCGACCACAGAGTCAAGGATTACTGAGGGTACTGAAGGAGTGTTGATTAGACCACAGAGTCAAGGATTACTGAGGGTACTGAAGGAATGTTGATCCGACCACACAGTCAAGGATTGCTGAGGTACTGAAGGAATGCTGATTAGACCACAGAGTCAAGGATTGTTGAGGTACTGAAGGAATGTTTATTAGACCACAGAGTCAAGGATTGCTGAGGGTACTGAAGGAATGTTGATTAGACCACAGTCAAGGATTACTGTGGTACTGAAGGGGTGTTGATTAGACCACAGAGTCAAGGATTGCTGAGGTACTGAAGGAGTGTTGATTAGACCACAGATTCAAGGATTGCTGAGGTACTGAAGGAATGTTGATCCAACCAGTCAAGGATTACTCAGGGTACTGAAGGAACACTGATCCAGCCAGAGTCAAGGATTACTGAGGGTACTGAAGGAATGTTGATACGACCACAGAGTCAAGGATTACTGAGGGTACTGAAGGAGTGTTGATTAGACCACAGAGTCAAGGATTGCTGAGGTACTGAAGGAGTGTTGATTAGACCACAGATTCAAGGATTGCTGAGGTACTGAAGGAATGTTGATCCAACCAGTCAAGGATTACTCAGGGTACTGAAGGAACACTGATCCAGCCAGAGTCAAGGATTACTGAGGGTACTGAAGGAATGTTGATCCGACCACAGAGTCAAGGATTACTGAGGGTACTGAAGGAGTGTTGATTAGACCACAGAGTCAAGGATTACTGAGGGTACTGAAGGAATGTTGATCCGACCACACAGTCAAGGATTGCTGAGGTACTGAAGGAGTGTTGATTAGACCACAGAGTCAAGGATTGCTGAGGGTACTGAAGGAATGGTGATTAGACCACAGAGTCAAGGATTACTGAGATACTGAAGGAATGTTGATTAGACCACAGTCAAGGATTGCTGCGGTACTGAAGGAATGTTGATCCAACCAGAGTCAAGGATTACTGAGGGTACTGAAGGAACACTGATCCAACCAGGGTCAAGGATTACTGAGGGTACTGAAGGAATGTTGATTAGACCACAGAGTCAAGGATTGTTGAGGTACTGAAGGAATGTTGATCCGACCACAGAGTCAAGGATTACTGAGGGTACTGAAGGAGTGTTGATTAGACCACAGAGTCAAGGATTACTGAGGGTACTGAAGGAATGTTGATCCGACCACAGAGTCAAGGATTGCTGAGGTACTGAAGGAGTGTTGATTAGACCACAGAGTCAAGGATTGCTGAGGGTACTGAAGGAATGGTGATTAGACCACAGAGTCAAGGATTACGGAGATACTGAAGGAATGTTGATTAGACCACAGAGTCAAGGATTGCTGAGGTACTGAAGGAATGTTGATCCAACCAGTCAAGGATTACTGAGGGTACTGAAGAAACACTGATCCAGCCAGAGTCAAGGATTACTGAGGGTACTGAAGGAATGTTGATACGACCACAGAGTCAAGGATTACTGAGGTACTGAAGGAATGTTGATTAGACCACAGAGTCAAGGATTACTGAGGGTACTGAAGGAATGTTGATCCGACCACAGAGTCAAGGATTACTGAGGGTACTGAAGGAGTGTTGATTAGACCACAGAGTCAAGGATTACTGAGGGTACTGAAGGAATGTTGATCCGACCACACAGTCAAGGATTGCTGAGGTACTGAAGGAATGCTGATTAGACCACAGAGTCAAGGATTGTTGAGGTACTGAAGGAATGTTTATTAGACCACAGAGTCAAGGATTGCTGAGGGTACTGAAGGAATGTTGATTAGACCACAGTCAAGGATTACTGTGGTACTGAAGGGGTGTTGATTAGACCACAGAGTCAAGGATTGCTGAGGTACTGAAGGAGTGTTGATTAGACCACAGATTCAAGGATTGCTGAGGTACTGAAGGAATGTTGATCCAACCAGTCAAGGATTACTCAGGGTACTGAAGGAACACTGATCCAGCCAGAGTCAAGGATTACTGAGGGTACTGAAGGAATGTTGATACGACCACAGAGTCAAGGATTACTGAGGGTACTGAAGGAATGTTGATTAGACCACAGAGTCAAGGATTACTGAGGGTACTGAAGGAATGTTGATCCGACCACAGAGTCAAGGATTACTGAGGGTACTGAAGGAATGTTGATCCGACCACAGAGTCAAGGATTACTGAGGGTACTGAAGGAGTGTTGATTAGACCACAGAGTCAAGGATTACTGAGGGTACTGAAGGAATGTTGATCCGACCACACAGTCAAGGATTGCTGAGGTACTGAAGGAGTGTTGATTAGACCACAGAGTCAAGGATTGCTGAGGGTACTGAAGGAATGGTGATTAGACCACAGAGTCAAGGATTACTGAGATACTGAAGGAATGTTGATTAGACCACAGTCAAGGATTGCTGCGGTACTGAAGGAATGTTGATCCAACCAGAGTCAAGGATTACTGAGGGTACTGAAGGAACACTGATCCAACCAGGGTCAAGGATTACTGAGGGTACTGAAGGAATGTTGATTAGACCACAGAGTCAAGGATTGTTGAGGTACTGAAGGAATGTTGATTAGACCACAGAGTCAAGGATTACTGGGGTACTGAAGGAATGCTGATTAGACCACAGAGTCAAGGATTGTTGAGGTACTGAAGGAATGTTTATTAGACCACAGAGTCAAGGATTGCTGAGGGTACTGAAGGAATGATGATTAGACAACAGTCAAGGATTACTGTGGTACTGAAGGTAACTGTACCATGTTAACTAAGACTTGAGATATTTGAATAGTGATTTATTTGCTTTCTGAACAAATTAGTAACATTGAAATATTGTTTGAATAATAACAATGCATTGTATTGAATATTCATGTATGACACTGGTGATTGTGTATCACAGTACTGTTCATGGACTGTTACACAAAACTACCCAGCTGGTGTAGCATGTTCAGTCAATGTTGACTGCAATCAGCCCAGAGTTTGTCCAGGTATTCTGGCATCTACACAAGCATCAAACTACCTAGCTACAATGAGAGTGAGTTGAGTTTAAAGCCGATTTTAACAGTATTCCAGTTATATAACGGCGGGTCAGCTTAATGTGGGAGGAAAGCCCGAAGTGATGCAGGTCTCAGACGTTTACCACTTCGATGAAACCCACGAGCACAGGTATGGTGCTGACAAACCCTAGAAACATCGGGGCGAACCGGATTCAAACCCACAATCATAGGTTTCTGGCGTGCCCAGGGGACGCAACTCTGCACAGCGAATTACGGTGCCTTAGACAACTGGGCCAGCCGTGCCCCCACCTTGCTACAATGTTCCACCATGGTACATCAGTGTCTACATGTCTATAGGAAGGACTGTCAATGTTAACGATGACACCTTGAGGCAGATAATCTAATTAATCTAATGCCAACTGCTACGACTAAAAGCTAAGCTTTTCTCTAGGACTTACTGTCTTCTGGTTTTTCTTCAAAAATATTGTCTATACAAACGAACAAATATCACAAAAATAATTTTTAAGATGAGCAACTAAACAAAAAGCTTTTTCTTAAATGAAATATTGATAAACATTCATTTAACCATTTTACTATACAGGCATAATTGAAACAAAATGAGTGAACAATGCAGTGAATTCACTTTTCACTGAAAGTAAAGGTTGTCGTATTTATTGATTTTAAACAATTACAATGATGTCACGCTATTGTTGTTGCAATTGATTCTAATTCAGAATTAACAGATTTGAGTTTCTCCGGCTTTAACCATGTTATGGTTGAAGTAATTTCTCTATAATTGTACATAATGACATAATATATTCCAATATCTTGTTATTTTAGTTGCAGCTTTTACTAAATATATTTAAAATAATTATAACCCAAAGCAAAGCAGCTGATTGCTATTGCCGGTGATTATTTTTCACATGGAACCAGTTTGACCAATCATCGTCGAGGCTCCCACGCACTTGATCACAAGAACTATGTGTTGACATAGAATCGTCAAACTATAACAAATATAGCAGTACATGGCCACATAGAACAGAGACAACCTCACCATGAAATACCACATACACACTGTACAAACACAGCAAAAAGTTCTCCAATATATACACTTTACAACATTTAGTGATAAAAAATGTCTGAGATGAAAATATTTGTAACTTCTGCAACTTTGACCAAACAACTAGATTCACCCTTTCTTGTGTACATGTAATATGATTCTAGAATGAATAATTGCTTGAATGAAACCATCATCTTATTAAATTTGTTACATAATTTGTTTAATCATGTTCTTCAGGATGATATATTTATATATTAAAATCACTTGTATAATATTTATCATATATTTTTATTTCAAAGATTCTCCAAGAAACAGTTTCAGTGCATGATGATTAACATATTGCCTCCAGAAATAACAATACTACAAACTTTGAAGAAACATTTATATTGAAGCTTGAAGCATAAAACAAAAAAACACTACTGAATGATACATATATATGCCTACTTTATGCACAACATGCCAACAATAAGCACAATATGGCTAATATGTAAAATGTGCCTACAATATGTATGCATGGAAACAGTTTCTATGCGTATCTATCAAACCACGCCAAAAAAGACATTTTGATCTGTCCCCATGCCCCAACACACACACACAATGAACATCCTACAGCAACTTACGTGCTGATCCGTCCCCTGACCCTACAAACACATAATGAACATCCTACAGCAACTTACGTGCTGATCCGTCCCCTGACCCTACACACACACAATGAACATCCTACAGCAACTTACGTGCTGATCCGTCCCCTGACCCTACAAACACACAATGAACTTCCTACAGCAACTTACGTGCTGATCCGTCCCCTGACCCTACAAACACATAATGAACATCCTACAGCAACTTATGTGCTGATCCGTCCCCTGACCCTACAAACACCTGATGAACATCGTAAGGCAACTTACATGCTGATCCGTCCCCTGACCCTACAAACACATAATGAACATCCTACAGCAACTTACGTGCTGATCCGTCCCCTGACCCTACACACACTCAATGAACATCCTACAGCAACTTACGTGCTGATCCGTCCCCTGACCCTACACACACACAATGAACATCCAGCAGCAACTTACGTGCTGATCCGTCCCCTGACCCTACAAACACTCAATGAACATCCTACAGCAACTTACGTGCTGATCCGTCCCCTGACCCTACACACACACAATGAACATCCTACAGCAACTTACGTGCTGATCCGTCCCCTGACCCTACACACACACAATGAACATCCTACAGCAACTTACGTGCTGATCCATCCCCTGGCCCTACACACACACAATGAACATCCTATAGCAACTTATGTGCTGATCCGTCCCCTGACCCTACAAACACATAAAGAACATCCTACAGCAACTTACATGCTGATCCGTCCCCTGGCCCTACACACACCTGATGAACATCGTAAGGCAACTTACGTGCTGATCTGTCCCCCTGCCCCTACACACACCTGATGAACATCGTAAGGCAACTTACGTGCTGATCTGTCTCCCTGCCGCTACACACACACCTGATGAACATCGTAAGGCAACTTACGTGCTGATCTGTCCCCCTGCCCCTACACACACCTGATGAACATTGTAAGGCAACTTACGTGCTGATCGGTCTCCCTGCCCCTACACACACCTGATGAACATTGTAAGGCAACTTACGTGCTGATCTGTCTCCCTGCCCCTACACACAGCTGATGAACATTGTAAGGCAACTTACGTGCTGATCTGTCTCCCTGCTCTACAAACAGTTGATGAACATCGTAAGGCAACTTACGTGCTGATCTGTCTCCCTGCTCTACACACAGCTGATGAACATTGTAAGGCAACTTACGTGCTGATCTGTCTCCCTGCTCTACACACAGCTGATGAACATTGTAAGGCAACTTACGTGCTGATCTGTCCCCCTGCCCCTACACACACACACCTGATGAACATCGTTAGGCAACTTACGTGCTGATCTGTCCCCCTGCCCCTACACACACCTTATGAACATTGTTAGGCAACTTACGTGCTGATCTGTCCCCCTGCCCCTACACACACACCTGATGAACATCGTTAGGCAACTTACGTGCTGATCTGTCCCCCTGCCCCTACACACACCTTATGAACATTGTTAGGCAACTTACGTGCTGATCTGTCCCTCTGCCCCAACATATACACACCTAATGAACATCGTTAGGCAACTTACGTGCTGATCTGTTCCTCTGCCCCAACACATACACACCTAATGAACATCGTAAGGCAACTTATGTGCTGATCGGTCCCCCTGCCCCTACACACACACACCTAATGAACATCGTTAGGCAACTTACGTGCTGATCTGTCCCTCTGCCCCTACACACACACCTGATGAACATCGTTAGGCAACTTACGTGCTGATCTGTCCCTCTGCCCCAACACACACACACCTAATGAACATCGTTAGGCAACTTACGTGCTGATCTGTCCCTCTGCCCCAACACACACACACCTGATGAACATCGTTAGGCAACTTATGTGCTGATCTGTCTCCCTGCCCCTACACACACACCTAATGAACATCATTAGGCAACTTACATGCTGATCTGTCTCCCTGCCCCTACACACACCTAATGAACATCGTAAGGCAACTTACGTGCTGATCTGTCTCCCTGCACCTACACACACCTGATAAACATCGTAAGGCAACTTACGTGCTGATCTGTCTCCCTGCCCCTACACACACCTGATGAACATCGTTAGGCAACTTACGTGCTGATCTGTCCCTCTGCCCCAACACACACACCTGATGAACATCGTTAGGCAACTTACGTGCTGATCTGTCTCCCTGCCCCTACACACACCTAATGAACATCGTAAGGCAACTTACGTGCTGATCTGTCTGCCTGCCCCTACACACACCTAATGAACATCGTAAGGCAACTTACGTGCTGATCTGTCTCCCTGCCCCTACACACACCTAATGAACATCGTAAGGCAACTTACGTGCTGATCTGTCTCCCTGCCCCTACACACACACCTAATGAACATCGTTAGGCAACTTACGTGCTGATCTGTCTCCCGGCCCCTACACACACCTAATGAACATCGTTAGGCAACTTACGTGCTGATCTGTCTCCCTGCCCCTACACACACACACCTGATGAACATCGTAAGGCAACTTACGTGCTGATCTGTCTCCCTGCCCCTACACACACACACCTGATGAACATCGTAAGGCAACTTACGTGCTGATCTGTCTCCCTGCCTCTCCTGTATGGTGAACTTGGTAGCACTGTGGTCACCGCCTGGCTCAGACTTGTGAAGGTTCACCTGTACAGGAGGTCGATGCTCAGCAATGGTTAGCTACAAATGTTCTTATATAGAGGATATTATATTCATGTTTATGTAATACTATGTTTACGACACGACTGTCTATTTTCCGATATTTACGATAAATACTAGAATTTAGGCACAAGTGATGTAAACATAATATGACATGAACAAGAATATAATGTTCAATTATTTCCTAAGAAGATGTCTACATACAGAGACAAATTTCAGAGTTTACCTATACAGACAGCAAGTCACAATATTCAGCTATTACATAGTTTCTAGTGTGACATCATTCCCAAAGTCACAATAAGATTCGAATGACGTCATCAATGCCGTCTGGATGCCGTCTGGATGACATGGCGACAAGGCTACTACTGTATACGAAAAGTCACAAAAAAACAACCCAACTCTAAACACTACAAAGAACAATGAGAAAAGGCAAACTAGAAACTAGTATGAGTGAGTGAGTGAACACTGAACAGTATTTTAGTTATATCACCGTGTATCAGCTTAATGCAGAGACCTACAAGCACAGGTACGACACTGACAAACCAGGGATTGCGATCAGGGTTAATCTACGATTCAAACCCAGGCTCCAGTTCCACAAAGCAACCATAGCGCTAAGGTGATCTTAACTCCCATACTTAAGCTGACTTACAATAGTCATAGCACTATGATCACTTTGGGGAAAGCATGGTTCATGGATGCAGCTCTCTAAGACCACAAGGCCAGCCGTGCCCCTGCTAATCTGAATAATTGCATGAGTGAGTGATTTTGTGGTCTCACCCTGAGATGGGGCTTCCACTGAAGGTCAAGGTGACGGAAGGTGTTAGCGATGCCCATTGGGTTCTTGGGGCCTTTGTCATCATCCTTCCCCTGTTGGCCTTTAGACGGCCTTGTGTCCCAGAACATCACACAGCTGGAGGTGCAAACAAACATCATGAGGAACAAGATAGTTGCATGCGCAAATCTTTGCACATCTAATCTATCATAATCTAAAAGGGTACTTCTTACACTTCAATATAACAAATTATACAGGATAGGAGTTCCTTTCTCACAAGCATTGATAATAAACAATACAATGATCAGTTCACCATTACTATCTTGGTTCTGATTACAGGTGCCCCTGATATAGTTGTCATCTTGAATCTATAGACTTTATGGAAGGAATGACATACCGTAAATGACCGCGTATAAGCCGTATTTTGAGGACCAGAAAAAAGATTCTGTAGAAAGGGGTCGGCTTATCCACGGGATACACTTTCATGATAGTATTTTTCAGATCGTGATCTGTCAGAAACATCGCCTGGGTGACGGTCCGATAGCATACAACTTCTCGAACGTTTGGAAGTTGCCACGACTAGAGCCATTATTGTTATAAATCATGAATAAAGTTATTATTATACACCAATGTTGTCATTATTAAAACAAATGTTATGCATGTAACTACTTCCGATAATAAGTTTTCAAAGTTCAAAGTTTATCGTTCTTCATAAACTCCACAATCTTTACATGTAACAATATAAGTAATTCACAGCTATAATATATAATCCCCAGATGAAATCGCCAATAGCTATTACATACGTTTTACTGCAAATACTATTTTTCACTGCTTTTACATGAGCAAATATGGGTTTTTCAGATTAAAAACGATGTTTTATTGGTCTGTTTTCAGTCGTACAAATGGGTATCTCTCATACCCTCACGTCTAGTCGCACGTTTAAGAGGAAGCCAGAAGCTGGAATGTAAACATTAAACTTGTTTCCGTCCGGTTGCGCACGCACCTCCCTATGACATGTCACAAATCTCTCATGATCACGTAAGAGTGACGTAAGGGATGGGATGGGTAACTCGGGTTGGGTGGTTCCTGAGTAGGACCTGGGTACCCACAGCACTACCGGGACCCACGGTAAGATGCGTAATATATTGTTGCTTATCGGTGTATCAAATAGGCCTCGGTACTCGGGTCAGGTCGGTCCTGAGTAGGACCTGGGAACCCACAGTACTACCTGGACCCGTGCTTAGTCACATGATATATTCTTTAATGACAAAAAATCACTATAGCTCAGTGGTTAGACAACAAGTTACTAATGTTTGCATTTCTTTGCGATGATGCACACATTCCTTTTGACATGTTTATGTTTGAGTGAAGCTAAAGGTTCAGTCAACTTCAGTGTACGCAAGATCTGATCATTTGATACATGTATCTAAATAGTTCTTGCCAGGGCTGCGGTAAAACAATTCCCAATCGGACATTTCCTACCCAACTCTTGAGACCTACAGTGGGTACCCAGGTAGGGTAGGGTAATAAGGGGTCAGGTCCCAGCCCTATTTTACGTTACCAAACAATATTTGAGCCATATCATGGTGAGCATCACCAAGACCAGGGCTCATGCTAGGAATCAGTCCTGGATCTTCAGCATTATGAGCAAATGTTTTAAAATGTCATATCACAGCCGACACATTTCATCAAAGTACTTGACTACCTGATGAAGATGAACATTATCTGAAAGATTATCCAGCTAGTATCATTATTACATGAATTTACTTACTGGTCAGTAGCACAGGACATGATCTGGATACAGTTGAGGGATCGGTTCTCTTGTGGAATGCCCATTCTGTTTACCTGTTTTCAAAAAATAAAACCATATATTTAATGTAATCAGAATAGTAACCTCACAATGACACCATGCTATCAGCCTCACACTGACATACTGCTATTAGCCTCACACTGACTCCCTGCTATCAGCCGCACACTGACACCCTGCTGTCTGCCTCACAAAGACACCCTGCTATCAGCCTCACACTGACACCATGCTATCAGCCGCACACTGACACCATGCTATCAGCCTCACAATAACACCATGCCATCAGCCTCACACTGACACCCTGCTATCAGCCTCATGTTGACACCATGCTATCAGCCTCACAATGACACCCTGCTATCAGCCTCACAATGACACCCTGCTATCAGCCTCACAAAGACACCCTGCTATCAGCCTCACAATGACACCCTGCTATCAGCCTCACAAAGACACCCTGCTATCAGCCTCACAATGACACCCTGCTATCAGCCTCACACTGACACCCTGCTATCAGCCTCACAAAGACACCCTGCTATCAGCCTCACAATGACACCCTGCTATCAGCCTCACACTGACACCCTGCTATCAGCCTCACAAAGACACCCTGCTATCAGCCTCACAATGACACCCTGCTATCAGCCTCACAATGACACCATGCTTTCAGCCTCACACTGACACCCTGCTATCAGCCTCACAAAGACACCCTGCTATCAGCCTCACACTGACACCATGCTATCAGCCTCACACTGACACCCTACTATCAGCCTCACACTGACACCCTACTATCAGCCTCACAAAGACACCCTGCCATCAGCCTCACACTGACACCCTGCTATCAGCCTCACACTGACACCCTGCTATCAGCCTCAAACTGACACCCTACTATCAGCCTCACACTGACTCCCTGCTATCAGCCTCACACTGACACCCTGCCATCAGCCTCACACTGACTCCCTGCTATCAGCCTCACACTGACACCCTGCTATCAGCCTCACACTGACACCCTGCTATCAGCCTCACACAGACACCCTGCTATCAGCCTCACACTGACACCCTGCTATCAGCCTCACACTGACACCCTGCTATCAGCCTCACCTCCATGTGGTCAGGCACCCACTGTATGTCTGTGATGGCTGCCTTGTGGCTCTGCTCTATACTGGACACTGCACAGTACCTCACTATGGGGGTCTTCAGGGCATTGGGGTCCTCAAATCCTGGCTGAAATACAGATAGCAACATAAATATCACAAAAACATACTCATAATAGAACAAAAAATATAAAAACAAATACCAGAGCAGGTAAGAATGGTGTCATGCTGCATTGGCAATATTCCAGCAATTGTCATGCTGTGGATGTTGAGATTTTAACCATATAGGAAATCGAACCCAGTGCAAAAAACATATCCTTTGTTGTCTCAAGAGCATTCTACTCACCAACACATTCTTCTCTTTCTTCCTGTGACCTCCTCGAGGCGCTTTCAGTCGATCAGCATGTGCTGAGATATCCCATAATACCACTTGACCATTGCAGCAGCCGCCAACGATGATGTTGGGGTCGACTGGATTGAACTGGAAACTGTAGATGTCATCCGGGGCCTCTAGCAGAAGCTGCAGAGGTCAAGCACACAAAACATGTTAATATAGTCAGAATATTTTAGTGTAACTATTGCTATCTCAAACTACAAATTACATTGATTTTGGCAGAAATTCTGTAACGGTTGATTTTATTTGCTTTGAATTTTTATAAAGACAATATACATTTCAAGTTTCGGTGTAGGATATCTTGAGATGTGGGAGTTTCATAGTGGGATTGGGAAATCCTTGAAAGTGCTAACATCAACACGTCAAAAGAATTTGGTGTCTGAATTTTACTTTTTCAAGTTGTAATAAGACAAAAATTCTAACACGTTTTTTCATAAACAGCACAAAACAATGACCAAATGATGTTTATGAATGTGAGCAACTTGGATTTTGGGCTGTGTTGCAAACTGCTTGACTATGATGTCAATAACTCCTAGAGAGGGGCTTGAAGGATGTGCTATTTTCTGACAGTATTGACTCATCGATGACCCAGGGTTATACAGAGAGGGGTCAGTGGGGATGATTAACAACTTGTCATATCAAATTAAGCAGGAGAGAGGCTTTGAATTGAAATGGCAAGGATGAAACTCTCAAATTACTCTTCATAGAATAAATAATAGTGTAACTTTTATTGCTGGAATATCATGACTAAATGAGGCCAAGAAATTTATCGAATAATATGAGATACAAAAAATGTTTATTATCAAATACTACACATAAGAAGTTAAAGAGCACCTGATTGTTTAGGATTACTTTAGTAAATCTGTTATTGCAGATTAACTATAGCAATATGAAAGAATCAGGTCATGACATATTGACCAAACTAATATGGAAGAATCGGGTCTTGACATATTGACCATAGTAATATGGAAGAATCGGGTCTTGACATATTGACCATAGTAATATGGAAGAATCGGGTCTTGACATATTGACCATAGTAATATGGAAGAATCGGGTCATGACATACTGACCATAGTAATATGGAAGAATCGGGTCATGACATATTGACCATAGTAATATGTAAGAATCGGGTCTTGACATATTGACCATAGTAATATGAACAAAATCGGGTTATGACACATTGACCATAGTAAAATGAAAGAATCAGGGTTCCTCAACTTATTTGGAGTGGTATATGTCCACATTCCAACATCAATATGCAAATATTATTCAAGAAAATTCGAACATTTTTTTAAGCACATCATCAATCACATACTTGTGTAGAAAGATATATGTAAGTTAGGCTTTTGTCTCATGGGTGGACAATTTAGTCAAGGTTGGTTCACAACAACAATGTTATGCATGAAGAACATGGCTGATGAGGACAGATGTGAACATGCATGTCAGATAATGCAGTGCATGAAAGTAGTGCATTGTTTGTACTGGGTATATGATACAACAGACAGGCAGCTACTCATACTATACTAAATCATGTTATTCTATGTCTAGGACTACGCACCTCTGTATCACCAGGGCTCGCATTACAGCAAACCTACACTTAGCCCTGGATCCATTCAAATGGTTCTCGCGATCTCAAATTACCCGCCCTTGATTTTCATGAACATTTTGCTGACCAATGAAACATTGAGATAAGGAAAAAGGAAATGGGTAACTTGTTTGCCATGTTGTGGCTATAACGCCAACCCAACATTGAGGTTGGTTTGTAACTCTCATTCTTATTGGTACGTTAGATTGAGTAGTGTAGTAAATCAAAGTTGCTAATGAGTGAGTGAGTTGGGTCTAACACCGCTTTTAACATTATTCCAGATATATCTTGTGTCAGCTTAATGTGGGAGGAAAGCCTGAGGTGATGCAGGTCTCACACATTTATCACTTCGGTGAAACCCCTGATCAATGGCATGGTGCGGACAAATCTAGAAACATAATCGGGGGAACCGTAATTCGAATCCACAATCATAGGTTCTGGTGTGTCTAAGAGACACAACTCTGCACAGCGAACTGCGGCTTAGACGACTTGGCCACCCGTGCCCCCCCAAATTCGCTAATGAAAATCAAGGGCGGGTAATTTGAGATCACGAGACCCAAGGGAAAGGATCTAGGGGTTAGTGTATGATTACCGAAAAGTGAGCCTGGAGAAATAGAGGATGGGTCTACATGTACAGAAAGACAGCAACATTGAGTAGAATGCACAGGAAACTAATATGCTAAAAAATTCATTCCTCTAGGTACATGAAGTATAAAACACAACATTACTACTCTAAATTACAATGGAGTTCATAAAACATATGTAATTGGAAAATGAATGCTCATGCCATTCTCTATATCATTCACTCTATGTCATTGCAGGACTCGTCTGAGCTGGACACCATTTACCTGGGCTGGATCTGACCTTTGATCAATGGTTCCAATCTACAAGTCATGTATATTTCATGATACACATTTCACATTTCACACTTAGGCTGCCACAATCATGCTCTGTAAAACATTTATCTGTAAAGGAATACGTTATTAATTGGCTTAAGGATTGTGCACCATCCAAAATTGAAAAAAGTGCTACAGAACTGTAGCTCACCTGGATATATAACAACTACCATGTCTACTGACCATGGTGTTTACACAAAACATTCCTTAAACCAAGCAATAGAGTATGTCACACAAAAAGCAAGGGAAGGATTGTGTTAGGATCAATTAACAGGAATAGCAGGAAAATACATGTAGTACAATTTAGCATAAAATGGTTAGTTGCAAGTTGGAAGATAGAAGTGATGAAATGTTAGGATAAGGTGGAATACAAAAATAGGGGAATAGCTGTTACTGAATTGACCTTCTATGTGCTCCACCCCTTATAAGCATCAGGATTACAAATATAGTGAAAAATGAACACCCTTTCTCTCCAATTGATCATAAAGCCAATACGGTTGTCCCTAAAGCTGAGGTCCGGTGCTAAAGGAATCGGTGACTTAAAGAACATTTCTTAAAAGTGGAATGAATAAGCTCAGTATATTGTTCAGTAGGGCTAAAAAAAATAATAGTCTTGGTTCTCAGGGAATTGCCCACATCATCATAAAGTTCATTGCACGTTTCGTTTTGTTTCCATTTTCATTTTTGTGTGCATTTTTAAGATTTTCATATTTTTTTTGAAAACGGAAATGAAAACAAAACATCCTGCTGATTTTATAATGATGCAGGTAGTGCCTGAGAACCAAGACTATTATTTGTTTTAGCCTAAATACTACAAAAAATAGTTTGTGACATAAGCCCTGTCATGACTGGTATCCTCAGTACACCCTTTGCCTTGTGGGATACTGAAGCCTGGAGACGGAGCACATACAGGGTCAGAGACAGATGCTCACATGATGAGGGGTACAACAGGGTCAGAGACAGATGCTCACATGATGAGGGGTGCACAACCTGTCAAACCTATGATGAAGATGAGCCGCAGCTGAATCCATCAACACCTTACATGTTTATTTTAAATTTAGAAAAATGAAATATTTTTTACATTTGTATACTTTTCCTGCATTACTCCTTAATGCATCTACTGCTTACCTAATGACAAAGAAAAACAGAGCTTAGCGATGGTCCTAGGTGAAGAAAAAAGGTTGTTTCCGTCTTCAGTCTACTTTTACTAGGACCCATCGCCGCTGTCATGTGACAATGATCACATTACTGCTTGTCACCTGTGCTAACAAAATCTTCTGAAGCTATAGTGGGGAGGCAGGTCTTCGACGGGTGAGCCCTTAGACATAGTAATGCAAGATAAGTATACAAATGTAAAAAATATTTTGATTTCACAAAATATTTTACTTATCCTGCATTACTCCTTAATGCATCTGTATCAGATGGGATGGTGGTGGGTATACCTTCAGATGTATTCCCTTCAAACAACATGCGTGCCAAGGGAACCGTATGGCATGTCAAAAGCCGGACGATTAACCTCGTTCAATCTCATCCTTCAAAAGGACACAAGAATTGAGGATAAGTCCAGCAAAGAGAAATTATTGCAAGCTAAAATCTTACAACTGTGTTACCGAGCCAAAGATTCAAAGCTTGAAAGTCCCCCTAACAGGCATGTCAAATACCTGCTGGGCCACTACCAGAGGGCCAAAGCTGCGACTGCCTTCGAAGTCTTCAAGTGCCACATCTCGAAGATGGCTGGTGACAGCCTCCATGATTACTGTAATAGAACAGTTGTTATGTAGAGCCATGGTTGAGATGACCCTTCTGATCTTGTGAGGATTATTTGCTCTCGGAAGATCAAGGTTAACCATAGTGATATGGTGTTGCGACTAACTTCGGTCATGGACGTCTGGGATACAGGAATGAACAACCGTTTCCCCACGCCACGCCTAGTTTTGGAGCAGCATGTACAGGGAACAAGAGGAGTTCACGCTCATCTTCGACCCCCACAATCGTAGAGATTGGTGGAATGGTAAAGGACCAGTCGGGTTGTCCTGGTAGCTGATTCTTAGCTATGAAATGCCAGCACAGACCGAGGAGAACTACTCCCTGCGTGCCATGCTCAAAGCAGACACGGGTAATGTTGAGTGCGTGTAGCTCATTAACCCACACCACAGTGGCTAAAGCCAAGATAAAAATTGTCTGTGAGGTTAAAAAAGGATGATGTGTTGAGGGGCTCAAAGGAGGGCCAACACAATTCAAATCCCAAGAAGGGGGTCAGAATTTGGCCTCCTGATCCTCAGGCCTGAAAGAGCGCAGGAGGGCCTGCAGTTCTGGAACTACCGGTACACTGAATTAAGCGCCAGCAAATATGTCGTAATTGTGTACCTTTCAAGTGTTGTTTGGTACACAAGTGTAGAAGGTACTCGGCTAAGAATTGAGGTGATGCTGTAGTGGGATCTTGATTCTTTGCCTTACAAAAGGCTTCAAATGATCGCCCCTTGTCTTCGCATAACCCCCAAGTAGAAGGCCGATGTGCCAAAGCAATGGCCTTAGCTACCGAATAGCCTTTCTCCTTGAGCTTTCTCCAGTAAGATATCTATGTTGGACTTGGCCCTGTAGTACTCGCAGGGAAATGAACGTCTGAAGTCTCGGAAACCGTGGATAGGGCCCGGCGACAAAGGTGGCGGGAAGCCTGGTGCGAATCAAACATCTTCCCTGTGTGCCGACAGGACTGCTGTAGAATATGTTTATGCGTGACTCGTCTATAAATTGAGAACTTGACAGGGGAAGATGTGAATTTGGAGTGCATACCTGAGTGCAAACAAGACAACATGGATGAGGATCTTCGGAAGATTGCATGAGTTACGCAAAACTTGAAGTTGTAGTGGAAGTAGACTTGTACATACCGATAATAAAACCAAAGTTAAAATCAGCACAATTTACAAGTTTAAAGTGTATCAAATACAAATGTGAAACTCAAGATAACTCCACAAAAGGCTAAAGGTAGTTTAACATACACAATGTAATACCTAGCCAAGAATCGCAAACAATACTGACTGCCATGAATATAGGAGACAAAAATGTAACCCATTTAAAAAATGGCAGCAACCAACGAGCCAGGTGGAAGCAAAAGATAAAAGTCTTTTCATGTAGAATACATAGACATAATTACACAAAAAGCGAACCTAATATGATAAGGTATACTTCACCCATCGAAAATGAAACTGTAGCTCACCACAAAATTAAGCCAAAAGTTGAAGGACCAAAACAAAGCACAACATGTCTGTTTGGCGACAAACAGGAATGTGATCAGATGTGACGTCCCTACGGACAGTCACATGACAGCAGCAATGGGTCCTAGGAAAAGTAGACTGAAGATGGAACAAACTTTTTTCTTCACCTAGGACCATTGCTAAGTGCAGTTTTTCTTTGTCGTAAGGTAAGTTGTAGACGCATTAGGAGTAATTTAGGAGTAATTTATTGGAATCCATAAGTTCAAAACAGCTTTTCTCAAATGTTTTTTTCTTAGGCGATTAATTTATTTTTTTGAGTTTACTGATTGTCCGACATGAAAAAAAAAGCAAAATGAAAATGAAATTAAGATGACTTTTTTCCCGCCAACTTTAATGGTACAAAACAAGAAAAGAAAAAAACAACAAGTTAACAGGATATATCACTCAAATTAGTTAGTGTTAAAAAGAGGATTCTTTGCGAAATATGAAATAAATAGTGAAGTGTTTACTGCAAATTTTGAGGCAATTAAGATTTTTTGTTATTAAAATTTTCGACCACCGACACTGTAAGAACAAAACCAAATTCTGTAAACCAACTAACTAAGGAGTAGTCGCCTAAAACTGTTGCTGAATATTTGGACACAATACCCAAGCTATATGCATGGGAGAGCTACAGTGAGCAGGCTGACAGGTGTGCTGCCCCAGGGTAATCTACAGACTATACACTGTTTCCTCGTTAGTGTTCTAGTATTACCTGTGGGTGGATGGGGTCTGTGAAACTCCAGATGAGTATCAGTGATGGGGTCATGATGACCTTAGCTGCGTTGTCAATACGCTCATCAAACGTCAACCTCTCTGCCACAGCAACTGCGACAACACCTGAAACACAACACCATGAACACAAGGTGTTCATACAGATATCCCTGTGAGCATGTTGATTCTACCAACATGGGGTAGACCAACCAGTGGTCAACAGCATGAGCATCAATCATTTCTATGACAACACCCAATCAGCCAGCTGCTGACAAAAGTCAACAAATTTATCAACATCAAGTTGGGGGTACACCAAGCAGTGGTCAATACACTGGACTTTAACAGTGATGATGTCAAATGGGGTTTAATGTCGCCCATTACAACAGGAGAACAAGAGGGGAATCATATTATTCATGAACGTTTACATACGAAATTCGGTGTGCTTACGATAGTGACTTCCTGTTTCCATTAACAATCTTTACAAGTTCCCAGGATTTCAACTAACAACAATATTTGTCATCTGTTTGCCACAATTGCAAGTCTCTCCGATTTTGTAATCTAGGCGTGCAAAGAAAAGCCCCATAATTTGATTCCTGAGTTCACACACTGCAGGACGTTACCTTTAATGCTGGGGTGCCACTGTATGCTGGTGATCCTCTTCTCCTTACTGAACTGCAGGTCTGTGAAGGACTGGTACTCCTAGAAACAACACAGCAATAGGAATGAGGTGTACTGTCACAGTATTTCAGTTGTGTTAACATCAGATTGATGTTGGAGGTGAGCTTAAAGTGACACAGGTCGCAGATTTTCACCTCAGTGAAATCCACAAGGGTATGATGCTGATACATCAAGGATCGTAATCAAGATGAAATACACTGATTCCTCGACATAATGCTCCTTGATGTACCGCTAGCCTGGATGCAGCACTAGGGAAAATCTTGGCTCCCAAATTCAAGAATCAAATAAAGTGACAAAAAAAATGATGTGATCTAATTCCCAGTTGCATCCCTTCAGCAAATGCAGGTATCAACGAACTAGTGGTGTAACGATACATTGAACTATCGATTGATTGCGATTGCTTGTCTCACGATAGTACACTATCGATTGCAACTTGAAACAATCGATACTACTGGCGATAGTTTGTCTAACTATTGATAGTTTCGATAGTTAATTTGTTTGGTACATTTACTTTCTTATAAAGCATAGAAACAACTCCTATGATCATCTAACCTCTGTCGTGCTTTCGTTTGGATTGCACTACTTTGTCAGCTTGATTTAGAGTTACGTCCCTTAGCTACTCGTCGCTAGGCAACATTGACAAGATGGCGGACGCCACGTCAGTTTTTGTCAACTTTGTTTCCTAATTGATACGTTGAATCGCATTTAGTCATTCAGTGAATGCCAATATGACAATTAAAGAGTTTGACAGTTTGTATAGTCAAATACTAGTCATTCAATCACATTCATTCACATTGGTGCTAAAACACTGCAGTAACCTAAGACTTTACCAGTTACATGAAGTGAAATTTTGTATTAAAATGTTTTTGAGAGGTCAATTTGAACTTGTTTTCTCCCATTTCTTGTTTTCTTTACAAATAGTATCAGAAAGTTATAATTATTTTGATGGTGTCAGTCAAAATGCTGAAATATATGCTGCTAAGGCCTGCTATAATTGCAAGTGAAAACTATCGCAATAGTATCGCAATAGTCACAAGTGCCTCAATAGTCACCCCTACAACGAACAGGTGATAACAAATGAACATGGTGAATACAATTTGTAATTTGAGATAAAACATCACTAGACATGATAACTAATGCTTAAATTGTATTTCCTGTTCTGCAAGGCATTGTTTTATATGCAGTGATTACATTTACCATGTGTTTTGTCTCATGGGGCTGGGATCTTGGACCCCAATGGCAGCAGTATATAGAGGAATCACTGTACATATTTCAATAACCAATGAGGTCAAAATTGCTCCCACCTTGAGGTGATTGTCGGCTTTGTTGCCAAAACTGTCCGAGTCGCCAAGGTTCAACCAGTCGTTGAAGAAAACATTCATGATTTCATTCTGTTGGAGAGCCAGTTCAAACCTGCAAAAGAGTGTTTGAAAATCAGCTTTCAACTGCTCATGCCCAAATTGTTGTTGACCACCTCATTCTATAATCTCAAACGACAAGAATAGAATGCTGGGGACGTGGAATCACCATGGGGTTTCATTTTAAAGATACATAACTTCGAAAATGAAAAACGTTTTGATCACAAAGAAAGATTGATCATTAGTCTTTATGTCTTTCTTGTTTAACGCCGCACTCAGCAATATTCCAGCTATATGACAGCAGTCTGTTGAAAATTGAGTCTGGACCAGACAATCCAGTGATTGACATCATGAGCATCGATCCACGCTATTACACACCTTGGTGCAACTGTGCCTACAAAGTCCTTGACTGGCTTGGATGACGCTATCTTCTCCCGCTCCTGTTCAGAGTACTCACGAGGGTAGTACTGTGTGTTGGCATTGCGGGGATACTTCCAGTCGGTCTGGGTGCCGGCGTCTGAGATCAGAGGGATTGCCTGTGTCCCCTTGTCAAGCTCAAGCATCTTCAAGTCATATGTCTTATCCTCATATGTGGTACACTCCACATACCCATCTTTGGCATCACTGACGTTGCGGTCTTCAAAGGTACATGGTGCACCAAAATCTAGCCTCTTTCTTCGGATACAAACTTTCACCTAGTCACAGAAAACATGTGCATCTAATAATGTGAGCGGATGGGTTGGTGAGTGAGTGAGTCAGTGAGCATTGTTATACAGCAATCAGCAATATTCAAGCTAATCACAGCCACTAGTCATATGACAGACAAAATGCGGGCAGAGAAAACATTTTGCTCAGGAATATACCATAACCACTACATTTAAACGCTGACATTGTACAAGTCTATTTGTTCTTCAATGGATGCTTTTACATACAGCAAAGGAAAACAAGTAGAAAACAATGGACTTAATCAAAACATAATTATTAAACAGAAGGGGAAATACATGTATTCATAATTTTCAAATATTGGTGATAATAGGTGCTCCCGAAATGATTTTTTCTAGTAGACAAACTAGCTCATATCTCTAAGATTAGGTTGTAAATCAAGAATGACACATAGGAGGGTGTGCATGGGTGGGTGTTACATATGGGGTGGGGGGCATGTTTGAATTTGAACATGATTTAGGGACTGGACACTTAAAATACAGAGGGGGCGGAGAGGGTCATGTTTTATGTATTTGGGGAGTAGGTGGGGGTATGAAAAAATGTTAGACAAAATGCGGGCAGCAAAAATATTAAAGACAAAATTCTGTAAATCTTTAAAGATCAAACACCTGAGAATGACGTAAACATACCCTCCTCCTGGTGTCCACAACAGTCTCCTCCTGAATCTCCTTCTCACTGCCCTGGGACACCCACTCCTTGGCTTCTGGGGGGACGTATGTGTACACAACCTCCTCCTCCTCCTCCTCCTCTTCCCCCTCCTCGCCTCCCCCTTCCCTTCCCTTCACCGGGGGCTGTAACACACACAACACTATAGACAGGCAACATCCAACACACAACACTATCAATACAGGCACACCTGATCAGATACTCAGTGTTACACTGAACGGAACTAGCACTAGTCCTATAGTCCACCAACCATACATGGTTCACATTTCCATGGGGCTAGTAGCTATAGTGTGGCTTCCTACATACATCATGGTGACAGTTTCTATTACTGACACATTGGGAGATGAGTGATAGAGCAGGAAAAAGAGGTTATGGACCTGGTAATAGACAAACTGAAAACAGGATACACTGTCTACCAGGCAGTGCTGGGTACAGTTGATTGAGCATCTTGATTTGAAACAGTAATCAAGAAAAATAGAAAGTTGACTATAAATGTTCTCATCCAGTTAAAATAACAGATCACTATCAATTATTACTTAATGTCAATGTCAATACCCAGTTCATAAGGTTAACCAGAAGTTGAATACCACAGTGACTGTGAAGGCTACCAAGAATCAGTTTGTCTACAACCTGGTCGATCATGGCACAAAATTGCAGACAGCATGGCATATGCATAGTACTAGAGACAGCATGGCATTTACATAGCGCTGCAGACAAAGTGGGATATTTATTTTACTACAGACAGCATGGGATATATACATGTATATAGTACTGCAGACAGCATGGGATATAATCATATAGTACAACAGAGAGCATGGAATATATATAGTACTGCAGATAGCATGGGATATACATAGTAGTACAGACAGCATGTGATATACATAGTACTACAGACAGCATGGGATATATATAGTACTACCGTCAGAATGGGATATATAGAGTGCTGCAGACAATATGGGGTATATATAGTACTGCAGACAACATGGGGTATATATAGTACTGCAGACAACATGGGGTATATATAGTACTGCAGACAACATGGGGTATATATAGTACTGCAGACAACATGGGGTATATATAGTACTATTGACAGAATGGGATATATGGAGTACTACCGACAGAATGGGATATATATATAGTACTGTAGACAACATGGGATATACACAGTACTACAATTGTCACGTCTATTTTTAAAATATACTACAATATTCTTTCACAAGAAATCTCAGATGATTTCAGTTGTGGCGATATCTCCTGAACACATTATGGTGACAGAACATGCATAAATGGTCAAACAATTTCTGCTCAGTAGTGGTTCAAAAGGAAACACTTTTAAAGTTGCAAGGCAAGACAAACTACAGAGAATTGATACATAGAAGTGAGTCAGGCAGCTGTAGATTGAAGTACACATTACGTCAGGGGTTGAAAAATTATTAAAAATGTTACTTGACCAAGGGCAAGTATGACCAACATTCTCACTTGCCCTATTTTAAAATGTACTAGCCCAAAATCAAGCTAATAAATTTGAACATCCATCAATAAACGTTCTCTTACGATTGCAAGCGTGTATGTTTGGGTCCTTGAAACAAATGGTGCACTTCATGACTTTCGCTGTGTCATCATACGCAACCCAAGGAAACTGGTCTTTCCACCCAGCGATGAATGTTCGTTTTCGTTTACATTCGTCATACTTCTTATTCTTTGCCGATATACAACTTTCTGAATTTCCCTCTGCCTTCGTCCCCACCGCCAAAGAAACTTAAAATAGACCGCTGAGACATGATCGGCCATGTGCGGTACTGGCAATATAAATTGTTATTGCAGATACCCCTCTGGGTGCTAATGAGGCAAAGGGAGACTACTCTGTCCTTTACTAGCTTACTTATTTGAAACAACAGATTTACTTACAGTGATCCCTCGCTATTGCACTCTTCAATATAGCGCTAACTCGGTTATTGTGTGCGGTAACACATGGTTCCGAAAACTTATATACACTTTTAGTAAACTCAAGTCACTGACACGATGTCATTTCCCCATCGCAAAAACATTACCACCTGCACGCAACACAGGAAATACCAATCAACAAATTCCGCAATTAAATCCTATTATTACTATCTGGTTATAAAAAAACACGTTTGTACCTTGACATATGTTTGTAGCATATTTTATTAATTTTATTTTAAATTTTATTCAATACAGTTTAGATCAATTTTGCCGAAATCGTGCGTAAAGGGGTCGATAGATCGCACAACTCGCCGTTATTTACAGCAACCACGGTCAGGTTATCGCTATTGACGACTCGAATGAACTTTAGTTGACAACGAAAAGAAACACCTATTAAATAAATGCCATACTTTCACTCGTTAAAAGTCCCGTTTGTTGTAGTTCGACAAAATTATATTTCATCAAAGCTAGGCCTAACGGAGCATCTAAAGTCGGAAAATGTTTCAACCTCGCGTTACAATTTCCAAGAAATTCCATTTCCAAGAAACATGTGCCATATATGGAAGTGTTACTACGATTTAACAATGAAACAAGCCTGGTTCTCGTTGTTGACCTGCCTGACATCGAAATGTATTAATCCCATTGGTTGACTGGCGTAGCTGTATGCAAATTACATTGTCAGTCTGCTAACAAAATATTAGCCAATCAAATACCGTAACATGATCACATGATTACATTCGCGTGAAACTTGACCCAGTTCATTTTGGGTGCTCTACTTGTCCACGGCCATGCTAGAAAACGTATATTACACGCCCGACATCTAAACCTTACTTGGCACGGGCGTCGGGCAATGGTATTTTTCAACCCCTGTTACGTGAGTCGACGCTATTCAACTATGTTCACAAATTGGAAGAGTGAACTGTGAAATACATCTATACAGACAAAGCAGACAAAAGTTTATGGATGACAACATTATTATTATAGCGTTAACGCGACATAGATCCTCATACCATTGTCAAGCTAAACATTTGTCTACTTTGTCATCATCAACTTCTAAGAAATGCCTATCAAACTGTATATCAAACTATCATATATACTGTCATCACAATCACATTTCAACACACAAAAGATCAGATAAGGAACTAGTTTCTATGTAAACAATATAGAATAACAACAAAGAGATGCACATGTAGATACAAGCACACATGCAAATAATGTACTGTAGACATTTCCATCTTCCCGAGACAGGCATGTCCACGAGCCTATATCAAAGCCTAGTTTCTACCCTTGCCACATCAAGGCCACTGGGCTCGATCCAGGTGGCACCTCGCGTAGACCACGAGATGTGCCCCTTAAGATGAAAATGTGCAATCCAATCAGATTGCTGTTCTTATCTCGTACAGCTTCACAAAGATGGCAACTACCATAGGCGACGACCTATTCGATCAGATAACGAAAACATTCACAATTTCATCCCTGTCACATAAACATTGACAATCGTTGGGGGGGTTAAAAGATGAAAAAGACATATTCCTGTCAACAAAGACAGGCAAATCACTTTAATACAAAGGTGTATCAGTATGGATGTTGATTTTGTGAAACACTCTCTGATTGGACTATCAACATGTGCAATAGTCCAATCATATTTAGCAAAGGAAAGTGGGCTTGATGTGCCAAGGGGGGAAACAAGACTTTGATAAAAAGACTAGTGGATGCTCTTGCCTCGGGAAGATGTGATACTTCCTACTCAGTTGCAGATCAAGTCAGGCTAGAGTGTATAGTGCGGTCCTAGCATGCAAGTTAAATGTCAGTCTTATGACTTGATATACCCATTCCATCATTTCAAACTCTCGTATCTGGAACCAATGATTGTCAAACATTGAACAACACTGTACATGTAGGCATCATGATATAGATCACAGAATTACAATTAGGAACCAGAAATATTCAATAAGTTAAGAAGAATGATGGCTGATTATGTTATAACATTGCATTTAGAGACTGTGCTTGTATGAACTTTTAATTCTTACATGGAGTAGTTTTTCCTTGGCTTCTTCTGTCAGTGCCACATAGAAGTTCTGCTCGTATTTGAAATCGTAGTCATATACCACAAGCAGTTCTTCCCCAGGGTAGTCCTGTAAAACAAGCAGATAGTGTTACTTTGGCTTTCCACATGTCTTAGCACACAATGAGGTGAGGTGAAATGGGGTTTAACGTCGCGTCCAAGATTATTGCACTTATATAGCAACGTGCATGTACGTGTGTGTGTTTGTGTGGCTGCTTGTACTAGTCCGGACTGATGCCGATTTATAGTGCTAGCTCACTAAGATACCATGCCACAGTTTAACATGAACACCCCACTCAGACACAGTATACTGACTCCGAGCCGACCAGTCCTTGTTTTAGCCCCTTAATGCCTTAAAGCGCCAGACAGGATAACAAGTACCATATTTTAACGTCTTTTGGTATGACGTGGTCGGAGATCGAACTCCGGACCTTCCGCTCTCCGGGCTGACGCTCTACCACACTAGCACAATAGCACAATAGCACACTAGCACACTATGAGCATAGATTAGTATAGATTCGCAATGTTTGTTGTAAGAAGCGATTAAATGGATCAGGTGGTCGGACTTGGTGACCTGGTTGATTGTGTGTCCTTGTACCCCAAATGCATGGAACGATGCACATGATACACCTCATTGGTGTACTTGGTCAATGTCTTGGTTATTTACATGCTGCCTATTAAAGCTCGAATTTTACTGGTATTAAACAACAAACAAATATCTTGATATATCATCTCCATGTACAAAGGCAAGCTCCTTCCCAACATGTGACACCTTCATTACACTCTTGGTAACCTCGCTGCCACCACTGTGAGCGCGGCAATTACAAGAATCTTGAAATTTGCCCTCTAACCCCGCTTTTGTTTATGTCTTTGGGAATGCCATTATAGTGAATTTTGAAAAGGTCTATGACTGACCATATTTCCCACATGAATTTGCCTTTTTGTTTGTTTACGGTAATCAGATTGGGGCGAGATTGCAGACGAACGGAAAATCAACCAACTTCCCCCTTACATTCTTACTATAATAATTACATGATAGTTGTAATAAAACAGAAATTCAGACTGACAAACAAAGAAAATAATTTAGCAGGGGTAAGAGTATTCGACGTCATGGTAGTCATCACTCGTTTGTAAACATAACGGCCAGTCAGTTGTGAGTTCAACTCCAAGCATGGTTGTAGCCACCTATCACAGTGGGGAGCTTTCACTGGTGGCAGTGATGGTAAAGCGAGCTCCGCAAACAGGATGTCGCTGTGAGGAGCGTGGTACAAAGGCACACAATCAGTCAGATCAATGTTAAGAGTGGTCTCCCTTGGTGGTCAACTATTCGAAAGAGTTATCTTCCCTTGTGGTATTGTGACCATCTGATTCTCATTCTATATGAATGTATTTATCTGTTCACTTAAACAATATGCTCCTCCCAAAAATCGACTTTGTACTTTTACCTCAATACCAAACTAGAGTATTACACCACTGAAGTAAGATGTAAGAGGACTTATAAGAAGAATACCAGGATCTGCTGTTTGAGAACACTGAAGTCACTGATGGCTGCTCTCATCTTCATGTCCTCTATGATGTCCTGTTTGGGGATGATCTTGAAGGGTTCCTCTTTCGTAACATCCTCGTCACACACACAGTGGAAGATCTCCTGTGTTTTGGATGCCATGAAGAGAGGAACGACTCCATCAGGGATGCCTTGAAATAATAAATGGATGATTGAGTTTCACAATATTTTGTAATTGTTTCAGAGATAACACTGGCTGCATGGTTATTATAGAGAAATGTTGAATTCATAAATCACAGACATTTAACACTTAAAATTTAAAAACATGATCATGACGAACCTATAACCAGGGTGAAGCTTGGATTTGAACCCATGACAAGTAGATCCTGGCATGCCTAAGGGATGCAACTCTGCATATAAAATCCTGGGGTAGAATATTGGACAGGCATATGTTAGCATGGGACAGACAGGGATAGAATGGGAGAGGTATGGGGTAGAAATCTAGAATGGAACAGGAAGTGGGCAGAATGGGGCGTGTATGTGTTAAATTAGACTGTGATATGGTCGAGTGAGGTAGAATATGAGTTTGGCATAGGATACTTAAACCAACTCACTGGTCAAAAAGAAATTAGCAGAATGTGCACACCTAACAGGGCCGGATAGACATTTAGATGTAATGAGGTGCTATTTGGCAAATATCTATGACAGCTGTGTTGTCATTCTTAGTTGGTGACCTCTGTTTGGATTAAGTCAACTCATCATTCTAAAGTATGAAAGCCTGTTACTACAAACAAGGATCACTTTCATACCATTGATCACTTCATACCAATGAGTTTGAAAGGTTACTGCTGATTACAACCTAACATACCACATGACATTTGCCATGGTATTCCAAGGGTTGAATACATAACAACAAAATTGTCAATGTGTTTGCTTGTTTCTGAGAATCCTTTGACACAGGACATCTATAAAAGACGTTACTTTGAACACAACAGTATCTGACGCTTCTCCAACACTTAGTATCTACAAGTTGATGACACTGATCTCGCTGGCAACTGACCATCTTCCTCTGTGTCGTCGGCAGTGGTGCTGGCAGCAGGCGTGTCTTCACGCTTATCCTCAGACTTGGGTTTGCCCTTCCCTGGACAGAACATGGAAAATATAAAAGCAATGCTAGTGTGCAAAATAATTAATTCAGATGCAGCTAACACTTTTCAGTGTTGGACATTTATAGGCATCCTGGTTTCCTTGAAGTTTGCTGCTATAATATTAATATCTTATCTATTTCTTCTCATAAAAAAAATATTCAAATAATATGAAAAGGGATTATTTCCCATACCTTTTGCATTTGCCTTTGGTGCAGTTTTACTCTTGGCGCTAGACTGTGGGCTCTTGGCATTCTTGACAACCCCACTTCCTGGCTTACTCTCAGCCTTACTCCCTGTCCTGGCGCTTCCTGGACCAGATGGAGTGGGGCTCTTAGACTTGACGGAGGACGGAGTGGCTGGTTTCTTGGAACTTGTGTCCTAAAAAAAATATTGCACACTTTAACTCTTTTGTATCATTGTTTAATTAAATTTTCAAAATCCCCAGGAATATTGATCAGCTTCATTGTCTTTATTTTAGAGGATAATATTTACAACAACCAGATTGCAGTTGCATGTATCCACAGTGGTAGAAACTAACATGTTTTGTCCACTAGTCCTTATAATTATAACATATATCAAAACCCTTAAAATGGTAAATTTCTACTAGTCCTTATGATACCTTAACAATTGGGCAGTTAGGCAAGGACTACAGGACTAATGCCAATTTCTAATGATCCAGGGTTAAAAATTTGCACTAGTCCTACATAGTCTTTACCAAACTGCCCAATAGTTACGGTATCATAAGTGATAGTAGAAATTTGCCCTTTTTAAGGATTTCACTATATGTTATCATTATAAGGACTAGTGGACCAAAGCTGTTAGTTTCTATCGCTGCATTGTATCACTAGCAGGATGTCTGGGATTTTAGGAACTGAATGGTTCTGTACACCACAAGTCCGAAGCTGGTAAATCCTGTACACCAGCAGCCATTGAAGAATGTAACATTCTCACAGGCTCAACATTTCTTTTTCAGTTTTCACGTTCACAATAACTCATTGATCACAAACACAAACAACAAGTGTCTTCTGAAGCTGTATGTAATAATTAAATCACCTCATCCTTTTCAGTCTGTCCAGCTGACAGCTTCTCCTTGTCTGTTTCCTTGCCATCCGTGTCAGACATGGCTCACACCTGCAGGGAAAGTGCCATGTATCAGATAACAACATTAGTCTTGTATACACATCCTCAAGTGGCAATCTGTATCAGGAATACATAATGCCATTTAGAAAGTGGTCAAATGTAACAAATGTTATATTTGGGATAACACTTTATTAGTAAAGTAACACTTTCTTAGAAAGAAAGTGTTATCCCAAATATAACATTTGTTACATTTGACCACTTTCTAAATGGCAATACGTATTCATAGCTTTCAACCATGGGAGCTGTGCCAATTTACACTTGTTAGAGGTGAAATAAAGAACATGATCTAGACAACCGGTTGTTGCTTCTTTGAGTGGCATTTAGAAGTTGGAATGGTAACTAAGACAAAATTGTTATGGATGAGCAACTTCTTGCAATTGGGCGACGTTTCGGTGTAGATTCTAACACCGTTATTAAGCAAATGATCTATAACGGTGTTAGAATCTACACCGAAACGTCGCCCAATTGTAATAAAGAAGTTGCTCATCCATAACAATTTTTTCTTAGTAAACAGGTGTTGGATTTTCATTTTGTGGAAGCCTTGGTGGCTGAGTGGGTTAGATCGCTGACTTTGTGTGCTGGCGATTAGGTGCCTCACTCTGGCAGTGTAGGTTCGAATCCCGGATGGAACTCAACCCAAATAAGTACGAGAATTTGTACTTTACTAAAAGTGTTATCATAAATATAACATTTGTTAAATCTGTATCATGTTAACATTGCTTTAACTAATACCTCAGGTAATTTATTTTTGTACAGAAATAGCTTGTCACATTTTATTAATAAAATGGCAGACAGAACTCTGTTCTTTGTGCATGTCGAACAGGTAGTGTGTGGCTGTGACTACTGTAGTGTATCCTAACATTTGTAAAATATTTTAAAAACAATATGCCTATCTACTAACATGATTCCCATGTATGTATACATACTTTCAAAAGTGAACTTTGAAAAAGAACTTGAAAACAAAAACTGTTGAAAGTTTTGAGGGGCTCCCTTTTTGGTTTCAAAAACTGGTACTGGCAACCAACCACTTATCGTCAAGGATTAATTATCGCCAAGTGCCTGTTGTAGAGTTTGTGCATGTGATCACATCTCGTCTTACTTTTGCTCGTTTTCATTAGAAGAGAAAAATGTTTATCCAAAAATGATAGACAAAACAGACTCTTGTGAGGAAATATTAAAAAACACACCATATTATCACCATGCTCAAGTACAACTTTAGGAAAGACACACGGGTGATGTCACGTGACTAATTCACGCGAAAACAAAAATCCAACAACACGATGCACTTTCAGTTGTCATAGCTTACAATCTGTCTGTCATTTCTTCCCCAAAATACAATTCTAAAACCTACTTGAGCTATTTTTCAAAAATGTATATGTATATAGTACAAAGTACAAATGTGTTAAGGATAAGCATGTGTAAATCGAGGTTGTGGAATATGTTTACTTCAGTTTGCAAAAATGATAGAAGTATTTCTTATTAATTGTAATGAATATAAAAATTGAGTGAGATACAAGAGAAAATAGAAAATGTAATTTGCATAACTGACGTGGTGTGCATGATTATGTGGCACATGCTATTTAGACGATGGCGATAACTGGTACAGTTGGTCGACAACAAACTTCCATTTCCACTGATTTGATTCCCCATTGTCGCGTTATAACAGAAATCTACTGAAACCTTTGCCACGGACAGAACTAAGCGCATGTGCTAATGGTTTCTAAAAAAAATCAAAGTTATTGGCACAGTTAACTTTGTACACGAAATATGTCAAAAATAAATATATAAAAAATTGTGATAACTGGTGAGTGACCAGAACTATTTTCATTTCGATTTAGCATCCTTTTTCAGAATTGACTCAAGATAAAATTAAGCATGGTGTGTGTATTTGAAGAAACAGGTAAAGTTTTAAAAAATATTTATTATCAATCAGAAATGTAGAAGAGCAGTGTAAATACTAAATCACAAAGGCAACAGTAATAGCAGTGACATATAGGCCTATAACAGCTGATGGTAAGATGTAACGGGTACTATTCAGACAGTAGACATTTGTGTACCCTGGACGTGTATAATGATCCCTAAATTTCCTTTTAATCTCTGAAGATGAACGAAAGCCAGTGATAGGAGAAACACCATTCCCACGTGTACCCATTTCCACGAATCTTCAACATTGACAGTGAAAAAAGATAGTGCCCGGTAGCAAAGGTACGCAAACATAGAGAGGGAGATGCTCGCTGTTGTATTCGGGTGTGAACACTTCCATACATACCTATACGGGAAACAGTTCGTCGTGGAAACAGACCACAAACCATTGGAGATGATCCACCTCAAAAACCTGTCAGCAGCGCCCCAACGACTTCAAAGAATGCTACTACGGGTACAGCCTTACGACGTGACCATCAAATACAGACCGGGAAGTATGATGGAGGTGGCAGACGCCCTCTCCCGATCACCCGGCAAGACCAGCAAGACAATTGACTTGGACATCCGTGTAGACCTGACACAGTTCTCCGACAAAAAGATACAGTCCCTAAAAGAAGAGACCAGTAAGGACGCTGCACTACAAGCTCTAAAAGAGATCATCTTGGAAGGCTGGCCTGAAAGACCAAAGCAACTACCAGCCCCCATCAGGCCCTACTGGGCATACAGGGACGAACTATCCATTGAGGATGGATTACTACTGAAGGGGGATTGTGTCATCATCCCAACAAGTATGAAGCAAGAGATACTAGAAAAACTTCATGAAGCACATCAGGGGATAGAGAAGACCAAACTCAGAGCAAAGACATGTGTCTTTTGGTGCGGCATCGGGACCGACATTGAAAACATGGTAAAAAGCTGCCATGTGTGCCAAGAGTTCCAGAAATGCCAACCTGCAGAACCCCTGCTCCAACATGAACTTCCCACACGACCGTGGCAAGTGCTGGGAACCGATCTATTTTACATAGAGGGAGAAGAATACATCATAGTAAGTGACTACTATTCTAAATTTCCCATAATCAGGAAGATGTCCGGAGGCAGCAGAGGTACCATCTCAACACTGAAAGCCATATTTGCAGAACAAGGCATACCAGAGAAAGTCATTAGCGACAACGGGCCACATTTCTCAGCTGAACGATTTCAAGAATTTGCCAAAGCCTGGGGATTTACCCATATAACATCCAGCCCACACTATCCCCAGTCGAACGGCTTCATAGAGCGGCAAATCCAAACAACCAAGCGAACACTGCAAAAAGCCAAGCTCTCCAACATCGACCCCAACATGGCTATGCTCATATTACGTGCAACCCCAATCGATCATAACCTTCCATCACCAGCTGAACTCCTAAACACCAGGAAAATGAAATCGAACTTACCAATGAGGGTCAAAAACCACAACACCATGCGGGAAGACGTTAGACGCCATCTAGAAGAACGACAACTTCAGCAAAAGGAACACTTTGACAACAGGGCAGGTGAGGAGCTTCCGCCACTTATCCCTAACCAGCCTATCAGTGTCAGAGACCAACAATCTGGAAGGTGGAAGAATGCAACTATAGTAGGAAAATCACCAGAGCCAAGGTCGTACATAGTGGAAACCACAGAAGGCTCCATCCTACGTCGCAATCGACGTGATCTCAGGGAGATCACTGAGGAAAAGAGAAACACCAGCGCTGCCCCACTCGAACCACTGAGACAGGGAAACCAATCTAACTCGCCCCATCAAAACCAGCGGCGGGTCTCCTTCAACCCTAAGGACAACAAACCATCAACCAACAAACAGCTAGACAAGTTCGAGAAGCGCCCAACCACCACAACATCGCAGGGCCATTGTGATCCCAGCTCAGAGACAGTTGTATGTCGAACAAGAGCCGGAAGAGAAGTGCGACGACCAAAGCACTTGAATGAGTGACTCTTAATATAAATGTGAAATATAAAAGCAGACTAGTTACTCCTAGAGTGCCAAATAGGGTAGCAGACTAGAATAGCTCAGCCAACAGTTATGTTATGTTATGTTATGTTATGTTATGTACAAAGTGATCTACCTCAACCTACTGTGCCATGAACTGCTCAAGAATACCAAAGAACTTTAAAAGTGCAATTAGTTGAAAGTGCATTTATCTTGCACAGTGAGACCATCCGTCAACTTTCTCATCAATCATAATGTAACCAATTCCATGTTGTCCATCATATACTACTGATATCCACACGCCGTAAGTACCTTATCAAAAGAAGGGGGATGTGATATATGGACTATATTGCAAGACTCACCACTACCCCACTAGTCATATCACCGGCGTAGGGATATCGATAGGGAATCTTGTACCGCCATTGCTATGGAGTAAACATGTAGACTGAACACGCTCTCGTTATCTATGCATAGACTCACGACATTAGAAGCCTCGATAGCATAGAAATATTACATTGTAATATTTCTATGCTATCGAGGCTTCTAATGTCGTGAGTCTATGCATAGATAACGAGAGCGTGTTCAGTCTACATGTGATCTGGTTGGTCTTGATTTCGCATTTCCCAGGGTTGAATACCAGGCCGCTTTGTTGGGCGACCTCCATGAGGTTGATCAAGTTGTTGTCATGCTCCTTTTTATTTTTGCCGAATACCGCGATATCGTCTGCTATGCCGACTGTGCCAGGGCACTTTTCTAGGATCATGTCCATACTCTTTTGGAACACATCTTGGCTCAGATTCAATCCAAGGGGAGTCTTAGGAATCTGTAGCGGCCAAATGGGCTGTTAAAGGTCGTCAGCATGCTGGATTCCTCGTCGAGTTTGACAGACCAATAGCCGTGCCTTGCGTCCAGTTTGGAGAATACTGTCGCTCCTGAGAATTTGTGGGTTATCTCCTCAAGGGTAGGGGTTTTATAATGGGGCCTCTTAATGGCTGTGTTTAAGTCTTTCGGGTCCAGGCATACCCTGAGCTTGCCGCTAGCTTTCCTGCTGTATGCCAGGCTTGACACCCAGTCAGTTGGTTCCGTAACTTTGGCGATGACCTTGATTTTTTCCATCTCGTCGAGTTCAGCTTTTATCTCGTCTTTGAGGTGGATAGGGCATCTTCTTGGCGCATGTATCATTGGCGGTACTGAGGGGTCGACTGTAATATGACACTCTTTCTTGAACTGGCCAATGCCTTGAAATCTGTCTGGGTAGCTTCTTATTAGGTCTTCTTTCCCGTCAACCTTCTGCTTTGGAGGTGAGTCTTTTATTTCGCAATTGAGGGTTACGACTCTCAGCTGCCTACACGTAGGGAGTCCAAGGATGGCCGGTCCTTCTTCGCCTGAGATGAAGAAGTCTGCTTGAGATGTGTGGCCATTGAAGGTGCAGGGTAAGGATATTTTACCATACTGGGCTATTCGTGTGCCGTTGTAGGCTCTCAGTATGGTGCTGCTCTGTTTAGTTGAGTTTACATTGGGCTTCCCATTGCTGTCCAGTGTATTTGGGTACATACGTTGGTATATGCGCAGGGGTAGGAGGTTACCTTGGGCTCCTGTGTCGACTTTGGCTTTGAGGGTGGCTGGTTGCTGTGGTCTGTCTTCTAGACTGATATTGAGGGTCACGAAAACCTCGTCTCTAGTGTCTCTGTCGTTGAGTATAGCATCAATTGAAAGTGACTTGAATGTTAGTGTTTCGAAAGCTGTTTCGAAATCCAGGTCATCATTACCTGTCATGCTATTCACTGAACGTTGTCCTTGTCGTGACCTACTTCTACCTCTGTGTGGCCTTCTAGTGTGAGGCTGACCACGACCTCTGCCTCGACTGTTGCCTCTTGCTCTGCCCCTGTATGGTGTGTGCTGTGTGGCGTTCCTTCTACACATCACTTTCCAGTGGTTTCTTATGCCACAGTTTTCACATTCACTGCCATAAGCTGGACAGCGATTCGGTGGGTGTTGTCGTCCACAGTATTTGCATGGCTGCTCTTTCCTTACTTGGTGAATGTCAGTCTTCGTTGTCTGTACCCCTTGCAGTTGGGCCATGTTGTTGATGGATGCCTCATGCACTCTAGCTATATCCATGGCTTGATCCAATGACATCTGTTCATCTTTGCCTAATAATTCCTTCTGCAACTCCGGAATCCTTGTCCCAATGATTAATTGTTCAATTAATCTCTCTGCTCAGGTACCCGTGTCGGGTGGGTACTGAGTAGGACCCGGGTACCCACAGGCCTACCTGGACCCGTGGTAAGTCACATGATATATTGCTAAATGACAAAAGTTATCTAGATCTCTATTGTTACCCTACAAGTCACAAATGTTCACATTTCTTTCTGACTGTGCATCCATTCTGATTTTTCATGTGGTTAGATAAAGATATAACTTAATTCAACTTCAGTTAATGAATGACCAGATTATTTAAATGTATCTAAATACGTTTTGCCAGGGCTATGCTACAAAATGTTCCGAATCGGACATTTTGAGACATCTCCTGAGACCTACAGTGGGTACCCGGGTACCCGGGTAGGGTCGGGTCATAGTGGGGTGGGTACCCGGGTAGTAAATTTGGTCTCGTCCCAGCCCTAGTGTCAATCGAACTTTTGGTTAGCCTAAATGAAATGTGAGAGCAACGTGATCACCAATCATTTGACCACCGTCAAACTGTTCATCTGTGATATAAGGCGATTATACAATCTGTTCGCCAGCCAGTAGTTTATTAAAAACTAAATATATCTAAAAAAAAGAAAAAGGGTAAAGTATCGCAAAATAAATATTTACGCGTGCCTTTTCGATCCTTTTTGGTTAGGGTAGTTGTGTTAGGGTCAGTTTAGCTTACCCCTAACTCTATCCTTAGCCCTTGGATCATTGAATAAAAATAGTGGCGAACATATTCTATAGATGCTCCGATCTTAGCTCTTGAGCACATTGGTACTGTGTCTTCTTTGCTATCTGACTTGGACACACTTGGACCCTACCAAAACTTAGAACTCGACAAAGCAAGGTGCCCGGCGTATCCATGCATTCCTTCTGCTCGAGTCGTGAACGTGTTGATATCATATAAAATGCTTGAATCAATCAAAGAGGGGGCTAAAACAATTAAATCGCAAGGGTATATACTTACCTTTTTTGTCAGTGCTAGAAGATGAGATACTAAAATAAGCAATCCTTAAAAGCGAGTGGAGCCAATCTCAGAGATCATCAACACAACGCGGCCATATTGAAAGGACCCGGATGTTGTATACAATGTCAGTTGCCCTTGACAACAATCTGAATGTACGAATGTGACCGTAGAATATTAACTTATTTTATACATCATACTATTTAAAAGATTTTTACAGTTTGGTGAGATGACATCGATCTAATTTTATGAATCGTAGTCCTAATATGATTGTGTCAGTGCAATAACTCGGGAATTTTGACCTCACTCTCTCATCCTGGGGGTATAGCTCAGTGGTAGAGCATTCGACTGCAGATCGAGAGGTCCCCGGTTCGATCCCGGGTGCCCCCTCAGCTTTTACTTTTTCAAAGTTTACATATCTACAAAATTCACGCTCATATGACACTGGCGTAAAGCTTTATGAAGAAAAAAATAGTTTAACTTGGAAATTCTGTATTACATTTTAAGACAAGAAATTAAAAACATAATTTTTACTTAGACTCTACATATAAAGTTGTCAATTCTTTACAATTGCCTAATTGTGTATGTTCGTTCCCAGTTACCCACATGCATTCTCAATAAAAATTGTTTAACAGCAAGCATTGAAAAACATTAGATTTGCAGTTTTAGACTTAGAAAATTAGAATCTTAAAATCTAATTATTTTTTTTAATGTCACTGTTTCTAAGACAGTGAGGACTGATTAAACGTTGTCATTCAAGTTTGTGGCTGATAAAAAATCACAGATAGAAACAATGGTTGTTAGAATATGGAATGTTCCTATAAAATAACCATGACATATGATGCCCATATCTAAAAGCAGTGTGAAACAAACTCAGGCACACAAATGCAAGCATGACTTTAAAGGGCCCATTCCACAATGCTTGTGTGAGCACATGCTCTTGTATTAGTTCTGACTGATGTCAATTTCATGCCGCAGTTTACAGGAATACTCCCCTCAGACACAGTATACGACTCCAAGCTGACCAGTCCTTGTTTTATCCCCTTCCTGCCGAGCACCAGACAGGGTAACAACAAGTACCATATTTTTTTCGTCTTATGGTATGACCCGGCCGGAGATTGAACTCCGCAACTTCCACTCTCCAGGCGGGCGCTCTACCACAAGACCATGGAGGCGATCTTTGACCCATGAAGATCCAGGTAGAGAATAGGTCTTCAGCAACCCATGCTTGCCATAAGAGGTGATTATACTTGTAAGAGGTGACTAATGGGATCGGGTGGTCAGGCTCAATGACTTGGTTAAAGTATGTCATTGTATCCCAATTGCATAGATCGATGCTCATGTCAATAACTGGATTGTCTGGTCCAGACTCGATTATTTACAGACCGCTGTCATATAGCTTGAATATTGCTGAGTGTGGTGTTAAACAGCAAACAAAACAAAAACAAACAAATTCTAAATGCCATTCAAAGATCTGGCTTAATTGAACCCCCAATTCAGATATAGTCAAAATCTACAATTCAGGAACAAAAATATGATCCTTCATTGAATGAGGGCAAAACTGTTCAAAGGTCTGTGCTTTTGACCTGCCTCTTGTACAATTGAAAAGCTGTATTTCATCTTTATTACACCTAGACAAAAAAAACAAGCAAGAAACATAACGTCACCAAATTTATTTCTGTTGATTTGGTAGACTAGAGAGACAACACACTGATATATACAATATCAAAATATTAAATATAAGCTTAAGTCATGATCAATAGCCTGGTATTACATGACTATGAATACAATTCCATTACGACACTGATCCAGATCTAATCTTAAAAGATTCAACATTTTAGTCAGATTGGAGCCTGCCTAGGAATTGTCTTGAGAACACATCACCACATGCATCACAAGAATTTGCCAGAATCAATGGGTAGCCAAGAAAAAAAGTTAAAAGGTATCGTCCCTCATCATTTATTTGGCAATTCAGAGGCTCCTGAGTTATAAGGAATGTCCCAAAATTCTGGATCCAAAAATGAATGCTACTTGTTTAAGTTTGTTGTTTAACAAGTCTGGACCAGATAAACCAGTGATTGTTATTATGAACATCCCATGCCACCTCTGTATGACGCAATCATCCAGGTATGGAGCCTGACAGCTACCCCTGTTGTAATGAGCAAGTGAGGGAGTATGGTTTTACTCCGCTTTTAGCAATATTCGAGCAACATCACAGCGGGGTACACCAGAAATGGGCTTCACACATTGTACCCATGTCGTGAATCAAACCTGGGTGTTCGGCGTGACGAGCGAATGTTTTAACCACTAGGCTACCCCACCGCCCCTATCCCTGTTGTAACATCCAGGCATGTGATTGAAGGAAGACCAAACAACAATAAAAAGACTGGAAAAAAACCCCTTCTCAAGCATTGAAACTTCTTATATTTTTCAACAGAAATTATATCAAGTTGGGGGAAAAATGTAGATAAAATATGACTTCAGGTGGAAATATCACAGGCTTGTCAGCGGTAGAAATTAACAGTTTTCGTCCACTAGTCCTTATAATAACATATAGCAAAACCCTTAAAAAGGGCAAATTTCTACTAGTCTTTATGATACCTTAACCATTGGGCAGTTTGGCTAGGGCTATAGGACTAGTGCCAATTTCTAATGCTGCCTGTAATATTGTACAACAATCACATGTTGCTGGAGATATATTCTAACCCCAAACCCTGATGGGCCTCTTGAGAGGTGAAACAGGAATAATATAATTTGATTACAGCCTTGCACTGATTGTGATAAATGTGGTGATGGTGACCATAGTCATGAGGTTTTGTCAACAGTGACTTTTTTGGTGTTGTTGATGATAAATGACAGTTCAATGTGAATGAGCAATGTAACTAATTCTCAGTCTCATACTCTAGTTCTAGATTTTGGTTCACAGCATGAAGCATTATCTTCATCCCTTCATAAACAAATACATTTACATGATGACATGCTTGACATGGATCTGATGGGACTCTGGACACGCTGAATGAAAAGAAAAAGTTGAATACATATTTACTGAAGCATTTACTAGTACTTTAAAAAAATCATAAAAAAATAAATATTCAGTATACATGAAGATGAAACACAAAGATGAATAGACAAAATGTTACGTAACCATGGTAACCTAGGTACACCACAGCCAGCTCATTACAAAACTATGACAAACTAAACGCCATGATGCATAACATGCATTACACGATACGTGAAATGCCCACAGCAAAATATATTTTGACCAAGCTTGGAAGGAAAACAGGGTATTCCTAAGTGATTGTGACCATATACCCTGTTGAAGTCCGGACATGCAAATGCATCCACCCGTTCATGAACTAACTTAATTTCCCACCCAACCCATAGAAGGGCCCATCATATGACCTTCGTTGTTGTGTCAGCAATATTCCATCTGTATCATGGCAGCATCTCTATAATCAGTTCAGGGCCCGACAAACCAGTGATTGATATCATGGGCACGTCTCACACTGTCTGTGTATATATCTTTCAATCATGTCACAAAGTCTGACTTCTTGATCCATTTAGTCGTCTCCTACAAGAAGTGTTACTTGGCCCTATTTTTATCCAGAATATCATAAGGCATAAAGTCCGATTTAGTGTTTTACTGTTTCCTAAACTCATTCCTGCATTAATAATAGGGCTGTAACTATGCTTACCAATCTTCAAAATAGCCCCCTGCTGATAACCCCAAGAAGTGATCTTCCTGGCATCCTGCGACCTTAGCCATTACCCTGAAGCCAAAGTGTAGAACAATTCTTTTTGATCTCTTAAGCCTAGCTAAGTCTGCGCAACACTGAACTCTACTGAAAACGATGTGAAGAGCCATGTAGACTCAAAAGAATCTGGCACAGACAGCACACAGACATAATTAGTTACAGTGTTCTCCTTCATGTCTGTTATAATACACAATCAATTATTGTATTAACGTATTAGACTCCTAATTTAATGTAAGATTGAAATTTAGTTTAATTTAGACACCACACCGATTGTTTTATCAATCTAACATTAGGCTGATGTGAATAAGTTATGCTTGATTGCATCTTTTGTCATACCATCTTGAAATATAGTGTTACATCCTTGGTGTTACAGATAGATTTCTATTGTGATTTAAGAGGCGGGATAATGGTACTGAAAAGCTCCTAGAGTAGCAAGTCAATGGCTGGATCCATATTTGAGGTGTTCTGAATGCTGGTTTAACAATACACTTGGATGCTGGAAGATATGTATCTCCATTAAAGGTCGCGATGCAATACATGAGATGAAGACTTGACACTGCCATGTGTAATGAATTAACATTGTCCATCCTGAGGCTGAGTAGGTGAGTTTGGTTTAACGCCGCTTTTAGCAATATTCCAGCAATATCACGGCGGGGGACACCAGAAATGGGCTTCACACATTGTACCCATGTCGGGAATCGAACCCGGGTCTTCGGCGTGAAGAGCGAACGCTTTAACCACTAGGCTACCCGACCGCCCCTTGTCCATCCTGAGGCTGAGTAGGTGAGTGAGTGAGTATGGTTTTCCACTGCATGTTTGTTGAAATATTCCAGTGGGGGGACACCAGAAATGAGGAATTTGACAGCCTACCAAAACATAATCAGCAAGCTTAAGTAAATCAAACAAATAGCTTAGGAAATCTTAAACAAAACATATGAAAATAGTACTTCATTTATTTTCATACCAAACGTCCTTAGTCTTTTTGTCCTCATTCCTGACTTCACGCTGTAGCACGTGTTGGACAAACCTAATCTTCATTCAATCATCACAGCCCTTTTTATCAATCAGGAAAAAATGAACACAACAATCACTAAAGTGCCTTGCTTCATTGAATGTAAATATATGTTCCTATCATGTTTGGGCTGCCTGAAGATACCATTTAGAAATTCTGAACGTGGTCAATTTTGTTTTTTCCTGTTTCAATTCAGAACTTTACACTGTTGCCATGGTTACTAGGTCAGTCAGGTGTGGACAAAATTTACGGTAGCACTTTGCATCTCTAGCACATTCACAGCTGGGCTCTGTGGAACAGGATACAGTGACACCCTCTTAATCTGGACACAACCCTTCCCAGTGAAAAGGGATTGATAATATTTCCAGATGGGCTATTCATTGCTAGGTACTAATGGCCTCTGGGTACTTATTATTATATATATGGTAGAAGTTCCTAGCAGCATTGTCTGGATAGCAGGGTGTCTGGATTAACAAGGAGTCACTGTAGTTCAGAACAGTCTATTTGATGTCAAGGAGTATGTCTCTCACAATGTTAGGATATTTCTACATAGATGTAAATCCTTGATGTCATTAGCTGCTGCCAACACACTTGTCCAAATGACAGAGGAAATATTTTTCACATTTCTCTATTCCAGAAGATATCACTGTTTGTCTTTATTCCCACATGGTTTGCCATTCTTATTAACTTGTATCCATGGCAACACCAACACTGTTGCTTTCGTTGGAGAAGTTGGCAGGTTTCATGGGCTCCCTGTCACGTTCTTGATTAGCAGCATTTTCAGGGTTGCCAACAGGGGGCACATTTTCTGCGTTATTAGTGTCAGCTTGAACCTCGTCGTCCCAATCAATTTTGAACTTGGTCACTCTGACATCTTTTGTTACAATTGTTCGTTGAAGCTGCAACAAGACATTCAAAACATATGAACACCATTCAGTTAAAAGGTTTTTTAGATGTTACCAAAGGACATATTCTGGACTCAAATTAATCGGGCACAGAGTAAGGTCAATGGTAGGGACCAACTACAAGGACATTGTCTTTTTGTATCTACTGCAAAATTACAACATCAACCATATATAGTTGCAGCCCTGAACTAATAGTGTCAAGATTCATTGATAATGGATCACAAATTTACACCGGACACTTATGTCTTAATTCTGGATTGATTTTCAAAAAGGAATACCGTATTCGACGTAATAAGCGCCCCCCTCTAATAAGCGCCAACTTCGATATTTGCTAATATATTGGCTAGTGAACAATCCCAATTAGCCCCCCTTCTGATTAATCAATGTACACAAGACTTATTTATTCGCGTATAAAACACACTTGAGTGTTATAACACCCTTAATTATGGGCAATTAAATTCTGGAAAAATATATCTGTCGTTTATCAACATTTCAGGGTGTCAGCATAAACCATGAAATTTATCTTTTAACTGTTTTTTTCACTAAAATAACATTCTAATAAAAGCCCCCTACTTCTAATTTTGAGAGCGCCCTGGGCGCTTATTTCGTCAAATACAGTATATACCTATTCTTTCCTAATAAGTACTTGGACAAAAAAAGTTCAAATTAAGTAATGCTATGCTTCATGACTTGCTACCTGAGGTAGTGGCATTATGACGGCTCTACTTGGAAAACTAAATATAGCATATTTATAGTTCCTCTGTGGTTTGATATTCCTAGTTTCGGCTTTACTCTTTGCTTTGACATAACCAATGGCAACTGAAATGCTTATAAAACACACAGAACTGCAGAAGATTTGACAATGTTGAATAAGAACTAAGGGAGATAACTTCATTCATCTGTGCAGATGACTATGTTGTCTCCCTTAGCAGTTCTTCACATTTACTAAACTGTAAAACTTACGATCAACAATCTGTGAAAAAAACCTTATTGTGTGGAAGACAAATGAGTATCTGACAAACCAACCCTTATCATTGACTAGTTAGTTACATGACCACCGATGCACATTATAACACTCCTTTTCAGGCCTCAAAGTTTAAATATCTACCAAGTAGCCAGTGGTAAAATCAAGAAGTCAAGCCAATATTGTAGGTAGCTAAAAGCATTTGAAATCATCTTTTATCAAATAACTATTACAATATGTATAAGTTATAGCACTAGTCTTCGAATTGTATATTAGTGGAAACTGTACTTGAGTTTTGTTATTTGTGACTCGAACGACGCAGTTTATGTAACTAGATTATATAGGTATATCCTTGCTTATCCAATAAATTATCAACTAAAATAAAATACTAATTACACTAATATTGATGTATTTCGGTTCATTGTCTACTTTAAGAGTAATTATTTGTGAGTGCAATCAGAAGCAGACATGTTGTGTCAACATGTGTAGCAATACAATTTAGTCGCCACAAGATATTTTTCAAGGTATTTTTTGGCTACCTCTGAATTTTAGACAGTAGACAAAGTGAAATTTAGGTCGTATTGGTGACCGTTTTAGTAGCAACTTTGAGGCCTGCTTTTAATATTTATGTATGACCACAACATGTGCGAGTGCCTGGAAATGTAATGTGGAGCCCCATCAGTAAATGAGAAGCATGTTTAACAAACCTGTTCATAAATAGGTATTGCTGGTGGATTTTCGTTCAACTCTACATCTTCTGAGCGGTAGAAATTGTTGACATAATATCCCACACGAATGAACTCTTTACTCCTGTAAGAGCAGGTGAGAAGGACGACCGTCACTCCGACAACATCGTTGATTGGAATCTTGTTTATGTCAGGTGCAGGTGCCTGGAACAATACAAATGGTTAATCAGTTCTTACCCCAATATCTCTGTACAATACACAACGATGAAAGCAGTGGTGTGGAAATATCAAAATTGTGAACTTGTTACTGGACACGTACACAGTAAATATTGGCTTGTCCCGATTATTCTTTGAAAAAGTAGTGTTCTTATTACATTCTTTCACGTACTGCCCGTGATCTACATTTTGACATTGATGAATAAGCTATTTTTTTTACCCATTTCTAGGCTGAAATAAACCAAACAAAAACAATATGACATTATTGGCTACATGGTACTCTGAACAATTAATCAGAGAGCATGTCCTAAAGCTTGTTGGAAATCAGATATGTAAGAAACACACTGCCTGCCATCAGATCAATTCGCAATACTTGCTTTTTGTTTTCTTATCAAAATTAACTCAAGTCAGCAAAATTGTAAGGACAAGCAGATTTATTGTTTGTCTGGCAATATCACCTAACATAAACAAGTCAAAGGTTGTTTTTCCACACCCTTGGAGAGTCACTGAATGATCAATTATTAAGGGTATTGACCTACTCTGGCCCAAAATCAGAATGGTGAATGACAAATGTCATGTCATGATTTTTTTGCACATGGCCAAATCATGGCAGCCTGCACATAAATCAAGACTGGGGTAGTAGACAGACATGATGTTGATTATGAAGTCCCACAATGACAAGCCACTGAGTCTGATCCAAGACCAGCAGCAGATTACTGGTAACCATCCCCAAGTCCCATGAGGAGCCATTCATTCAAGTATCCCTGCTTGTCAGTTTGTCTTGGGAAGAAAATTAGTCATGCAGACCATAGACATTCACTACTTTGGCAACACTCAAGGGTTGGTTGGTTGGTTTGTTGTTTAATGCTGCACTCAGCAATATTCCAGCTATATGACGGCAGTCTGTAAATAATCAAGTCTGGACCAGACAATCCAGTGATTAATATCATGAGTATCGATCCATGCAATTGGGATACAATGACATGTATCAACCAAGTCAGCGAGCCTGACCACCCGATCCCGTTAGTCACCTCTTATGACAAGCATAGTCGCCTTTTATGGCAAGCATGGGTTGCTGAAGACCTATTCTACCCCGGATCTTCACGGAGGCACTCAAGGGAATGTGTATGGTACAAAAGGTCATAATCCAGGGCTCGATTTAAGGAACTTGATATAACTTGCACCAGGTGCATGTTGACATGAAAACCAAGTTGCAATAAACAAAACCAGGTTGCACCCTGGACCCATAAATCTACCAAAGTTGAAACGTAGTTGCCAGTGTCACATTAACTAATGACGCACTGTTAAAACAAAAGTTAGTTTGTTGTTTAACGCCGATCTCAGTAATATTCCAGCTATGTAAAACATAATAGTAGTATGTGCACATATTCTTGGAAGTACCCACAGTTTGATAAAGTTAAGCCTAAGACTGCATGACAAAGTACACATAACACAGGGATTAGTGATGTAGTACAGTAAATAAACTTCAGAGGTAATGAGTGTGTTCAAAAAACAAATTTGGTGTGTGAACAAGTGAGTGTTAGTCGGGACACAAATTTTGAAATTCTTTTTACATGCACTTGGTATATGTAGACAAACAATAGGTTGCGATTTTCAATAATTGCTTGCACTGGTGCATGTTTTATATAGCTAAATCTACCACTGTAATCACTACATCAGGTCCCTAAAGTCTGCTCAAAGAAATGGGACCCAACACACAACTGAACAAATCATTCATAGTTGAACTACCTGCACATCTGATGTTATTCACCTTGATCTTCTATTGAGCATGTTGAGGTAGTCTCAAAACAATGTAACCTCAAAAAATAGATTTTGGGGAAACTTGTTTTTCTTGTAATGGCTAAATGTAGTTAATAATTCTGTAATATCAGTGTTTGGAATACTAAAAGTAAGAATTCAGCTTTTGTTTTTCTTGTTGCATGAAAATATGCATTGAAGATTAATGGGGTCCAAGAATTAAAACTCTAAAACATCTTTTAAACAAAATAAAAAAAACATCCCAATTGGCCTGCCATAGGCATAAATCTCTGGTTTATCTGTTCTATTTCACAACACCGTCTCTGCAAGGTGTATACATTTTGAGGAAAGCTACTTCATTACCTCATCATGCTCAATCAAAATAGGAAGTGCTTATGACAATGATTAGGTTTGTTACCTCAAACACGAACTTGTGGCATCCTGCAGGTACAGGTCCGACTAGGACAGTTTCAAGTATCTGATCATGTTCCACGCTTTCGGCAGATCCCACATAGATGATCTTCCACTCTAAATCTGTGACAAACAATGAAACAATTTCAATGACTATTTGGTGTATTATTTTTTATTACATTATTTTATACATTCATATACCACAGGTATCCAGGCACTAGAATCTGTTCCCCAACCAATGGATCCCTTTGAATTCTAGTTATTCTCAACTCCCTGGGGAGTATACAACCCAAGCCGCCTAGGTGGGCTAGAAGAATGTTACATCCACCTCACATATCGGGTACCCATTCACTGTTGGGTGAACAGAGGCACACTTGATCTAAGTCACCAGCCAAGGGTGACACTCTAAGTTTTGACACTTGTGTTCCAGGTGTATGTACGTAATCTTGCTTCACCATCTGGTCATCTACCATCATACGAGTGGGTTCTCTTGAGTGCACAGGGTGTACATACTGTACACTAGGTGTAGTGACAACACCTGTAAACTTTGTTGTTCCCAAGGCTGAATAACAACCCGTCACTAGCGGGATACGATCCCAGCATTTCGCGCTAGCTAGCCTGGCGCTTTTGACCGCTTGCCTACTCCACCAAGTACAACACACAAGATTACTTTGCTTTTTTGCAACACACCAAGCAGTATTCCAGATATAGATGAAATAAACATGGATAGTAACAAAGGAAAGGGATGGGTGAGGAGAAGAAGATTTAGAATTTTTTAGATAGCATCATGGGAAAGATGGGAGGGAGCACACAAACTTCCGTTGGAGCATCTGTGGATTCATGTTGACCTAAATTACTACATTTGTACACGGATATTAACGTATATTTAGCTTTGGAAGTTTACACATATTGTTTCTGGATAACAATATTGTCATAAAAAGCATTGTGCCTTTGAATGGTTCCTTTGATAACTTCTTTTCCTCATTGACTTTAATGGTAAGTGTTTAAATATCAGAATCATTTTCATTCTGTGCCAAAACCTTCTGCGACTACAACTAGTACTAGCCTGAACTTGGCTCTTAGCCTCATTTTCTGTGGAATTAACTGATGTTATGTGAATTATCATTAACTGATGTTCCTAGACTGAACAGAATTTAACTAGACTCCGGCTTCGGACCACTTGCTAAAGTCATACTGTATTTTATGTAGCTTTGGAGATTGTATTCAATGAACACGAATCACGCATTACATAGCTGAAAAATGCACAAAAGCTCAATTTTTGGGCAAATAGTCACAATCAAATATTATTTTGTGACTTTCTGTAATCATGCGGCCCAGAGTGAGTGGACATTGTTTTACGCCGCTTTTGACAATATTCCTGCAATATCACTGCGGGGGACACCAGAAATGGGCTTTACACATAGTACCCATTCGGGAATTTAACCCGGGTCTTCTGTGTGACAAGTGAACGCTTTAACCACTAGGTTACCCAACCGCCCCACGCGGCCTAGATTTATCTCTGCTGAATAATGGCAGCCTATGAATAATAGTTCAGACAAGACAAACCAGTGTGCTATTGGGTCGATAATCTAAGATAGAAAGCCACCAACAAAGTCACCGAGCCAGACCACTCAATCACTTCTTACAAACAGCATGGGTTGCATCGGGCCTAAGCTGAACCGGAATCCCCGCTGTGTAAACAGTCACACACATAAAATTACATTCAAGTGACTTTAGTGAGCGAGTTGTGTTTAACAGTATTTCAGTTGCATAACAACATGTCTGACACACTATGGGACATAACTCTGCACAGCAAATTATGGCACCTTTGATGACAGGGCAAACATTGCACATAAAGTGGTAGTGGAGTGAATGTTGTTTATATCAATTACCAATATTCCACTTATATCATGGTGATCTGTATATAATTGAACCTCAATTTGACAGTGGCGACGGCCAATACCGGCCAGGACAGGGCACAATCAGATACGATAAGAAACACCGTACATCCTGTTCATAATTGCCTGCTAAATGTTTTGGGGGTTGTCATTTAAAGCAGCAGTCAGCAATAATCCAGCTATATGACGGTGGCCTGTAAATAATCAATTCAGGGTCAATGATTGCTATTTTGAACAACGATCCATGTCATAAGGGGAACTTAAAAATGCAATTAAATAAGATCCATTTAATGGCCTCTAACCCAAATTTTGACAAGTAAAGGATGTTGTGGCACATTCTAACATGAAATCCCCACAGCCATCTGCCTGATGATGGCCTCGAGACATTTTCTCATCTTGAATCCCTTATGGGACCTTGCGTCATAGCAAGTTATTAAATAGGTATTTAACATGTGTCTGCTCAACTACATTACTGGCCTGAAGGTGATATCTCTTTATTGTTTAATTACACACTCAGCAATATTCCAGCTACATGGTGGCAGCCTGTACATATTTTAATCGACTCAGGACCAGACAATGAAGTGATCGATTTTGTGAGCAACGATCAACGCCATGGGGTACAAAGATCCGCTATCAACCAAGTCACTGATCCTGACCACCCGATCAGTTTGGTCACCTTTCACTACCACTGACCAGCTAAGGTTGCTGGGGTCCTAATTTGAAATCCCAAAAGGGTCAATAAATTGCCACCAACTTGATCACACCGAGATGAAGAAGAAAGAACGAGTAATGTATATTTTTAGAACAAATTGCAACCTCAGCATAGATCTGAACAGTGTGTCAAGTATGTTTTTCAAGAATACTTCTTTATTAAAAACGATGCAACCATCCAATACATTTAGGCCTATCTGTGCATCTTCATATTCCAAAACAGTTTCAGCGATTGACATATTTTACAACGACATAGTTATGTTCACGTCAGTGGAAACCAGTCGTTCAAAGCAATAACACACTTGTAATATTACATACGGTTTTCGTTCCTTTTGTACTCTTACCTGTCGCTAGATCTTCTGTGCACTCAAAAGTTATTTCGAATTGGAACGGGTTAAGGAAAGATGATGGATTGTCCAAAACTGTTACGTTACTTATATGTACTTTAGCCATTATTAGTCAAGCGTTTAAAGTTTCATTTGTAATATGTTTACAACAAAAAGCCGGGAAGACAGGCGCCGAAATGTTTGTAAAGTGTTCGTGAAAAGAGCGCCAAGCGGAGACATCAATTTATTACTATTTAGTTAACTACATCGTGATTGGCGGATTATTACCATCCTTGTTTGCAACAAACATGTTGATTGGTTCCCGATCGCGCACCCGTCTCCTCCTCGCACAGCATTTCCGCTTCCGCAGCGTACATGTTGACAAAAGCGTCTGTCTGTCAAAACGTAGGTCATCTGAACATAAATCAAGTCTCCATTCTATTTAACTCTTTAGCCTGGTAAAATAAGACAATCGTGTAAGAATAAAATCCACAAGGTTGAAACTAAACCAATAAACACCACAATTAGCACGTATAGTGATAGATGTTACACCTTGATTTCGACAGCTTGGCAAATGCAAATGCACGAATCCAGTGAACATTTGCATTTACCTATCAAGTGAGTCGCGTAATGATAGTCAGATCGTAAGACGAGATCAATCGCACCCGATCCTGATCAACTGGTGCTGCTTCAAAAGTGAATCTTGAGGTTCATTACCAGGGTCAGTGACAAAAGAATGTTTATTCTCACTAGTCCCAAAAGATTAGGCCCATCTGCTTCAAAGTTGCCAGCTTGAAAGTGTCTCTTCGTGCACTTCTGGAGTCTTGAGACTAGCAGAATTACATTAATTTCGAATGCAGATAACGTCAGTCTAAAATTCTAGTTATATTCTAGTTATTTATGATCTTGGTAGTCGAAAATGTAGCTAGAATAAATTGTCACTGAATTAATTCTCACATTATTTATAATTTAATTAAATATCCATACGGAAGCTACATAATCTAGAAACCAGACAAATGTTTACATGTAGATTCAAATGTCATGATAGAATATATGTACATGTTAGAAAATGTATAATAAAACTACAATATGTATAAGAAATCAGTTGATTATGCCTTTCTAGTTCAACTACCACTTGGCACTTTGGTTGATGCAAGTCATTGCATTGCATCCCAAGTACATGTAATGATGCTCATGATCTCAGTCACTGGATTGTCTGGTCCAGATTTGATTATTTACAGACCACCGACATATAGCTGGAATGTTGGTGAATGCTGCGTTAACAAACAAACCTTTTTGTTTGTACTGCATGCATTTTCTGTGATTAAAAGATGAAGTTAGGACCTAACCATGCTAACATGTTTAAAATATGTTAGATTGTTCTGATTATGCTATTAAATGTGAGGTGAAGTTAAATGGGGTTTAACGTCGCATCCAAGATTATTGCACTTATATAGCAACGTGCATGCATATGTGTGTGTGTGGCTGCCTGTACCAGTCCTGACTAATGATGATTTTATCCCACTACGCAGTTTAACATGAATACCCCTCTCAGACACAGTACACTGACTCCAAACTGACCAGTCCTTGTTGTAACCAACCCCTTAATGCTGAGCGCCAGCAGGGTAACAACAAGTACCATCATTTAACATGACATGGCCAAGTGATCGAACCACTCTCTGGGCAGATGCTTTACCATTAGACCACGGAGGCGGTCTATATTATTAGAACACTTTCCAGCTTGTAAATTCAATCTTTTGGATTGAAAAAGACAGGTGCATTACTTCATTACTTACATTACAATGGTAAGAAGACATTACATTTCCACTACTTTAGTCTACATTTGATTGTTTCAGAAGGAAGAAACAATGTCTACCATGATACCAAGAACCAGTATCGATGAGGCCAATCGACATCTCCTTGCTCTACACAGACGTGTAAATGAGCTGGAAAATACTGTTCAAGAGCAAAACAATGCACTCCTTGCCAAGGATGAATTGTTGAAGACCAAAGTTTCTGAGGTAGAGGCAGCGAAAAACAGTGAACTGGCTAAGCTATCAGAGAAGCTTGTTTCGACTGAGAAGACTGTGGAAATCATACAAGAGCAACTGCGTCAGAAACACCAACAAGTTGCCATACTGCAACGAAGTTGTAGGCTTATGCAAAATCTAGTGTCTTTCAAGAATAATGTGAAAGAACTGTTAAGCTGCATGGATGATGCTGAGAAAGACATGGCCAGTCAAAGAGACTTCCTTAGTTTGTATACCGACTCTTCCACAGCGAACACTCATAATGCCAACTCAAGTCCTAAGTCATCAGGAGTACACATGAACTCTACAGTTGTCAATAGTTATGCAAATCATGAGGACACTCAAGATGATCAGAGTATGGATGGGGTGGATTCAGGGGACGATGTTTGGAAGGTTCGCCAGGGAAGAAAGCCCAGAGGGGAAAGAAAAACAAAACCCAAAGGGAAAGAATTTTATCTATGACGCTAGGTGGAGATGACTAAACCACTGCTGAACTGCACTGACAAATGTTTCAGGAAATCTTTGGTGATGAACATGATGAATGGCATTGATGGATACTGGGATATGTTTCTATGAGTGATTATGATTGTGGGTTCGAATCCGGTTTTGCCCTGATTATGTTTTTAGGTTTGTCAGCATCATACCCGTGCTCGTGGGTTTCACCAATGTGGTAAGCGTCTAAGACCTACATCACTTTGAGCTTTCCTCCCACATTAAGCTGACAAGTAGTGATATAACTGGAATACTGTTAAAAGCGGCGTAAACCCAACTCACTCACTCACTTAATCATCTTGTACTTTAAAGGTATAAAGGGGCAATTGCTGTAAATATTTTGTCAGTGTAGACATTGTAAACCTGTCTTCTGTCAGTAATATGACTCAATATCACCAAGTAATCTGTTCATTATAAACAACTGTTTATTAAATATATGAGATAGGAAATCATGAAAATAGATATGAAAGATTAATTTACCAAATTGCTATCATTAGAAATTTAGTTTTGCACAAGGGTAGCCTAGTGGTTAAAGTGTTCACTTGCCAGACTGCCAGGGTTTGATGCCATGTGCTGATATTGCTGGAATCCTGGTAAAAGTGATATAAAATCTTCCTTACTCAGAATGTTGTTTTGAGGCTTCAGGTTCACACCAACATACACAACAGTTTATTGTATACAACTTGGCTAAGCTATGTTTATGCAAAAATATGTTTAATTTCAAGTTTTTAGTGGTTAACCACACATTTCATAGAGAGTTGATAAAAAGTTCTACATCGTAATCCTTACTTTACATTAATTTTTTGGTTATTTTCTTTCAGTCCATACTTATTAAAATGTTTTATAAAACCAATAAAATAAAGGTAATATCACTGTTTTAGAGCATTTGTATGGTGTGCTTTCAATCAAACGGCATGTGTAGCATTTTTCTTTTTCATTTTTTTTGTTTTGGTAAATTTTTCCTTTTTGTGGGGTAAACTCAAACATTAACAAATGAATAAATAGGATTTTTTCAGTATTTGTTGATGTATCCTCTTGATTTGTGTTTTAAGTTTTTTGTTTTTTTTATTGGACATGTTACCATGGTTACAAGTTTGAACATTTCTAGTCATGAAAATATATTGTCACCATTCCACGACACAATTGATAGGAGATTGATATGTTTCTACATTCGTGTTTGCTGAAATAATCTGTTATTTATTTATTTGTTTTGTTTGTTTATTTCATTTATTGTGTTGAAACAGTTATTCCCCAGGAGACCTTTCCCTGGAATCAAATGGTTTCCAGAGAAGTTAAAATGTTTACTCTTCCTCACAACTTGAGAATGCTATTCTGTACTATGGCCATGTTTGCTACATGAGAGTTGAGACATGCACTCTACACCATGTCACGGTAAACAAACTGACAATGAAAGGCATATTTGTATTGAACATGCTTTGATGAGGATACCTTTGTTGCTCATTTCTAAGAATATATTTTGACAGATGATGGGACCAGTTTATTATACACTTTGTTACACTTGTTTATTCATGTATTACATGCTGTGTTTATTTCATGTGTTGATGTGTGTTCCACACTTGTTACCAGACAATGAAATCCATAATCAGAGGAGCAATTGAATCTCTATATAATGAGTGTTGTGCTGTTTATTGTAATAATCTTTGTTATGAAGTTTATAGTTACTTGAAATAGAATCATTATTTAATTAGCAGCTTGATCAAGTCAATGTTTGACAGTCCAAGGTACATGATAGTAGCCATAATATTACTGGTCTCAGAGCTCCAGATAAGCTGCGTATCTGCGTAAAATACACATCAGAAATGCAGAAATAAGCAGTAAAATAAAATCCAAGCCTATCAAATACGCAACGAACATTACAGATACGCTACAAAAATATAACTTGTGCGTATCATCAAAATATTGTGAAGTAACCCTGCATATTCGATTAGCAAATCAGCAACTTATTTTGAAATTATAAACGGGCATTCCGTCAACCTTGCCAAACTCCATGATGACAGTTACATCATGATCATTTGCCATCACACTTTCTTGTGGAAGTATTGTGGTATTTGTGAGTCCTATAAAGCTCTCGAACCGACCTGACACCAGTTTGCAGGGACTAGATGAATAGTGTTTTTAAATATTTAACTTAAATACTCACATGTGTAAAAACTAGTGGGTAACAGAAATTTGAATACCCAATGATTTTAAAATGCATGGGTAAAATACCCACAACACCAAAAGCTTATCTGGAGCTCTGGGTCTGCTATCGTCAGGAATACTGCATCTTTTGGAGGTCCTTCTGCAACAAGAGTGCGTGTAAAACAGTGATACTTTAGTTCTTAGGGTAATTGTTTTGCTACAGTGATATACAATACATGTTTCATTGTCCTCTTTGAAGTGTTTACATTTTTTAATGTTTTTTCCTTTTCATACCTGTTTCATTTGAAAGTCAGTGTATAAGGCACTGTGTTCAAATACATCATGTTTTCTCTTTACAGGTGATGCTGAACTGTATTCAATATATAGATCATGTTTATTTCGACAGATATTATTATTAATGCACTGTATTCAGTATAAAGTTCATGTTTCATTGGATAGGTAATAATGAACTATATTCAGTGTAGGGATCATGTTTTATTGGATAGGTAAGAATGAACTATATTCAACATGTTCAAGGTAGGGATCATGTTTTATTGGATAGGTAATACTGAATTGTATTCAACACTGAGTTAATATTTCCGGTTACAGTTAATAGTACAACATATTTGATGGAATCATTACTATTGCACTACATTCCAAAGAGATTATGTTTCCAAGGAAAGTTTGGTAGTGTTGGGTATTATGTATTCAACATTAAACTCTAGTGCCTCTCAACTAGGGCATGTTGTAAACATTTTCTATTTCATGTGCCTTTTGTACCCAGCCATATATAGGGGAGTAAGAACAACACTAGACACTACCCACAGAAAACAAGGGAACATTTGATGTGAGTGTTAATGTCATCCCTGTTCCTAGCCATCTGTGTGAGTTCCATCATGTTTTCGTAGCTTGGAACTAGAACTTAGCCATAGTTCTATGAATACATTACCTCCATGACAGAATTATACTTGGGCTAGTCAACGTAGAATTGGACAGTTTCATACAATACCAACAGAGACATTGAGATTATTATAGGAACATGTGTTTCATACTGATTTTACGAACGAGTGTCAGAATTCTTGTTTCCCAAACTGGAGCAAAGAATACGTGACTTCTTACGCAAGTTTCTTAAAATTGTCGAATGATGTCAACAATCTTCAGCTATGATGTAGTTTCTGGTGTGACATAATTCCAACCTTATGTCACAATACAATTCAATGTCAACAATGCGGTCCATATGACGTAAACAGTACACTGGTGCGTGTGAAGTGATATTTGCACAAATGCACATACAATTTTTTAGAAATTGATTATTTCCTGCCCTATGGGTAATAAACAGCAATATACTCCTTTGTCTTCTACCCCACTGTGTCTATGAGAACCCCAGCTTTCCATGTTTTCTTCACACTTAAAAAGCTTGTTGTAAGACTGGAACAATTGATTCTATGGCTATGAATTTTGAAATCCATTATGTTGGAGGGCTTCTGTTGCCTTCATGTTATGTAGAATGCTGGCATACAAACATGGTTCATTCATGCGTCCAGTGCCTGAAAAGCAAGACTATGAGAAAATGGTGTTTTCATAAGACATATGCTCTAGGGTCTACAAGAACCTACTGGTATTATCTATCATTCTCCTCATAATCAGGAATGTATGCTTCTATGTGTGTCCACCCATTGATGGATGATAAATCCTGGAGATTATAAGACTGCTATCACCATGTGACATAGGACTTGTAGGACACTTGCTGAAGTGAATGTGTTTGCATTGATTGCTTGTTACTACTCCGTTTCATGTGCAATATTTTCTGTTTTCTTGAATCAAAAAAGAAGTGATATTCTGTACCTGGGTTTGTCGTTTTGAGTCTTATGACCCATTGTGATCCTATTTATTCTGTAGATTTGTAGTTTGATCCCTTTTTAATATGTTTAATACTCACATACAGATAAATAATTATCAGGAAATACATGATCAGCCTTTGTGTATTGTTACCATGGTGATCAATATTTGCAGTAATATATCAGTTGAGGTATGACTGAAGTTTCAGAACTCGAGTCAGTATTGTAAGAGAATCCGTGATGAAAAGGGTGAGATCATTAACCAAGGCGACTTAATGGATTGGCTGGGCAGGCTTGGTAAATCAATGTACCCCCGGGAGTTTGGATCGTTGTTCATTATATCAATCATTGGATTATCTGGTCCAGACTAGATTATTTACAGACCACTGTCATACCTGGAAGATTGCAAAGTGTGGCCCTTAACAAAATTTATCATCCAAAACTGGCTCCCACAGGAGATGTCACTTGGGTGAGATCAAGCGATATCAACATTGTAGATATCGCTGCAATGAAATTGCATCACAATGCTTTGCAGTCCATCGTGACGTCATTGGTTACCATGATGTCACTTTCAAATGACATCAATGGCTCTGCTACTGAAGCTGTTAGAAGTACCTTTTACACTTAAGACACTGCTTATTATTGTCTACAAACTGAAAAAGTTGGAAGAATGATGTTGGATGATAGAAAGAATCTCACCCTTGTGTCTTTTGATAACAAATATGTCAACACTTGTCGATAAAAGTTTAAGACTCCTCGGCACGCCTCAGAGAAACTTTTATCGACTCATGTAGATATATTTGATATCAAAAGACACTTGGGTGAGATTCTCCTTATACACATTAGACAAGCAGAGAGATCAAGTTGGTCAGTCTCTGCAGTAGGTGGTGGGCTAATAATGTATGGACTAATTATGTATGTAAGGTTAAAGGGACATAACCATGTAATATGAACATAATACAGCATTTGTTATTTATTGACCAAGGGTTGGACGCACAGTAATGGAAGGAGGTATTTGATTGGCCAGCTTATTTATGATAGGGCCTACAGATATGATCTTTATTTCTTGTGACTAATGTAATCAGAATAGTATTTGGATGAGTATATGGGTGCTAATATTAAGTTATTTACATGTGGATCTCAAGTGGATTTGTTTACGATATAACCACTCCTGGGTCCTGTTCCACAGAATGATCTTTGCATTACGACGATCGTAAGCCAATGTTAAAGTATGGGAGTTACAATCACCTTAGCGCTAAGATTGCTCTGTACTACGGGAACCAGTTCCTAAGTCAGTTCCTGTTAACAAAACCATTCCTGTTTGTATAGTTCTTTCCATGTTGTTGTTTAGCTAAGCTATTGTGATCTTTTTGCCACTGTTCTTGTTTAGAACGTTTCATACCATGTGTTGAGTGTCTGTTTATGTTCAAATAATCAACGACAGCAGCCGTTTATCTTTACATGAAGGTTTTTTGCATATATATATGTGTGTATAGTATTATACATTTGATTTTTATTCCAAGTAACACGTTTTATAGTTACTCACCTGTGTGCAATGATGTAATACTGGGAATATATATTTTGCCATGGATATATGATGTAAGCATGGTAACGGATTTTTTTATATTTAATATTTTTCAAGGTAGATAGATTATGTATGCCACATCCCCCATGTCATTACTTGTTAAAGAATTCCGGTATCTGATTGGTCAGTCGCTGTCATGTGGAAACCCATACAAGTCGGCCAGCCTGTATGGATAACATGTCGTTATAGTGTTTGATATGACGACACTTTGTTGTCGCGTCACTATTGACCCTGTTCCCACTTCGAGTTACCATCCTGAAAGTCTGATGGCTGTCACGAGATAAATCTGATTGTCACACACACACATTTGTATTGAAAATAGGTCTTTGTTACTTGTGAACTCATACTGATAAACTTGTCACATGTGTCATGGTAGCTGTCTGTGCCTTTAGCCTATAGTCCGAAGCCCAAGTCTAGTAAGCTCAGCTAGTAAAAGTTCATATGATAACACTGAAATGGAAAAAAATTATGCTAAGTTGGGGCTGGTAGACTCAATAGTGTTTGGTACAGACTGTAGGAGGGTGTTTGGGATTTCATGAACTAATTGTTCATGTAGGCCCCTCAACCTTTGGCCTTGTGGTGTACAACTCCATCAGCTTGTATAATGCCATACACCCCACTACTGACACATGTGACCCCTTATATAGAGCAAAGTTTCTCATATTTCACATGGGAACTAAATTCATACATGGTGAAGAACACTGTAGCTCCATTGCCGGTGTAGAATTTTTCCATTTCTAAAGCCACTGCGAAATGTCCTAGTTTGTTATATCATTTATTTATGATTTTGGTGGAAATATTCTGAAGCTGTTTATCTCAAGATTCCTTGTTTTACTAACTGAATGGTCTGAAGTGCCACAAGTCATACAAAGTTATGTCCCTTGGCTGCCAGGATCTGCTGTCCAGGGGTCAGATCCGACATCACGACTTGTCACTCACTCACATTTTGTGTAACTTTACTGACAAGAATTGTCCCATTTAGTAATGATCAGTATTGTCCCATTTAGTAATGATCAGTATGTATGTTAAAGAACCCATCCAGTAATATTGGGAAGTAATATTATACTAAGAAAGTGTCTTATTCTGTTTAAAGAAAGGTCAATAGGTATTTCACTTTGTACATTAGAGACTGGTCATTTATTATCAGGGGTGGGGGGTGGGGAGGACTGTATTATATTTTGCTCCACCCCTCCCGATACACACACAGGTAACATCTTTTTCATGACCCTCCCCCCTCCTATAATGAATTAACAGTCCATAATTATTATTCAAATTTACGATTTTGTAATTCTAAAAAAATAGAACTGTCATATTTTTAATTATCATATCCCCCTCCTCCACCTCGCCCTCCCCAATATAGCTGCTGACCCTGCTCTATTGCTGTGTCAATTTTTCATGACCCAAACACCTGAGAATAAGGTACCTGAATAAATTTGTTCATACTCTAGAAAAGTTCTACTGATTAACAATGTTTAACGGTACTGTCTGTACCTGTACAAAGAATAACAGAATACTTGCTGAACAGCATTATACACACATTCCTTACAAATAAGACCACTTGTATATGTTGTATACCATTCCATCACCATCATTCCAGTATGCAGTCTTAGTCAGTGTGAGGATTCCAGGTTAGAATAGGTCACACTAACCTATGCTTGTTGTAAGAGGCAGCTGATTGGTGGTCAGCCTCAGTGACTGGTTGACTGCGTGTCATCGTACCCTGACAGCATGGGATGTTGCTCATAATATCAGTCACTGGTTTGCTTCTTGCATACTTTTGGGTACAATGTGTGAAGCCCATTTCTGGTGTCCTCCGCCGTGATATTGCTGGAATATTGCTAAAAGCAGCGTAAAACCATACTCACTCACTCACTCATGCATACTTTATTTTCAGTCTGGAAATGTATAGGTATACAAATCATCGTGGTGTTATTAGTCATAGACATGTGTTTTGTACACAGTCACAACTGAACCCTATTCTGAATAGTAATTGAAGTTCATTCTACGCCATGTAGAATCTTTGATGTCAGTTTGCTGACTCCATCAACTTCTATGCAGATTCAGTCATGTGACACAGATTCAGTCATGTGACGTGACACAGGTTCAGTCATGTGACACAGTTTGTGGATACTTGTGGGAAATACTGACATGTAAACCTTGTTTCAAATGTAACCACTTTTATGCATATTCAGACATATTACACACAAATTACAGAACTGTTTTTGTGTAGTTTTGAAATAAACATAATAAAGTAATCCTGTAGTTTGTTGTTTTTCTATCACATATGTAACATTATTGGATAGTTTTGTGCTGAAATGTGTATGCCATTGCAAACTCTTGAAGACATAAATTTGAATTTACCTGTTAAGAAAAAATCTTTAAGATTTGATGTTCCAAGACTTGATAAGATTTTCTACTCTGCTCAACTGTTGCCCATTTCAAGCCAAGTTCTAGACGAAGTTATTCGCACTATGTGTGCGACATTGTTCTTATTGTCGATGGCGTTCTCATTGTTGTTAAATATACTTTTCCACAGTGGACAATAGGATTTGAGTTAGCTGATTAGTTGGTTGGTTTGATGTTTAACGCCGCACTCAGCAATATTCCAGGCATATGACGGCAGTCTGTAAATAATCGAGTCTGGCCCAGACAATCCAGTGATTAATATCATGAGCATCGATCCACGCAATTGGGATCGATGACATGCATCAACCAAGTCAACGAGCCTGACCTCCAGATCCCGTTAGTCGCCTCTTACGACAAGCCTAGTCGCCTTTTACAGCAAGCATGGGTTGCTGAAGACCTATTCTACCCTGGATCTTCACGGGCTAGTTAGCTGATTAAGTATGAGTTAAAACTTTAATTTTATACTAGTTATTGACTTAAAAAGTGCCAAATTAAGTCTATGCAGCAATATGCATTATTTCTGAATTCAAATCGCAGGTACACTTATCTCTCAACGTATGCAACAAAATACAACTCACAAACTATGAACAGAATAGCATCTATTGTGGCATTAACCCCATTCGTCAAGAATAGCATTAACCCTCGAGCTAGCCTATCAAAGGGGGGTAACTCTAAACTCCGTTCATCAGCATGGCGACTTCCAACCAAGAACGTGTACAGGTAAACATTTCACATTTAATAAAGACCCGAAAGCACTCGAACATTTATTTTTTTGGAACGACAACAGCTCATCGATAAGTTTGGCATTCGGTATGTGTTGGAATGATCCGATGTCCAAATATAGAGTTCGCACACATGACGAGCAAGCACCTGCATAAATCTATCTTGTGTGTGTTTTGCCACAGCTGTACCGTGACCCCGTGGTGTTAAAAACTGTGTCACTGCCAGTCATGTGACAGTTTCTAGTAAATTTGAGTTGCCACGTTTCATTTGGGTCATAATGTAGAGCATTATTGAAATGTTATTTTTTAAACTTTTTCGAAATATTATTAGGGACAAAATAAATTCTAAGCAGAAACGAAAAATTCTAACGGCGTATGTCTATTCGGTAATCACCAACAGCTGATCGACTGATCAGAACTTTCGATCAGTCGATCACCTATATTGATAACCTTTTGATATTATTTTTTTCACACTGGAATATAATAGGCACAGGCATGGACATAAATGGAATTTATTTGGTTGGTTCAAAGTGAAAGGATATCGAATGATTGACAGTCTTCAGTTACAAATCCAAAATGATATTAGAAATAAATTCCATATTAAATTCTACGTTTTTCAGTATTTAACAAAAGAATATTTGCAAATGAACTCATGCTAGCAGGTGCATGCTTGTTTCCATCCTTGTATGAGGAATATATGTTGTCACAACAGCTAAAGTAATTTATTTCATATCTGATTTTAAATTATTGATAACACTGATTACCATGGATACATGAACACCTGGTAGAGTTAACATGCAGGATATACTTCTCATAACCCATTCAGTCGTGGCAGTTGTGATATTGTGTACATGGTCTCACAATACAAGTTCCAGTTTGTGACCAAGCCATTGTTTTGTAACTCGTTTGGCGGACACATCTGTCACAGTGAGATACAGTGTCATTTACTGCTGTGTTACTCTGTGGAGAGCAGGGTTAGACTTCATAGCTGTTGGATTGGATGCACAGGAAAATTAGTTGTGTTTTATGAAGATTTTACTGACCATACAATAAGGAGTTTAGATTGGAAGCGTAATAATGGTAAGCAGGTATTTTATGTCAATTTTTTTAGTTTTATTTGGTTATATTTTCTTTTAAAAGGATGAAACAGTATTCAGTGTTTGATACATCTTATGAATTATGTAGTAGTTATAGAATTGGCATAAATGTTTAATAAATCATTCTTGAGCTTGTGATAGTTATAGATAGTTATATACAGGCATACAGTATGCATAGAGTACAATATTATTTACTTAATTTTAGTTTTCGTTTTGAAATAAACATATAGATATGTAAGAAAAATGCACAATACTTAATACAGCACAACCCTGTTTTATGATGTGGATGGCACTGTTCCCTTAAGTTTGACAACCTGATGGCTCCGAGGCATGGGAGTTAACTGAATAGCCCAGTTTCTACCCCTGCAAAACGAGGCTGGAATTTTGGGGCTCGATTCTAGCACCACCAGATTTATGTCCCTTCTATGTCCCTCCTAATGACCAATCACATTCCAATTCTCATATAATCACATACCACTTTCATTTGCTTCAAACAAAATGGCTGCACCCAGTGAAGATGATCTAATTGATACTCTAGATCTATATTGTAATCAAACAGGTCTTACTTTGCGAAGTGCATTAAATCACGTGATCACCTTGATTAAAAACATGAAAAGATTTGAAGAAAATCTGCTGACGCTAAGTTGATGGTACACATGCATAGCAAATCTTGCAATCGACCAAGTTTACAAATCAGATTCTGATTTCATTACACGATTTCGATTGGACTATGCATAGACTCGTTAGACCAGCCAAAATATAACTCCATAATACCAGCCTAGTTCGGCAAGGGTGGAAACTGCACTTTTATAGTCAGTTAACTCCTTAGCCTGGGGAAGGTGTAAACCCCAATCAACAAAAATGACATAATCGGCAGAAATTATTGTCAAATCACCAACTACCAATACTAAACTCAATGTCCTGCTAAGTTTATAATTTGATGTTTATTCTGTTCTTGCGATCACCCACCATGCCTACTGGCTACATTAATTTTGGCAAAACATTTTCTACAAAAGGCCGAAGTAGAATGGAAACATCGGTTATGCTTAGAATTGGTTGGGATTTCAGCTTTTATCTTTAATTACAATCCCTGAATCTGTGATAATAACTGTCTGTATTATCCAGAGGTCATATGTTAAAGAATGACAAATCATATTTCTTTCATCAAAATTCCTTGTTGCATGTTTAGCATATTTATGAGGAATGTATGTATGTGTGTAATTATGGTATATAGATGTTGCCGATATAATTCACTGTCAATAAAGATGTACAACTTGTGTTTGTGATGGAGCATTTATTTCCAATGGCCTGGATTACAAGTAGTTGTAATTAAAGAAGGACCCTTAACATTTAATTGGTCAGTGCATTGGTACAGGGTTGGTGATATCGCCACTGATCAGAATGTTCGCCAAAAGAGGATTTGTCTGGCCAGATTACCGCTTATTGGGAATAAGGTTGTAGGAGAGTGTGTAAGGCAGCCTGCATGGTCTCACACAGGATCCAGGCAAGTGGATGAGTCCGTCCTGCATTACATTGGTCTGTGACAGATATCAGGTTAACATAATGAAACACTGGAGATTAATGCAGTGTCAGTTACCGCCAGTGGTCCAGCTTAAAATCTTAATTTTTAAGTACTGACTGTTCTAATTTGTAGACTTACAGACTTTTGTGTGAAAAATACTGGTTGCTACAAACATGGACCAACTTTTATATGATTTAAATCCATGGTCAAAATAAATCAAGTTCAGAGTTTTTATCTGTCATCAAAATGTTATATAAATAAATGGCCATTTGCATAATCTTGTTTATGTTGGTGTCCATCTTGTTGTTTACAGGTTCTATTCACATATTTCAGGAGGGGGGTAAAACATAGTTTTACATTTGTAACTGCTGACTTTTTATATTATGACATTTTTTTTGCGGTCTGCAGATCCATCAATCAATTGGTGGTAGAGTAGGACAAATAATATATGAAACTAATACCATGATGTAATAGTGTCAGCCAACACTGGCAGTCAGAATGGTATGCTGTGGTTCATCTCATCATGCTCGAGTCCACAGAAAAATAGTACCAAGTTACAGTTTGAACCTCACAGACATATGCCTGTAGAAATTGTATTATCCTCATACTTTTTAAGTTGTTTAATTTTGGAGTTCAAGGTGAGGTGAGATGAAATGGGGTTTAACATCGCGTCAAAGCTTATTGCACTTATATAGCAGCATGCGTGGGTGCGTGCGTGCGTGCGTGTGTGTGTGGCTGCTTATACAAGTCTGGACTGATACCGATTTGTAGTGCTAGCCCACTGAGATACCATGCCGCAGTTTAACATGAATACCCCACTCAGACACACTATACTGACTCTGAACCGACCAGTCCTTGTTTTAGCACCTTAATGCTGAGCGTCAGGCCATCTTTTAATGTGTTTTGGTATGACGTGGCTGGGGATCGAACCCAAACCTTCCGCCTTCCGAGCGGATGTTTGACCACTAGACCACGGAGGCGGCCTGGAGTTCAAGTCGACACAGTTTTGAACTTGTTGTGATGTTAATGTGCTTGATACTAAAATGTTGCTCTTCAATGTATGTCTAGTAGTTAGCAAGATGTATCGGAGAAATGTTGTTTTTTACTACTTCAGGAGTTTGCTCCCTTGGAGAATGATCTGTTGCTTCGTGCTGCTCGAGGCGAGCGGACTGAACGTGTTCCGGTGTGGGTGATGAGGCAAGCAGGAAGATATCTCCCAGGTAACAAAGATATCTCATAATGTTGTTTAATGAGTGAGTGAGTGAATCAGGTTTTAACGCTGCTTTAAACAGAGTTATGGTTATATCACAGTGTGTCTGATTGAGGGTGTGCGATATTACTGGTATATCGGTATATTGAGGTTTATTCTTGCCACGATACGTATCACAATATCTTTTTTTCATGCTCGATCGAGTGATTTCAAATAACGATTTTTATCATGTGTTTAATGTATACTTGCCAAATGCCTTCACTGCCCAGAACATGCATCCAGGGCCCCAAGATGGCTGCGTATTTATTGACTGAGTAAAGATTATGTTGTACCAGCATCTTGTTTTGTTCCATTTAGGAACTTCAGTTCATACCTTAATGTATCAGATTGTTTCTGAATTCAAAATTTAGAATTATACACTATATCATGATACGTATCGCAATATAGCCTTGTGCATCGCAAAATGTTGTGGTACACTTAAACCTCCAATACCCATCCCGATGTCTGATTAATGTGGGAGGAAAAGATGAATGTTTGATCTTGTACATTTATCCTGGACGACTAGAAGAGCAAGCTCACAATGTTTCTCTTTAACTCAATGTCAATTAGTTCCAGCCCTCATCAACAATTTTATTAAGTTACCAGGGTGGCTGATGACACTGATATGGCATAGAGTGTTTAGAGGGGACTCTGAGTGCCTTGTATAGCCGTAGCTAACCCAGCAACACTGGGCTTTTGGGTGTTCCTTCGTATCACTGTGTTGTGTATAAATTGTGTCTGTGAATTTAAGTAAACTATCATGAGACTAAAAAATATTAAGCCTTCATCTGATGTTTTGTTATTGAAGTTAGCAGACCTCATAGTGTCAGACTAGCAGTATGTTTGTGTGTATGGGGAAATGTTTGACTTCAAATTTTTGAGTGTTGGAAGTAATTTGGAAATGGTATGTTTTATGCCCATCCCTTCAAAGGGATGAATGGGTGATTGAAAACAGCGATTTCTGTGATACTGCTGATTGTTACAGAGTACAAGGAAGCTAAAGGTGATAAGGCCTTTTTTGCCACCTGTCGAGATGTGGAGCTCGTTAGTCGACTGACTATTCAGGTGAGAACAGTCTAGCCTCTTATGCCTTCAGTAATTACCATTCGTTACCACAAGCCCCTTTCCGTAACCTGCAAGAAGACTCGTCCCCCTATCAAAGAATGTTATGTGCGAAACTATGACAAACCAATCAAAATGCACGTATGACTTCAAGTACTTCGGTCAAAGAATCCCTCAGTAATAATTTTTTATTTTACACATGTCTTTCATTTAAAAGTATACCCAAGATACAGTTAAATGTGTTCAATCGTACTGTTTTATAATGTAAGTCCTGATGTGTTTCAATAGCATCTGGAATATATATGATTCTAAGGGGAATTATAAGTGAATCATTATGCAACAAACTGACAATTCTATGCCAGTTCACACGTTAAACAGTTATGGCTAGTTTCATTTGGGGATGTCCCTCGACTATGCACCTGTCGACTGGGTTCCACAGTAGCATTGAGGGCATTAAACGAGTTTATTGATGGCATTGATGTAAGAGTGAATTAAAATTAAATGTCAAATGCAGTTTAGAAGTGTAAAATAACAAAATAAAGTACATGTATGATGACATATTCCTTCCTTTCAGCCGATAGACCGGTTCGCCCTTGATGGAGCAATCATCTTCTCGGATATTTTGATTATCCCCCTTGCCCTGGGCCTGACTGCACTCAATGACCCTGGACAGGTCAGTTTTACCCAGTGTCTGTTTCCAGTTTCTTAATATGTTCTCACATCATTAAATAATCCTCATCGCTACGTTTGTATGTTACAGTCAGTGTGTAGGATCAATCAATGTATAAAATCTGTCAAAATGACTAAAATTTTCACTTAGATTATTTAGAAAGCCCATAAATACTTTAATTATTAACAAATTGAATTAAAATCTGTCCATTTACTTTATAATGATACAAATTACAAACATTTTGGTAGGATTAAGATGATAGGATTAAAATATTATGTTTTTTCCTTCTATTCCTAGCATGATTAGTCTGTTGTGATGTTTTTAGATATTTTAAGAATAATATATATATATATATATATATATATATATGTATATGTATATGTATATGTATGTATGTATGTCTTAACCAGCTCATGTAATTAATGAAATCACCAGAGCTTACATTTCAAAATAGTACCAGTATGTTCCCTTCATTCTGTATGTACCTGTCTGAAATTTATCAGATTGTTTCTGCCTAAGGTAAGTCAATCAGGATGCTGTTGTTAATGTGGAGAATTTCTGTCCATGTCTGCCAGGGCCCTGTATTTGCCGACCCGATAAAGAAGCCAGAAGACGTTGACCGCCTCAATCCTAACTTTGACATCATAAAGGAACTGGGCTACGTCTACGAGTCCATCACGCTGACGAGACAAAAGCTGAAAGGAAGAGTGCCATTGTTTGGATTCACAGGCGCTCCAGTAAGGACTTTTGAAATCACTCTTTTCCCATAATATGTGGTAGACAGTGAATACAAAAAAACATATGAAAGAATGACACTGCTTGGAAACTTCCTTTGGAAGACTTGCTTCACTAGCTGAATTCTTCTGCTTCAGAGGGGGCACAGGTGGCCCACTCACTCACTCGCTCGCGCGCGCGCACGCACGCACGCACGCACGCACGCACACACTCACACAGAATGTATTTACTGGGTTAACATTTAGAAATTAATGTCTTAAGTTTATTGCAAAACACCTTTAGTGTATAACTGCAGTTTCGATAAATTTATAATATATGAAGAATGTTTCCAATTTCAGTGGACACTGATGAAATATATGATAGAAAACCTTGGAGCAGGACCTAACCCAAATGCAGCTCGTCGATTCCTGATAGAATATCCTGCAGCTGGGGAAAAACTGTTAAAGATTCTGACAGACGCCATAGTGCGCCACCTGGTGGAGCAGGTTCGAGCTGGTGCACAGGTAGGTAGCATGCTTCTGTGTTAGGCCTGGGATGGGTCCAAACACGACATTACCCCACCTGGACAAACCCTCTCCGGTACCCACACACTTGTCAAGGTGGGCGTGACTGTGGATGTCATGAGAGGTGACTGTGCATGTCATAAGTGGCGACAGTGGATGTCGTAAGAGGTGACTGTGCTTGTCGTAAGAGGTGACTGTGCTTGTTGTAAGAGGCGACTATTGGGACCAGGTGGTCAGACTCGCTGACTTGGTTTACAGGCACAACACTACCATTTTAGCAGTAAGGTAATTGGTTACATCTGAGAAAAAAACACAATGTACCATCAATGCAGTAAGTTATTAATTCAAACTCTACATGGTCGATTATGATATTTAATGTCAAACTTGAAAATTGGACTCTTTACGTACTTAAGGATTCTAGTGTAAGATGCATGTTTGATGCATGACAACAGGACAACTGGACAGAATTAGTCAGGATTATGTTATGTTCATTGCAACTGAAATTGGTTTGGGGTATCACAATGGCTCCTGAGTTTCAATAGGAACATACATTTGGACAGGGCATGACCCTAGGGCAGCCGTTATCTTGTCATTGTGACGACATCACACCTCTTTTTGTTTGTTTGTTTGTTTGTTTGTTTAATGCCGCACTCAGCAATATTCCAACTATATAATGTCAGTCTGTAAATAATCGACATCAGGATCATCGATCTATGCAGTTGGGATACGATAACATGCATCAACCAAATCTGCGAGCCTGACCACCCAATCCCGTTAGTCACCTCTTACGACAAGCATTTGTAATCACTTGTTGTAAAAACCCTTTGGAGTTAGTAATCAAAATAAAAAAAATATAAATAATTCAAATATTGGAACAAAATCTTGATTCAATTAAAAAAGAGAGTGGTTACTTTGTATTCGCATTGGCCTACTAGAAGTTAGTGTCATTACTGAAACATTTACCAGACACACAGAGAGAAGTAACAAAGACTGTGTTCAGGATATTAATTCTACTCCGCATTTGTGAACCTTACTCCGTAAAAACAGGTCTTTATATGAAAGCTATTGTGTGGCTGTAATAGAGAAATATCTCATCATGATGTAATAATGAAAGCTATAACAGTAAGCTTGCAATCGTTGTGATTTGCATCTACAGTAAACTACGGTTATGATGAACTCAAAGGGACCACTTTTGGTTTGTTATAACCGTAGTTTGTTATAAGTATATAAACAGCAAATGGCCTGGACTAAAAAATAAGTTCATTATATCCGTTAGTTCGTAAGCGTGTTCGTTATGAAAGTAGTTTACTGTTTTTTGATGATTAGGAAGTTATGACATTCTACACATTGTCTTCTGTCCTCAGATTGTGCAGGTGTTTGACTCGAGCGGCGGCGAGCTGGGTCCAGGACTGTTCACCAAGTACGAGCTTCCTCGTCTCCAGGACATCGCCTACAAGGTGAAGCAGGAGGTGAAGAAGCAGGGGCTGGAGCTCATCCCGATGGTAGGTCAACTACTTGCACACACTTCACGTCAAGGCCACAAGCTGCTTGTTTAGAGGTTAGGTGGGGGGATGGGATTTAAAATAAATTTATAATTATAATCTGTTCTAAAAATACTCGAAAATATTTTTTGCAAGTTACTTGTTTAGGGGTTAGGTAGGGAGAATGGGATTTAAAATAAATTTATGATAATAATCTGTTCCAAAATGTTCTAAAATATTTTGACCGATTATTCATGGGACATTCTGGATTTTGTGAATCATGTGTTACGGGTTCTCCTCCTTTCTGAGAATAATTTTGTCAGACAAAGGTTTGACTGTAAATGGGTCTTGGACTATCCAGTGGTAATTGTGCGATCTCTTGGAGTGCTGTGGTGGTGATTGCAGGTGGTGTTTGCCAAGGATGCTCACTACGCTACAGAACAGCTCGCTACAATCGGCTTTGACGTGGTCCAGATCGACTGGACCCAGAACCCCACACATGCCAGGTGAGTCACTGTGTTCCGAGTCTGGATGAAAGAGTCTGGGCTGAGAAGAGCACTTATGCACAGTGAATGCTGCGCTATACAAATGCATTTATTATTATTTATTATTATGATTATTATAGGTGGATCAACAAACAAGGTCAGGACTATGAGGTGATGATTGGAATATGAATTGAGGCTCTCGAGGTAGAGCATGGAAACATTACACTGGTCATAATGATTTTCTATTCTTGGTATAAAGGCACAGGTCACAAATCAGGTTAAGTTAAGCAACGTGGGTTGTGGAGAGTCCTTGGATGGGTGACCATGTCCGGCAGCTTGGCTCCTGAGAATTTCTAGGGCTTCAGTCCTGCCTGTGGTGTCTCCTTGGGCAATGACTTTGTTCGAAATGGGCCTCTGTTCACCCAGCAGTGAATGTTAACATTCTAGTGTCTAACAGGCAGCTTGGGTTTCATACTCCTCATGGAGCTGAGAATGAGAATGAGAATTGACCAGTGTAAAAATGTCTAAGCGCTTAGAGCATGCTTATATATGGAGTACAGCGCCATATTAATGAACTATCATTATTATTATTATGTGTTGTTCTTCAGGAGACTGGCTGGGACGAAGGTGACACTCCAAGGAAACCTGGACCCAGTGATGGTGTTCGGAACAGATGTAAGCACTCTCCTCAACAAGTTTTAGATTCAATTTGGCAGAATTTCAGTTGTGGATTATTTGTCTGAAGAAAAAACAACATTACAAGTATGTCCCAAGAATAGAAACCAAGCATCTTATCGTGTCAGTAGTGCTGACTATTGAGGATCAGGTGGTTGTAATGTGTGGTATGGCTAGCAGTGTGTCATTGTACAACCTGGGCATGTAGAACTAAACAGTCTGTCGGGTTTGGATGTCCCAAATTCAATTATTTAAAATCTGCTGTGTTTGTTTGTTTGTTGTTTAACGCCTCACTCAGCAATATCCCAGCTATATGACAGTGTTCTGTAAATAATCAAGTCTGGACCAGACAAACCAGTGATTGATATGAGCGTCGATCCACACAATTGGGATATGACATGCTTCAACCAAGTTAGCGAGCATGACCACCCGATTCAGTTAGTCACGTCTTACGACAAGTATAGTCGCCATTTGCAGCAAACATGGGTTGCTGAAGACCTATTCTACCCCGGATCTTCACGGGTTGAATGTACAGACTGACATGACATAACGGCAATATTGCAGACTAGACAGGAGCAATCGCCAGTTAACTAAAGGAACGTCTCATGTTACCTCAACCAACCAAACAAACAAAATGCAGCAATAATTAATAATTCGAAACATTGTTTGAATCTGCCCAGAGTTAGATTTTTAGTTCATTTTTTAACAAGGACTGCTTTCAGCCTATGCTGCCTTCCCCCCACTCACTCCCTCGTGATGTTTCAGGATGAGATTCGGCACAACGTCAAGGAGATGATACAGAAATTCGGCACTCAGCGTTACATCGCCAACCTCGGCCATGGCGTCATGAAGGAAACCAACCCCGACAAACTGAAAGTCTTCATCGATGCGGTTCACACATACTCCGAAGAAATCAATGCCTTATCCTGATAACTTATATTCTGATAGAGAATCGTTTCAGTCCATCTGGGTGGTTGATTTTAAGAGTTGATGCATTTCCAGAATGTGTGAGGGGGTGAATATTGCTTCATTTGCTTCTATCCAGTGGATTATTAATTTAAAAAAATGTAAAGGTGGTAATCAAAATAAAAAAATTATGAATATTTCAAATACATGTGCTTGTAATACTTCCTGATCCAGTTGAAAAAGAGTGTGTTTTTAATGACAAATCAAAGAGTTACTTTGTTTCCATAGTGACCTACTTCTGAGGTTTGGTTATCACTGAATAATGTACCAGGGACACAGAAGTGACCCAAATCTCCTCCAGCCCCAGCATGTATACAGCCTGCCTAGTCGCCATTATTTACCCTAAATCTGATTGAAATGTCATGCAGTCTGTGTTTGTTTTAGTGGTTGGGCCATCTCAAAAAGTGTTTGGGATGAGTGATTTACAGAAAGTTTATCAATTGACACCTGATTATGTAATTATTCATTTCAATACATTTCAATAAATCACCAAACTTGTACGCATACAACATTTGTTAATGACATGAATCCTATGTTATACACATTGCATACATAGTGCATTTATTCTATAACAGTTGGTGCTGGACAAGTGGGAAGACCCAAGTTATAATTAATGTTTATAGTATGGTCTTGTACAGACTTTTATTTCACTGGCCAATAAACATGAAAAAGAAAGAGGCCATATTGCTTAGTGTGAGATTGCTGCATTAAAAGAAGTGCTGGGAATACATTGGTAAATATGTACCTCGGAATCTGAGAAAATAAGAATTTTATTTAATCCCAATATTGTGTACAATTATATTTTCCCAATTTTCCCGCCAAGGGCACATGGAGGTCATAAGGTTGGAGTTTCAGATCTATCCCTGCACCTCACCATACAGTGGAACCTTGCTAATCTGGATTACTTGAACATTGTAGTCAAACATGGCCCTTAACGGTTCTTCATTCAGAGAAATCAGATTTACTGATCACAATGCAAGAATGACATTTTATGATAAAGATAAAGATATTGCCCTTGTAATAATCTGTATTTTCATTGTCATATCTTTGTGGATGACCGATATGTTTGTACGTTAGGACTTGTGATTGAAAATGTTACATTTTTGATGGCCATAAAGAAAGGTGATTGCAGTGTCATCAAGAAGCCATCACTAAAAGAGGGCAATGTTTTCAGCATCTGAAAATGAAGTCAGCAGTCTAACAATGAGCTAGTTTGTATGAGTGTAGTCCGCCTTTAAGTCAATGGATTGGGAACATGGTGTTGGACCTTGGCAGTCTCTCTTCAGTTTGGTGCTGTGTATGAATAGAAGTCACGATCTCTGATGTTACACAATTTTTAAGAACTGATTTTTTATCAGTTTATGGATGAAAGAATTCTTTGTTTTTTCATAGTTACTTTTGAATTGCTAGTCAGAACATACTGTTATGTTTTGATCTTGACATGATTTTCACCCATAATTACCATTAATCAAAGAGCTGGAGCAGTAGTCACATATTGTTGTATGATAGTAGTATCTTGTCAATAGGATATATATCCATGTATGGTAGGACGCACATCTGGGACAGATTGTCTGATTTGTGGTTATCCAATCCCATTGTTATATGATCTAATGTACCAAGTTCCATCATGAACACAAGATGTTACCGTATATCGCTGCGGAATACAAACACGTTTTTATTGCAAATGTGGGCATTGTGTCAACGCTGGTGATGTCCTTCATTCCGATTCTCTTTGTGGACAGGGTACAGAAATTAGCACTGATTTTGAAGGCTTGTACAGGGGGTCTCCTTACAGGTGGTGGTCGCTTTATAGACGGCGATATACGGTAATGCAACTTTGAAATGTGGATATTTGGACATGCATAGTTGTTAGTCATACACCATCTATCTTTATTTTCGTTGTTTGTGGCCCTGCTGTAATAAGATCCATACATGCCTCAGATCAGAGAATCTGTCCCGAATATGAGTGGAAATGAGTCTTTAATGCACAGACAATACTAAAATGTGTTCTTTTGAATATTTTTAAGAAATATTCCCATTGTCTTCAGATGTTGCGTCATATGCATAATAATCATTCTTGCTAGAGCTGGATGTATCCCATTACAGACCTTTTTCGGTGCATGTCTGTTGTTTCCACTGCCAGTGTTAGGATTGTGTAAAATATATCCCTGCTAGATTTTCATCCCACAAGATTAGTAAGTTAAGATTGTTTTTCGTTTATACAAACATTCTTGCAACTTACTTTTTACACATTGATATGGAGGATATCTGTGGCCGAGTGAATGGAGGCCAGCTGTCATGTCAAGATTGCATTGTGGTTAACATTGAACAGATGTCTTCACATTAAGTCAGATATCACATTGAGACACAAATCAGCTTGACCCAGAATGACACAAATGGCACACATTCTTCCATATTTCATTTTGACTCATGTTTAGTTTTTGGTCACATTTCAGTTGTCATGGAAATAAATGAAGATATTTCAGGAGATAACCAAATAAATGTCAAGGAGAAAGACTGTTTTAGTACACAAACAGATAAAACATTCCCATCCAGAAACAACTTTAGGATGTGCATGTGTATGTGCATGTTAGGCATATGTTTTGTTTAAAAGATTCCCCATGTAAGGTCTATTTTGCATTTATTCAGATTTTATATTACTGGAAGTATTTATTGAAATAAAGTTTACATACTGAGATGAATGTGTTGTCAGGACTTCTTGGCAGTGAATCCGGAGTAAGATGGAGGTTATTTAGCAAAGTAGTGATTTCCTTGTGTATTGAGCCACTACAGAGACCATGTGGATTGGGTGGCCAGGCTAGGTGACTCGACCAATCACTGGTTAGCATGGTCCAGACTTTAATTTTGTAGTCTGCTCTTACAGTGAGTGAGTGAGTATGGTTTTACGCCACTTTAAGCAATATTCCAGCAATATCACGGCGGGGGACACCAGAAATGGGCTTCACACATTGTACCCATGTCGGGAATCGAACCTGGGTCTTCGGCGTGACGAGCGAACGCTTTAACCACTAGGCTACCCGACCCCCCCCCTCTGCTCTTACAAAGCTGGAATACTGTCGAGTGCAGCCTTAAACAACCAAGCACTTGCTTGGTCCTGACTTCATTACTGACAGACTGCAGTGATGTACATGAAAACAAAACAAACAGTGTGTTTCTATGGTTTCATGGCACAAGGTATGTGTGACAAGCAGGCTATGGCATCACTTCACGTGGATCTTCAGCTCCACTGCACAGTAACTTCTACACTGTCATTAAAATATAGACAATAATAAGTTCTGAAATTTCTACTTGGCAGTCACGCAAGTAACAATAATTTTCTCCTATCCCCAACAGAAATGTAACCAGCTACAGGATAGCATGATGCTCATGATGTCAATCACTGGACTGTCTGGTCGAGGCTTGACTGCCGTCATATAGCTGGAATATTACTGAGTGAGGCGTTAAACACAAACAAACCAAAAAAAAACTTCAGCCATCCCTGTCTCATAGTTTGTATGTCTGAAAGCTGGAGAGCAAGCGCCGCGTGAGCCAATGCCAAGCCACAAGATGACAGCAATTATAAACCGATGCTCTTAGACCGGATCTAGTCCAAAGACGAAGGCACCACGCAAACCAGCACGCAGACAAACTTTATAAAGGTATGAAGGCACAAGATGAAGCTGTAATAATAACAACGGTGACACGCCTGACTTAAAGGCATTTAGATCTGAGCACTAAATGCTGTTAGTACCACATGCTTTCATCAACGAAGACGATACTTACATCTACGTAGGCGATACTTACATCTACATAGACGATACTTACATCTATGTAGACGATGCTGACATCTATGGTGGACTGTTATATTCAAGGATGCAGTCACTGGCTATGTCAGTGTGGACAGCGATGATCTACTTGATGCTACTTGAGGCCACTGGTTGTAGTGTCAAAGTAAACAAGGACAACATTGTCCCTGTTTAATTTGAAACAGCTCACAAAGAGTTGATCAAAACACCAATGTATGTTAGTGACTATGCGTTACACATTTCAATGTGGCAGGTCAGATTCAACCTTATGTCAATCCGTTATCTATTTTATGGGGGTGTATTTACCTTTTAAATACCAAATAATACAAAATTTGCATTTTTCAGTTTGCATTAATACTATTCGAGAATGAGAATACTGTAAAATTTGTAGTTGTTTGCTTTTTGTTGTTCTGGAAGGTTTTGGAAATTATATGTTGATAATACTAGAATTCCTTGGTCTTTTTAGAAATACATGTATTGTCTACGCTAACAAACTCGTAACACACTCGTCCTACTCGTAGTACCCTCGTGGCGACCTCTTGGTGCTCGTTCAGAACTTGCATGAGGATCGTCTGCAAAATTTATTGCCGAGTTGACCGAGTCTAAAACGAGTTATACGAGCCTCCATGTTAAATCATGTGACAAATCCCCGCCAAATTATTTAGCAGCTTGTTGCCACCTCGTACCAAAGTTGTACCATACTCCTACCAAACTCGTACAGCTCGTATCGATATCGTTGTGCTCGTGTGCAACTCCTATTGGACTCCTATGGGGCTCGTAACACACTCGTAGCGTACTCGTATGATACTCGTATATATATGTAGTCTCTTCCGGAGTCCTAGCTGAGTCAGGCTCGGGAGAGCTCGGGAACCACCTCGGGCATCTTTTATTAAACAAAGGGTGGGATGGTGCAGTGGCTAGTGCACTGAACAGGGTCATAGATCTGAATCCTTCCCGGGAACTCAATATCTTCTCTGCAGTAAAGAACTGTTAAATATACATTTGGGATGGTATGCAATGCTGCACCGTGTTTAAGGTCAGTATCACCTTTGTTTCACCAGTACCGACTGAGGCCCGCAGGTTCACTACAACCCATATCCACATTGTAGATGTATATCTTCTTCCTTCAGTAAAGAGGCTAATCGAGGCATAGCTGATATTCAAATTGTCAACGCCGGAGGATAATCTATGTGGAATACCTGTGGAAACCGATTCCATAGTGAATATAAAGGCAACATAGTGATGAAAACTTTATGAATTAATCACTTAAAACCAATTATTTTAGGTGTGGAGGGTGCTACCGATAAAGCACAACATGGTTATCCTTTTCGCTAAGACCTGGTGTCATCATCTCACTGTTTTACCTATAACGCCTTATGGGAACTATTCCGACAGATATTTGACATTGGGTTTTCTCTCGAGTTGACGTTTTGAAATTGCACTAAACTTGTTCTATGCTCCTAGATGATCTAGATATCAAATTTATTGCCTGGTATTGGTTTATTGAGATTAACGTTCCATTTTCTGAAAGTGTCTTATACCTCGTTAGATCTAGATTTTTTTATGTAAGACTGGACGTGGTCCTCCTGTACTTTCCATGGTATATATATGTCACGTGTCAACCCAAAGCATTGTTTTCAAAACTAATGGTTCTGTGAAGAAGTAAGACTTGACATGTATATTCCTATTACTAAAAGGTATACATTTTGTTTCAAGCTAGTGACAGTGACACTAAACATTTGAGTTTTTAAATAGATTTTTTTGATGATTAACGCCGCACTCAGCAATATTCCAGCCATATGGCGGTGGTCTGTAAATAATCAAGTCTGGACCAGACAATCCAGTGATTGACATCATGAGCCTCAATCAACGCAATTGGGATTCGATGACATGCATCAACCAAGTCAGCGAGCCTGACCACCCGATCCCGTTAGTCGCCTCTTACAAGCATAGTCGCCTCCTAAACCTAATAATAGTATGCATTTCCTTCCAAACCCAGTTTATTTCAATTTCAATTATAAAATGGTTGTCAGGATATGGTATATATATATATCATACTGTATCATATACCAGTCCTTTGTGCAAAGTATATCATATTATTTTAGTCTATGGACTTGATCATCGAGCCTCCAACTAACATCATCAGATAACATTAGTAAATTTTAAAATGTGATATTGATGGCATGGTTGTGAGAGGTTTTGCATAATTTTCCATACGCGTCTATATGACTGAAGACCTGAAGAGATTTACCAAACAAAGTATTACACTCAAATAAGACAGGGTATATTGAACATATTTTATTTTGAAAATATAACACAATGTTATTTTGTTCAGAGTCAAGTTCCACAAATCAATCTGAGCTAAGATCGACGTCCGTCAGTTTTAAGGTTATCCTTGACCAATCCGAGATCGCTCTGCCTTTTCCCCAGACCCCTCAAGGCTATTTGGCCGGACCGTTTCAAAGCGTGGAGCTGGGGAAAGGGCTGGCTCAACCTCAGGTTTTAAGATCGATCTTAGCTTATGATGGCTTTATGAAACGGGACCAACGACTGCTGAAAAAAACGCATCCTTGGATTATAGCGTATTGGCAGTAAAAATGTTATAAGGCACGTAACATGTCTGTTTTTGTGGTGGAAATATTTCTCTCACAAAAAGAAGAAAAAACTCATATTGTTTTCAATTTTAGCAAAAATGGATTCCTTATTAAACATTAAGTGAGTGAGTATGGTTTTACTACGACTACCGACCGCCCCCCTTATTTAACAGTAATAAGAAAATAAATTGTACCTGTTGAGTCTATAAATAAGTAAACTTGCCGCTGGAAAATCATTTCCTTGATCACAATGTTGATAACAGTTGCTGTATGCCTTGGAGTATCTCCTCACGCATAAAGAACTGCCTCCTCTGGTGATTCTGGTTAACCACGTCCATTTTCTTCCATAGGAAGCACACAGAGTTCATGGACACGTTCGCAGTTGTATGGACCTTTAGGAAGATATTCAAGTGTCCAATAGTATCTTGGGTGATATTGGGTATATTGCTATATCTTGATCTTCAAAACAAACTGCATCTCTTCTGTACGCTCTTGAGGGTCCATAGACTGATTACAATCCCATTAAGATTTGCAAGGCACATCAAAATTTCTGAATTTGACAATCCAAGTCTAAAGTAAAATCGAAATGTATCTTCCATGGCGCCTTGTTGAAGAATAAGTTGTCAAAGAGGTTTAAGAGACTTTATACGGTATTTTATCTTCCACGGAGATGATAGTATCATATCAGCCCAATAGGCTATATCTGTCTCATTGCAGTCTATGCCAGGTAATGACATTGCAACTGTGTAAATATTAATTGTATCATCCACACAAAACGTTTGTTAATCGCCTTACCAAACTTCCAGTATATCAAAGAGCATCTAATGATGATTTTGTTTATTGAACTCAACATGTCTTCAGAATTGAATTGCATATGTAAATCAAACTTAACATGTTTTTTAAGATGGACTATGCATATACCAAGTTTGGTCAAAATACATTAAATTTTGGTGGGTGTTTGGAAACCAATAATGTACACTTGTACACTGAGCCAGGACACTGAAGATCTGCTGGAAACTCTTCATATTTTTTTAATATTTTGGTTGTGTTGAAGAGTTCCAGAAGGTCACAAGATATGTGTGTTGTCGCCAACTACCAGTAGTATACTCATAGTAAGTGTGTATGTATATTTATATGCTATATATAAGCTATGTGTGTTGTCGCCAACTACCGGTAGCATATTCATAGTACGTGTATGTATGTATGTATGTATGTATGTATGTATGTATGTATGTATGTATGTATGTATGTATGTATGTATGTATGTATGTATGTATGTATGTATGTATGTATGTATGTATGTATGTATAAGCATTTCTACAGCATATATACAGCAATTGGACGGGACCAAAACATAATTTCGTTATATCCATCAGTTCATTATAAGCATGTTCATTATAAACGTAGTTTACTGTATAGCACCAGCAAAAGTAACATATGTTACAACACAACTTTTTTCTTCACTGATATCTGCCTGTTCATACATATAAATATAACCAAATCTTGACAGCATTTTGTACCATATACCCTATGACACTGTGATAGTCCATGATATGGTTGATGCATAGACTGGAGCTGTGTTTATCACAGACAGATTGGAAGACAATCAAAGTAATGTCAACTGCACTTTTGTTTAAAAGTTGGAGTCAAAAGTTTACATCCATAACAAAAGGTCAGTTTTGTGACTGAACCAGCATTAATTACATTGACACAACTGAATATTTACACACTAGAAGCATCATTGCTGCCTCTTCCCACTGTACAGTTGACTAAAGCAATGAGTCACAACATGTCCTGTCCAGTAATTCCATAACCAGGGCAAACTAAATATCCACATTCTTAAGGTTTTTTTAGTGTTACTTTTCTTGACTCACAGATCTGATGCCTCGGTATTGCACATTGTGAAATTCTATCAAAGTCTTTGTTTTGCTTTTAATTCTCTCTTTTTCTGAAGTAATTTCTTCTTTCTTTAACCAAACCAGCAATGCTCAAAGTAATCACTGAAGTTTTTTTGTTTGTTTTTTAAAAATGAGTGAATATGTTGTTTGACACTCAGCAATATGCCAGCAGTATCAGTTTGTAGCTTAGTCTAAACCACCGACTGAAACCATTAGCAATGATCCAATCTGTCAAAGCACAATGACCAGGCCTGAACACCCTTCCATTTTCCGAACTTTTTTTAGCCCCGCATTCAGCACTATTACAGCTATACGATAGTGGCCTGTTAATATTTGAGTCTGGGCCAGACATTCCAGTGATTCACATGATGAGCACAAACCCATGCAATTCGGATAGATGACATGCATGCAATCAGCCAAGTCACCGAGCCTGACCATCTGATGTGTTTAGTCTCACAACAAGCATAGGTTACTGGGGACCAGTTCCACATAGGAATCCCCACAAGGCAGTTCTACTTTATAATTGTTTTCTTGGTTAAAACAAAAGTGCCAGTACCAAAAACGGTATTACCACTTGTGTTTTAAGAAAATTATTTTAAATGTGCTCACTCATAGGGAGAAAATATTCAAATAATTGATGATGTAGTCCTTTCAGATGAGATTTGACTCCTCTCAATGAGCCCATTCTTGGACTGACTGATGGTGCAGCTGTTTTCTAGTTCAAGCTCCATCTATTCAAGTTCACGCCTGATATCTGTATTTCCATTCATTGATAGGAGACAGCTTCCCGAGTTCATTTAATTGACTGTCAGATCAATTCAGTCTTTAGTACTTGTACAATGTACAATGTCATTAATGATGCTTTGATCATTAATTATCCCTTGGACCAATGGTGTCAATATTGATTTCTTCAAATGATTCTGTATCTGAAGGCTTCAGTTTTGAATCAACATCGTCTTTCATCTCAGAGTCTCCAGTTTGATTAAAATGTTCCATAGGTTCAGGCCCACCAGCCACACGAGACGCTTGATCTTCTTGACACTCTACTCCTGTCCGACCTGGCTTCCTATCACCACCAGCAATCATTGGGTACGAGTGACTTGCCCTCACCTCTGTCCCCTGTTTGTCAGGGGGCACCTGCAACATTTTCCTTACACTGGGCAAAGACAGAATGTGCTCCTGATTGGCTAACTGCTGCTCCAGGGCTTGGTGGTCTTTATTCAAAACATCCATGATCTGCTTCAAGTTACTGTTGTTGGCCTCTTTCAGTGCTTTCAGCTGAAATGGAAACACTTATATGCATTAACAAATGTCCATCTGGTTGGTTTGTTTGTTTGTTGTTTAACGCCGCACTCAGCAATATTCCAGCTATATGACGGCCGTCTGTAAATAATCAAGTCTGTACCAGGCAATCAAGTGATTGATATAATGAGCATCGATCCACGCAATTGGGATCAATGATATGCCTCAACCAAGTCAGCGAGTCTGACCACCTGATCCCGTTAGCCGCCTCTTACGACACTGCAAGTGTCCCTACTGTCAAAATCCTTTTACTCTCTATTTTCTACATTGTCTATGAAGGCAATAATACATGCACTCAAACATGCCAACCTTTAGGTGAGTGAGCGTGTATGGTTTTACCCCGCTTTTAGCAATATTCCAGCAATATCACAGTAGGGGAGCCCAAAAACCAGTTTCAAACATTGTACCAAAGTGGGTATCAAACCCAGGTTTTTGACGTGACGAGCAAACACATCAACCACTAGCCTTCCCCACCAACCTGCCACCCTTTGGAACTACATGAATATTCATACCTTCCAAACAAAAGATTCTTATACACAGAAATAGGCTGAACAACAAAACTGATAACAGCAACCTGAAGTTCAAAATGGATCTCTTTCACTATGAACCACATTTGAGTTTGTGAGCAGGGTTCAACACCTTTATGAATGGCAGTTCAGTTATATTTATATTTCATGGACATTGCATATACATCTCCATACAACTGTCACTAGGATACAGGCTGAAATGGCAGAGCAATGGCCACAAAATGACATATTCAACATGGCTGCCTTGTTGTTAAATTGGATTGGAAGTGTGGGCAGTTTTTGGTATCATCACAGGTTGGATCGTTCATGCAAAGGCCCCATAGGCCTTGTAGTTTTATATAAAGAGATGTCAATGAAAGTAAAGGTTATTGATGGAAGGAAGTCTGATAACACACGTGCCATTAGGTAGCTTGACTTGTAGTAAGGTTTGCTATAATGTGTCTCCATATACTGAGAGAGTAGCAGTGGGATGGAGCTGGATGAAGACATACCTCTTTCCCTTGTTCCTGTAAGGCCAAGTGAACACTAGAGTTATCCTCCCTTTGTCCTGGCTCAATGGAAAGAAGCCAAAATGGCAGCCTGACTCTGTAGCCAAAATACATGAACAGGAAGAGGAAGAAGAAGATGGCCACTCCACCTAAAGCCACCGGCCAAAGCTGAACTGGAAGACCTTTCAGTAAACTTGTCAAGAATTCTCGCAATGCCTCACCAATGTCTTGCAATGGGCTGACAAAGAAACGGATAAATGTTCTTGACAGTGCCTGTAAACGAAAAGGGATATATTCATTTGCCATAAATGCTGGATCTATTGAGTATTAGACTATCCATTCATATAGCTTCCTACAAACATTAATTAAGAGATTAAAATGTTGAATATAATATGACTCTTCCAGTCTACCACCTATATTCATCATTGAGGACTACACTCAAGCATGGGACAATCTGGTCTACCAATTGCAAACATTGACGGCTACCCCCTAGCCTGGGGCAATCTGGTCTACCACCTACACACATCATTGAGGGCTACCCTCTAGCATGGGGAAAACTGGTCTACCACCTACACACATCATTGAGGGCTACCCTCTAGCAGGGGCAATCTGGTCTACCACCTACACATTGAGGGCTACCCTCTAGCAGGGGCAATCTGGTCTACCACCTACACATTGAGGGCTACCCTCTAGCAGGGGCAATCTGGTCTACCACCTACACATTGAGGGCTACCCTCGAGCAGGGGGCAATCTGGTCTACCACCTACACACATCATTGAGGGCTACCCTCTAGCAGGGGGCAATCTGGTCTACCACCTACACATTGAGGGCTACCCTCTAGCATGGGGAAAACTGGTCTACCACCTACACACATCATTGAGGGCTACCCTCTAGTATGGGGCAATCTGGTCTACCACCTACACATTGAGGGCTACCCTCTAGCATGGGGAAAACTGGTCTACCACCTACACACATCATTGAGGGCTACCCTCTAGCAGGGGGCAATCTAGTCTACCACCTACACATTGAGGGCTACCCTCTAGCAGGGGGCAATCTGGTCTACCACCTACATACATCATTGAGGGCTACCCTCTAGCAGGGGGCAATCTAGTCTACCACCTACACATTGAGGGCTACCCTCTAGCAGGGGGCAATCTGGTCTACCACCTACACACATCATTGAGGGCTACCCTCTAGCAGGGGGCAATCTAGTCTACCACCTACACATTGAGGGCTACCCTCTAGCAGGGGGCAATCTGGTCTACCACCTACACACATCATTGAGGGCTACCCTCTAGCAGGGGGCAATCTAGTCTACCACCTACACATTGAGGGCTACCCTCTAGCAGGGGGCAATCTGGTCTACCACCTACACACATCATTGAGGGCTACCCTCTAGCATGGGGAAAACTGGTCTACCACCTACATACATCATTGAGGGCTACCCTCTAGCAGGGGCAATCTGGTCTACCACCTTCACATTGAGGGCTACCCTCTAGCAGGGGCAATCTGGTCTACCACCTACACATTGAGGGCTACCCTCGAGCAGGGGGCATTCTGGTCTACCACCTACACACATTGAGACCTACCCTCTAGCATGGGGCAACACTGTACATTACATACGTACCTGAGTGGGGGCAACTCTCCAGAATGGGGCAATCAGGAGATGCTCATAGTGCTTCAAACAATCGTCCTTCTCAAATGTAAAACTTGAAGAGAGTGTTCTCATAACTGTGGACATTAAGCCCTCATTCTTCTCTCGCTTACGACATCCCTCTGGCATTTCATTCATGATTGCCATGTGTTGCTTTGCCTCTTCTATCTGAAACACACGTAATTTAACTATAGTGTTGGTCATGACAAGCAAGACAGACAGTCACCATTTTTTCACTCATCCACAATACACATGTATTTCAGTCCATCTTTTGTAATTCTGGTGATACGTTTCATTTCCTGACCAGAGTACCAAGACACATATTATTTCGTGGCCTTCTGTACCGTTGCCCCCGTTGTGATCAGCCAATAAATTTGTTAAGAAAATGTTTATGAATTGTTTTCAACATTCCTCAGTAACTCACCTTGTAAAGTTCAACCCACTGCCAGACTGTACTCAAGACAAACAAAACAAACAGAAGTTTCACAGACAGCTTCTTCCATGAAAAGTGTAGACGAGCAGCGACCAGCATTGTCGTGACCAAGGCAGCTGCCAGAAGAGCAAACTGTAACATACATGCACACTGCCTGTATCATAGTATGCAATAATTAGAGGTTACTATATGGCCGTATTCACATCGGCTGATATAGGGGTCTCAGGTTTATATGGGGTATGATATGAAAACTGCCAACTTATAACCTTTTTATCGTATACCATAACAAGTTGTAAAATGTATCCATTCATAAAACATCTCTAAATTCTGTGTATGTTCATAAAACATGTTCACCTTGTTTGGAAGACATTGTCAGGGAAAGCTAGCTGAGCAGACGATGCACCAAGGGACATAACTTACCACCCGGGCTGATATTGATCGTCCCTTCAAAATGCATTGACTGGCAATGTCAGTCCGGCAGGGGGTGTAATACAGGTCTGGTTTCTACACCCCCATCATGTCATTGATGAGCATATCTATATAGTAACACATGGCATATGATGCTCATCTAATTACTCACCAGCAGGAAATCCTCAGAATAATGTTCTTGTTTTTTGTTGAACTGTTAGTGAGGATGGATTTACATACAGTGTTCCCTCGTTATTGCGCCCTTCAATATAGCGCTAACTCGGTTATAGAGCGCGGTAAAGCATGGCTCCCAAATTTACAATAAACATTTTCAATAAACTCAAGTTTTCCAATTACACAATGTTTTTCCCCATCTCAGAAAACATTATCAGCTAATCACCGCGATCACGTAACACCGGAAATACCTGTCAACAAATCCGAACTGAAGTACGCAATTTAATCCTATTATAATAATATCTGGTAAAAAAAAAAAATTCATTGCTTATCTGGACTAATGTTTGCAATATATTTTAATTATATTCAAAATATCATTCAATAATTATAATAATGTTTACAATAATTTCAGCAAAATCGTATGCGAAGTGATCGGTAGATCCCACAATTCACCGTTATCAACTTATTAACAGCAACCCGCGGTCAGATTACCGCTATTCTATCGCCTTCTATCCATGGTGATAAGTGAATGCCTCAACCACAACCCTACCAACCCCTTCTATTCATGGTGACAAGTGAATGCCTCAACCACAACCCTACCAACCCCTTCTATTCATGGTGACAAGTGAATGCCTCAACCACTAGCCTACCAACCCCTTCTATCCATTGTGACAAGTGAATGCCTCAACCACAACCCTACCAACCCCTTCTATCCATTGTGACAAGTGAATGCCTCAACCACAACCCTACCAACCCCTTCTATTCATGGTGACAAGTGAATGCCTCAACCACAACCCTACCAACCCCTTCTATTCGTGGTGACAAGTGAATGCCTCAACCACTACCCTACCAACCCCTTATATCCATGGTGACAAGTGGATGCCTCAACCACTAGCCTACCAACCCCTTCTATCCATGGTGACAAGTGAATGCCTCAACCACAACCCTACCAACGCCTTCTATCCATGGTGACAAGTGAATGCCCCAACCACTAGCCTACCAACCCCTTCTATCCATGGTGACAAGTGAATGCCTCAACCACAAGCTTACCAACGCCTTCTATCCATGGTGACAAGTGAATGCCTCTACCACAAGCCTACCAATGCCTTCTATCCATGGTGATAAGTGAATGATACAACCACAAGCCTACCATGCCTACCAACCCCTTCTATCCATGGTGACGAGTGAATGCCTCAACCAAAACCCTACCAACGCCTTCTATCCATGGTGACAAGTGAATGCCTCAACCACTAGCCTACCAACCCCTTCTATCCATGGTGACAAGTGAATGCCTCAACCACAAGCTTACCAACGCCTTCTATCCATGGTGATAAGTGAATGATACAACCACAAGCCTACCATGCCTACCAACCTCTCCTATCCATGTGATAAGTGAATGCCTCAACCACATGCCTACCAACCCCTTCTATCCATGTGATAAGTGAATGCCTCAACCACAAGCCTACCAACGCCTTCTATCCATGGTGACAAGTAAATGCAACAACCACTAGCCTACCCCTTCTTTCCATTCGGACATTAGTATTTGTAACCATTACGTCATGCAATGAAATCAAAGTAAAGACCTTTGATGTGTATGAAGTGAATGGTGTTCTGAACATGCTGAAGATACTGTTAACATGAGGAAACAAGATTTTCACTTTATCAATACTGACCTTGACTTTAAGATCCAAAGCACAAATTCCAGCATTAATTTCATTAAAGTTCATTAACAATACAAAAGACAATTCAATCTACAATTCGTTTTTCATGTCTTATTTTATGTGACAGCAAATAGCATTTATAACTTACGTTGACACAGGAACATTCAACGACTGGCAAATCATAACACCCTTAATGGGGAAATGGGGTTTATCATCATATTAAAGATTATTTCACTTAAATAGCGATGTGAATGCATGTATGAATGTAGCTGTTTGTACAAGTCCTGATTTATGTCCGCCATAAAGTGCTAGCCCACTGAAATATACCACAGTTTAAACATTTTTGTTGCATGGCTACCAGACTCAGGCAAATCATTTTGACCCCGCAAATACCAAACATCAGGCAGGGTAACAATAAGATTGAGTGCCGCTTTTTAGCAATATTCCAGCAATATCACGGCAGGGAACATTGTACCAATTTTGGTGTGACAAGCAAACGCTTTAACGATTTGGCTACCCAACCGCCCCAGTAACAATAAGAACCATCTATTAACACATTATAATGCTACTGTATTTGTCAACTTGATAACCAACTGACCATAACAAACTTCTCAACTTGCATCCCAATGACATTCTCAATCCACAATCTGCGTATGGATGGATCATCGTCTGAGACCTCAAACACATGCTTCACCATTGAGCTGAGTATCTCGTGGACTCGGTGAAAGCTCTGTTCCGAGGATGAAGAGGTGTACTGTTCCAGGTATTCTATCTCAGGTGCTGTGATCTTCACTCGGATATTCAGGTCCTCCACACCAAAGGCAACCTTATAACAGGACAGGAGCACATTCATTTTAAAGTTAAAGTAGTCTAGATGCTTGTGAAATGACACATAAAAAATAGCACAGTGTGTTGGTGGCTTTTTCTCAATACACAGGAATGGGCATTACTGGATGAAGTACAAAAATCATACATATCTATTCTAAATTATTCATCCTAATCTGGCATCGAATTTTGGTAAAATTACGTCAATGAAGTTTTTCTCATGTTTATAATGTACTTTCTGACTTGATTTTGCAACACTTCCATGAATCATTGTTAACATTGCCTGTCATGCTCAAAACGTATGACAACTGGGGAACAGTTAAAAAACAATCTCCCTCCCCCCATCCCACTCAAATACACTACATTTTACCTTTCCCTTGATGTGAAACAGCAGTGACTTGACATACTGCCTAAACAATGCTGGACAGGGAGAAGCTGCCTGGGCGCAGGTGCCAGGACTATCTCCCTTTGATAGCTCATCCTGCTCCACTGTCTTGGATGCTTCTGACTCCGTCTTTTGGGTGACTGATTCATCTTTCTTTGGAATCTGTCTTTGAACTTGATCGGGGTTTTTCGGCTTCGGTTTATCACCCTTTATGTAAACAGGGCAGTATTATATTAAATGTCATTAAAGATGAGAAATGATAAAATCACAGAAATAGGATGGGTTGTCATTAAACACTAAAACATGTCACAATTTAGAAGTAGATCAGAAAAGCATATTTCTTTCCCAGTGTGGAACGCCACTGGTGATTACGAGCAAAATAGATCTCAAACTTCGCTCCTTATGCTTGCTCAACGACTACCAACCTGCTAAAACTAAAATCAAGTTATTGGGGGTGAACTGGCTGATTGCCTGTAATTGTCATCCACTCAAGGACTAATAACTCACTGTCAAAACTTTATCCACAACAAGTTCAACTCTTACCAGGGTCAGAAATTAATTTGATTTTCGTTAGTCCACAAAAATGATTTGCTACTGAGTTGCCATCTACCTTATGGTAAAAATTGTAGTCCACAAGGAAATGTCACTAGTCCTGATTCTTACTGATCTCAGTCTAGGAGACTTATGTTAGTGTCGAACCCTGCCTACAACATGCTTTAAGTACTTGAAACCTATTATCAAAATGAATCCCCATGGCAACATGAAAAACATTGTTGTTTCATCTTAATACATAAAAGTTGATCATCACAAAATAGATGTCATTTATGACACTTCCCAAGGACACATCAAGTAGTTTGTTGAGAACATTACACACATATAATAAATACTGAAACTATAAAATAACTGATCATCACTGCAAATCAAACTTCAGCTTACCTCTTGCTTCTCCTTCATCGTCATAGTGTCAAGGTTGAAGTTCTCCATGTCATATGGATCGATCCAGTCGTCTGTATCCTGCCTGACCTCAGTGTGGCAATGCTGTACAACTGTAGACAACAGGACCACTACTATGTACCACATTGTGATTGACATGCTTCTGTTAGGCTGGAATAAAAGACAAAGAGAGTAACATAGCAATAGAAAAAATCATTTCTGCTTCACTGAAAGTTTAATAAGATTGAAAGTTACAAAGCCATAATTATGCAGTCTGCAATTTTAGCATTATGAAGGCCCAAGTCTAGTTGAATTTATTAAGTGTCCATGGTTCTGGTAAACTCAGCTACTATCTGTCCAAATGTTAAGACTAAAAGCCATTGAAAATGTAAAGAGACAAGTACAGGCAAATAAACTCAAAGGTTTATGATAAGTTGCAAAGGCCATTTCTTTCACTTTAGAGTTTACAGATTTTACTCACCTATTAGCTTGGATAGATCGAAACAATATTCTTGCTGTCAAATGCAACTAGCCTACACACTTTCTGCTGATTGACAGCTGAGTTTGTGCACAGAACCTTTGTTGATGAGTACTAGGGCTGGGACGGGTAATTCGGGTACCCAGGCCGGGTGGGTACTGAGTAGGACCCGGGTACACACAGGACTACCTGGACCCGTGGTTAGTCACATAATATATTGTTTAATGGCAAAAATTATCAAGAACTCTATGGTTACAGGACAAGTCACTAATGCTCGCATTTCTTTCTGACTATGCACCCATTCCTTCTGATTTTTCATATGGTTGAATAAAGATATAACTTAATTCAACTTCAGTGTATGAATGACCAGATGGTTTAATACATGTATCTAAATACGTTTTGCCTGGTCTATCCTAAAAATGTTCCCAATCAGACATTTTGAGACATCTCCTGAGACCTATAGTGGGTACCCGGGTAGGGTCGGGTAATAGTGGGGTGGGTACCCAGGTAGTAAATTTGGACTCGTCCCAGCCCTAATGAGTACATCTGTGGTTGATGCAATCCCCATAAAGTTTGCATCGTAATGATAGGAACCTGGCACATTTTCAGTGGAACAGACACCGTAAATCAAGGAGACCATTATAAATGGTTACATGCTGTGTTCTTACAATTATGACGCAAACTTTATGGGGATTGTGTCTTTGTTTGTAATTTGGGTAGCTATTTCTATTTAAAGTCTATACATATTCCATAGTTTGTAAGCTTTCTGGTGGTTTCCTGAGTAACATAGGCCTGATACCACACTTAGACACAGTACTCCAAGCCGACTAGTCGTTGTTTCAGGCCTAAGTGTCAATCGCCAAGCAGTGGGAAAAAAGCACCATCTTTTGGTAAGCACTGAGGGAATCCAACCACTGACCTCTCTTTTACAGGGCAGACGCTCTATCGATTAGGCTAGACCAAGGAGACTGTCTGTGAGCCGTTTCTGAAATATTCTAGACCTAATGCAGGTTTAGGACCATTTCCCTTACGTTCATCAGAAACTAAATGAGCTACAGCCCAACTTCAACAAACATTCAAAGCAATATTCATAGAAATACCTACTGAATTCCATATATGAAATCGAATGTGAAACTGACAGCTATTTTCAAACAATCCGTGCAATGTTCGACTGCAGCGTATAATCAAGGGAGACAACTCATTGCAAATGTGCTCCCTACAGCGCCGCTGCTTGGAGTTTGCAGTCGGGACTGCGTGCGTGAGTTTGTATGGATTTACGCCGCTTTTAGCAATATTCTAGCAACATCACGACGGGCAACACCAGGAATGGATTTGAAAGGCTGGAAAGAGACATTGTATCCATGTGGTGAATTGTATACGGGCGTGGCGAGATACTAACTAAATAACCACCAGACTACCCCATCGCCCAAGTGAGAGGTGAGATGGGGTGAATTTGTGTTTAGTTTAACGTCGTGTCGCGTAGATTAGATTAACGCACATAAATGTATGTTTTCTTTGTTTCTTTGTTGTTTAACGCCGCACTCAGCAATATTTGTGTGGACACAGAACATACATATTGAATTTGAGTTGCAGACCAAACTCAGTAATATCGGGAACTATATATATATATATGTTCTCCATGCCTGGGTCTAGACGATGTAATAAAAGTAATGGCAAGCGTCAAAGTGAGGCATGATATGTGTAATTATGGTAATCATCAACTGCAAGATTGATCTACATCATAATTTTTTATTTAGGATTCAAACGAAGTTTTGAATTATTTGAGTCAGATGAGCTAGGACTGGCAGAGCCCTGCCTCCTTCAAAGACCACACCGCCCAATTAAGTCAGAGCCCTGCCTCCTTCACAGACCACACCGCCCAATTGAGGCAGAGCCCTGCATCCTTCACAGACCACACCGCCCAATTAAGTCAGAGCCCTGCCTCCTTCACAGACCACACCGCCCAATATAGCCAGAGACCTGCCTCCTTCACAGACCACACCGCCCAATATAGCCAGAGACCTGCCTCCTTCACAGACCACACCGCCCAATTTAGTCAGAGCCCTGCCTCCTTCAAAGACCACACCGCCCAATTTAGTCAGAGCCCTGCCTTCTTCACAGACCACACCGCCCAATTTAGTCAGAGCCCTGCCTTCTTCACAGACCACATCGCCCAATTTAGTCAGAGCCCTGCCTTCTTCACAGACCACATTGCCCAATTTAGTCAGAGCCCTGTCTCCTTCACAGACCACATCGCTCAATATAGCCAGAGCCTTGCTTCCTTCACAGACCACACCGCTCAATATAGCCAGAGCCTTGCTTCCTTCCAGACCACACCGCCCAATATAGCCAGAGCCTTGCTTCCTTCACAGACCACACCGCCCAATTAAGTCAGAGCCCTGCCTCCTTCACAGACCACACCGCCCAATATAGCCAGAGACCTGCCTTCTCACAGACCACACCGCCCAATTTAGTCAGAGACCTGCTTCCTTCACAGACCACACCGCCCAATTTAGTCAGAGACCTGCTTCCTTCACAGACCACACCGCCCAATTTAGTCAGAGACCTGCTTCCTTCACAGACCACACCACCCAATTTAGTCAGAGACCTGCCTCCTTCACAGACCACACCGCCCAATTTAGTAAGAGCCTTGCTTCCTTCACAGACCACATCGCCCAATATAGCCAGAGCCTTGCTTCCTTCACAGACCACACCGCCCAATTAAGTCAGAGCCCTGCCTCTTTCACAGACCACACCGCCCAATTTAGTCAGAGACCTGCTTCCTTCACAGACCACACCGCCCAATTTAGTCAGAGACCTGCTTCCTTCAAAGACCACACCGCCCAATTTAGTCAGAGCCCTGCCTCCTTCAAAGACCACACCGACCAATTTAGTCAGAGCCCTGCTTCCTTCAAAGACCACACCGCCCAATTTAGTCAGAGCCCTGCCTCCTTCACAGACCACACCGCCCAATTTAGTCAAAGCCCTGCCTCCTTCAAAGACCACACCGCCCAATTTAGTCAGAGCCCTGCCTTCTTCACAGACCACATTGCCCAATTTAGTAAGAGCCTTGCTTCCTTCACAGACCACATCGCCCAATATAGCCAGAGCCTTGCTTCCTTCACAGACCACATCGCCCAATTTACCAGAGCCCTGCTTCCTTCACAGACCACATCGCCCAATTTACCAGAGCCCTGCTTCCTTCACAGACCACATCGCCCAATTTACCAGAGCCCTGCTTCCTTCGCAGACCACATCGCCCAATTTACCAGAGCCCTGCTTCCTTCACAGACCACATCGCCCAATTAAGTCAGAGCCCTGCCTCCTTCACAGACCACATCGCCCAATTAAGTCAGAGCCCTGTCTCCTTCACAGACCACATCGCCAAATTTACCAGAGCCCTGCTTCCTTCACAGACCACATCGCCCAATTAAGTCAGAGCCCTGCCTCCTTCACAGACCACACCACCCAATTAAGTCAGAGCCCTGCCTCCTTCACTGACCACATCGCCCAATATAGCCAGAGACCTGCCTCCTTCACAGACCACATCGCCCAATATAGCCAGAGACCTGCCTTCTTCACTGACTACATCGCCCAATATAGCCAGAGACCTGCCTTCTTCACAGAGCACATCGCCCAATATAGCCAGAGCCCTGCCTCCTTCACAGACCACATCGCCCAGTTTACCAGAGCCCTGCCTCCTTCACAGACCACATCGCCCAATATAGCCAGAGACCTGCCTCCTTCACAGGCCACATCGCCCAATATAGCCAGAGACCTGCCTCCTTCACAGACCGCATCGCCCAATATAGCCAGAGACCTGCCTCCTTCACAGACCACATTGCCCAATATAGCCAGAGACCTGCCTCCTTCACAGACCACATCGCCCAATACAGCCAGAGCCCTGCCTTCTTCACAGACCACATCGCCCAATATAGCCAGAGACCTGCCTTCTTCACAGACCACACCGCCCAATATAGCCAGAGACCTGCCTTCTTCACAGACCACATCGCCCAATATAGCCAGAGCCCTGCCTCCTTCACAGACCACATCGCCCAATATAGCCAGAGCCCTGCCTCCTTCACAGACCACATCGCCCAATATAGCCAGAGACCTGCTTCCTTCACAACACCGCCCAATATAGCCAGAGACCTGCTTCCTTCACAACACCGCCCAATATAGCCAGAGCCCTGCCTCCTTCACAGACCACATCGTCCAATATAGCCAGAGCCCTGCTTCCTTCACAACACCGCCCAATATAGCCAGAGCCCTGCCTCCTTCACAGACCACATCGCCCACTATAGCCAGAGCCCTGCCTCCTTCACAGACCACATCGCCCAATATAGCCAGAGACCTGCTTCCTTCACAACACCGCCCAATATAGCCAGAGACCTGCTTCCTTCACAACACCGCCCAATATAGCCAGAGCCCTGCTTCCTTCACAGACCACATCGTCCAATATAGCCAGAGCCCTGCTTCCTTCACAACACCGCCCAATATAGCCAGAGCCCTGCCTCCTTCACAGACCACATCGCCCAATATAGCCAGAGACCTGCCTCCTTCACAGACCACATCGCCCAATATAGCCAGAGACCTGCCTTCTTCACAGACCACATCGCCCAATACAGCCAGAGCCCTGCTTCCTTCACGGAAACACCGCCCAATTTACCAGAGCCCTGCTTCCTTCACGACCACACCACCCAAACTGCTGATGTTTTAATTAAGGGCCTGGCTCATTCACAGACCACATCGTCCAATACAACCAGAGCCCTGCTTCCTTCACGACAACACCGCCCAATTTACCAGAGCCCTGCTTCCTTCACGACCACACCACCCAAACTGCTGATGTTTTAATTAAGGGCCATTGTGGCATATGTTCCAGCGCTTTTTTTTCAGGTGAACAATTGACTTACCTTTGCATGTGTTTGTGACGGGTGCCACTGATGAGGCAGGATACGCTCACCTTTTCACGAGCACATGGTATCGTCACTATTTGCTAGTGATTCATATACACATAGTAAACACATTGCACTTCTTTCAAATGACATATTTATTGTTATAACATGAAAAGATTGAATCTTGTTTCTACCTTTTAAACTTTCATTCAGATGTTACAAGATGTATTTATTTATTTATTTCTAAAAACATGCATATCTGCTTGTTGTATGACTCCGTGACGAGAAGTGACCAGAAATGGAAGTGCACTTTAGACGTTATCTGGTTGTATAACTATAAGCTTAGTAATATTATTACAGGAAGTTGTGATATTATGACGAGTCCAAGTTTGTAATTTGTGAATTGACTATATTCTAGGGAATAAGGAGAGTGATTTCCTTCCTGGGGGTAGATCGTGGGGTGTGCTTTCTTAGGCAGGATCCAATTGGTTGTCCGTGGGATGGGAAGTCTAGGGTCCTTCTTCCTACTGTCCTGCATGTTGGGCGGTTGTTGGACCCTTTTCCCCCGTGACGCTAGATTGTTTCCTCTTGGTACCTTCCTCTTGTTCGTATCCAAGGTGATACTGAAGGTCGTGAGACCTTCACTGTGTGGTGCCTGGAGTTGGCAGCTGTCTACACGGCAGACTAGAACCGTCCCTAGAGAAGCGACCAGTTCTCCAGGCAAGAATTTGGAGAGTGTCCTTGGCATGTCTGCTGCGTTGAACTGAAGAGTGAATGACTAACCCGTGAATTGAATCTGACTGTCCAGTTAATGAGAATTTACTCACCTGTTAATGAGAAACTCAGCTTAATTAGATTAACTCTGTGTCATGAGCGTGTCTACCCGTGAAGATGTGGGTTAGAATAGGTCTTCAGCAACCCATGCTTACTGTAATGGGCGACTATGCTTGTCGTAAGAGGCGACTAACGGGATCGAGTGATCAGGCTCGCTGACTTGGTTGATGCATGTCATCGTATCCAGTTGCGTGGATCGATGGGCATGATATCAATCACTGGATTGTCTGGTTCATACTCGATTATTTACAGACCGCCGTCATATAGCTTGATTGTTGCTGTGTGCGGCGTTAAACAACAAACAAACAAATAAATAAACATCATGAACGTGTCAATAAATAACGGTCATCTTGCCATTATAAATCGCGTTGGCTGAGCGACCGGCAAAGAAAAGGTGCATCGACACGATGCATTCTTCAGAAACGTAAGCAGTCCGTTCTCAATGTCTTTTTCAAGGAAATAATGTTTAATGTGTATTTAATGCCAGCCCAGGTCAATATTTCATGTTCAATGTATGTGAATGCGAATACAAATAAATGATCTTTGCTCTTCGTTTTGTCTTCAGTCTAATTTTTTTGTTCACCGTGTAATCCGTACCTCGCCGTAAACCGGACTTTTTAACCGGTCCCAATCGCGTCCGAGTTAGACAGATTCCGCTGTATTTGCATGATGTAAAAATAAACATACGAGTCCATCGTTTCTAATTAGCTATTGCCGTATTTGAAGGTGGTTTATTATTCTTAACATTTCCACTGCCCCAAACAACTATTTTGGTCTTAGATATGTTAACACCGAGTTTCCATTCCATAGAATCATAGAATACATTATGGACTTCTGGAGAGAGGTAGGGTTACTTACAAATAAAGCTATGCATAGGTACGCACTGTAGACACAGCAGCCAACCGTCATCATTATAACATTGGACATTAAATTCACTGCATTGCTTTTTGACCATGAAAGATTATATATCATTGAGAAAAACTGAGAAGAGTAGAGGTGATAAATTCTGTCCTTGCCTTATTCCAAATTTACTAGGGAATAAATCCGTAATTTTATTATTGAGAAGTACACATGCATAAAAGCTAACATGACTAATATATACAAGTTGAGGTGAAATGGGGTTTAACGTCGCGTTAAAGATTATTGTACTTATATAGCGACGAGCATGCACGTGTGTGTGGCGGCTTGTACTAGTCCGGACTGATGCCGATTTATAGTGCTAGCACACTGAGATACCATGCCGCAGTTTAACATGAATACCCCACTCAGACACAGTATACTGACTCCAAGCCGACCAGTCCTTGTTTTAGCCCCTCAATGCCGAGCGCCAGACAGGGTAACAACAAGTACCATCTTTTAACGTGTTTTGGTATGACACGGCCGGGGGTCGAATCCCGGACCTTCCGCTCTATACCACTAGACCACGGAGGCGGTCGTAGCTACGCGTGACTGAAACACATTATATCTACCCGTGGCTGTAATACATACAAGCTGTATGTGGCGGTAATGCTATGGGGGCGTCCATATCACGTTTCCATAAAACCACAGATGACACAGTCCGTGTATACCGCTGTAGGTCTAGCGATTCCGTGGCGTTTTATTGATTTCTATAAACCGTGTTTAGATTAGGCCACGCCCACTAACGTTGCACACCGGGTTTTACTTGTTTACCTCCATACACGCCACAAATGACGAAGTCATTTATTAAACACAAGAAGAAATGACAAGACACACATTTCTACACTGAGTGTTTTTATTTGCTCTCGAAGAGACCCTTTTACGATATATGCACAGAAATAAACACGTAGACAAATATATTCACTTGCAGTGGACCAGCCACTGTGACAAAAGGAGAATCTGATTGATTATCTTTGGGTTAATGCTGCTTTTCATGATTTCAGTTATATCACAGCGTCAACGTGATGAGGTCAACGCCCGATGTGATGCAGGACTTAGACGTTAACCACGAGCGGAATGATGCTGACAAACCACGAAACATAATCAAAGTGATTCTTGTATTCGAACCAACGAACACAGGATTCTGGCACGCATAAGGGACGCAACCCCTACACAGTGACAAGCGTTGCCTCCTGGATAAACAGATACCCAGGTAAATAATGAAGAGTAAACAAGAACATTAGGAAACAAATATTAATATGCATGCCATCGTAAGATAATGTAAGTACATGTACATGGAGGTCACTTGGTTAACAAGAGAATTGTGACTATATTCAAGTATTATGAGGACAACAATAGATGACACGTCATTATTGCAATTATTTAGAAAAAATGCTATTTAAAACAGAAAGACATGTCCAAATGCTGGGAAAGATTGACATTTGACCAGTATGCCTAATAAGTATTTTGTATGTGCGAGCGACGAAACTCAGAATTATAGTGAGTGAGTGAGTGAGTTGGGTTTCATGCCGCCACAGTATTCCAGTTATATCACGGTGTGCCAGCTTAATGTGGGAGGAAAGCCTGAAGTGATGCAGGTCTCAGACGTTTTCCACTTTGGTGAAACCCACGAGCACGGGTATGGTGCTGACAAATCTAGAAACATAATTGGGGTGAACCGGGATTCGAACCCTTAATAATAGGTTTCTGACGTGCCCAAGGGACGCAACTCTGCACAGCGAATCCCGGCGCCCGATTCGACCCTGATACACATCTCAGAGGCCTTAACATACATTTTGTGGTGTCGACATTGTCAAGGTTTATATCTATGAGATCTGAACAGCCAAGGTTCAAACCATACATCCTATGTGAGAGATCTAAACGCAGTCAAGCTTCATACTACAAGCCACAGCTACGTGATCTGAACATAGTCAAGGTTCATAACGCAAGTCACATCAAGGAGATCTGAATATGGTCAAGGTTCATGCCATAGGTCATATCTAGGAGATATAACGGTCAAGGTTCATACTACAAGTCACATCAAGGAGATCTGAATATGGTCAAGGTTCATGCCATAGGTCATATCTAGGAGATATAACAGTCAAGGTTCATATCACATTTCCTAATTAAGGAGATCTAAACAGTCAAGGTTCATACCACAAGTCATATCTACGATTTTGTTAGTTTGTTGTTTGACGCCGCACTCAGCAATATTCCAGCTATATGACGGCGGTCTGTAAATAATCGAGTCTCGGCCAGACAATCCAGTGATTGATATCATGAGCATCGATGCACGCAATTGGGATACGATCACAAGCATCAACCAAGTCAGCGATCCTGACCACCCAATCCCGTTGGTCGCCTCTTACGACAAGCACAGTCGTCTTTTTACGGCAAGCGTGGGTTGCTGAAGACCTGAAGATCTTCACGGGTCTCATCTACGAGATCTGAACAGTCAAGGTTAATACCACAAGTCATATCAAGAAAATCTGATATGATCTGATCAAGAGATCAAGGTTCATGCCATAGGTCATATCTAGAAGATATAACAGCCAAGGTTCATACTACAAGTCATATCAAGAAGATCTGAACAGTCAAGGTTCATACCACAAGTCATATCAAGAAGATCTGAACAGTCAAAGTTAACACCACAAGTCATATTAAAGAGATCTGAACAGTCAATTTAGGTTCATACCACAAATATCATCTAGGAGATCTGAACACAGTAAAGGTTTATACCACAAGTCACATCAAGGACTTCTGAACAGTCAACGTTCACTCCACAAGTCACATCAAGAAAACCTGAAAGTCAAGGTTCATACCAAAAGTCACATCCAAGAGATCTGAACAGCCAAGGTTCATACCACAAGTAATATCTAGGAGATCTGAACACAGTAAAGGTTCATACCACAAGTCACATCAAGGACATCTGAACAGTCAAGGTTCACTCCACAAGTCACATCAAGTTAACCTGAACAGTCAAGCTTTATACCATAAGTCACATCAAGGAGATCTGAACAGTCAAGGTTCATGCCACAAGTAATATCTAGGAGATCTGAACAGAGTAAAGGTTCATACCACAAGTCATATCTAGCAGATAAAACAGTCAAGGTTCATACCATGAGTCACATCTAGGAGATATGAACAGTCAAGGTTCACTCCACAAGTCACATCAAGTTAACCTGAACAGTCAAGCTTCATACCACAAGTCACATCAAGGAGATCTGAACAGTCAAGGTTCATGCCACAAGTAATATCTAGGAGATCTGAACAGAGTAAAGGTTCATACCACAAGTCATATCTAGCAGATAAAACAGTCAAGGTTCATACCATGAGTCACATCTAGGAGATATGAACAGTCAAGGTTCACTCCACAAGTCACATCAAGTTAACCTGGACATAGTCAAGGCTGTCAGCACGAGTCTCCTGGGCACTACCCGAGGACGCGGACTGAACATATCCTGAGCTGGTGCTGGGGCCAACTACATCAGTACTCGGGACAGACACATCACACCGGACATACTCAAGGTTCTCCCTGGGGTCATCAACGTCCCCAGGACTAATGTAGTCCAAATGAGCAACGCTTTCTTCATCTTCCTTCCTTGTATCATTGTGCACCGCGTTTCCCTCTCTTGCAACTTGGTCTGGGTATGCTACGTAACCGCCATTTTCAGTTACAGCGATGCTTTCGTGTTGGGATTCCGCTCTTGGAGCTTGTCTGTTCTGTTCGTTGCGTGGCATCAAGGATGTCTCACCTGGCTTGCTGGGTGCCCCCAAGACTACATATTCTTCACCTGGTCGATCCAGTAACAGTGTCGCCTTTACGCTGTAACTGATGCTACTCCGGGATGTTGTCGACCGGTGTAAGGTCGAATCATACCCTGATGAAGTGTGTGACTCTGACTCTGACACTCCATCCTTTGTTACGGCCCCAGCTGCTTGTTCTGGAACGCACGGCCTACACGGTTGATTGGTTGACACTCCTAGCTGGCATCCATCACTGGCGTGGCCAGAATCATTGTCGGGTGATCCATGGGCAAAGGTCTGCTCGTGTTGTATACTGCAGAGTTCAAGAAGGATGTCAGTATCGGATTGGTTGTCTGCAGTAGTGGCTATACCATCCTGGTGTTGGGTAAGACTGGTCACGGGCGTCGGGTCAGCGGGGATGTCCTGAAAAGTTGGATTCTCTGAACCAATTCGATTCTGAAATTAATTGGAAGAACAAGATTTACAAATATAATGATTTGAAACTGTTTCCGTAATTGACCAGATATCTTCAGAATACAGCAACAGTGTATCTTTTAGCAAACACATCATTTTCAGTGGTGTTTTTAAAGATGGTTGCGGCAACTGAGGGGGATTAGAGGTTCCATGTCAAGGTCGACTGTGAGGCAACTACAAAATCAGCATGGGTTAAAGTTAAAGTAGTAGGGATTCGCAGATATGTAAGGACCGACTTCGTCTTATAACACAGACATTTTTGAAGACAGGTTTCTGTACATGTATACTTTGCAGATATAATGTACAATTTGATTGAGAAGCAAATGGAAACTATTGGAAAATTTAGGTTAGATAGGCTGGTATATTTTTTTAAACAATAATTTGTTCCATGAAAAAAACCTTGACATTTTTGTTGTTGGATGGACACGCTGGAAGCCTTGAAAGAAAGTGTTGTGAGAAACAAAATGAATACAGATCATGTCTTGAAGCAATGACCGAAAATAAATATATATCTTTTTTTATATTATACAGGAAGTGGAATAATCCACGTGACTATGTTGTTCACACTACCCATCACTGGATAACGTCATCACATCGGGGACCGCCTCCGTGGTCTAGTGGAAGAGCGACCGTCCGGAGAGCGGAAGGTCTGGGGTTCGATCCCCGGCCGTGTCATACCAAAACACGTTAAAAGATGGTACTTGTTGTTACCCTGTCTGGCGCTCGGCATTAAGGGGCTGAAACCAGGACTGGTAGGCTCGGAGTTAGTATACTCTGCCTGAGTGGGATATTCATGTTAAACTGCTGCATGGTATCTCAGTGTGATAGCACTATAAATCGGCATCAGTCCGGACTAGCATCAGTCCGGACTAGTACAAGTACATATAAGTGAAATAATCTTGGACGCGACGTTACACCCTATTTCAGCTCGCCTCATAAGCCGCCGTCTCGCAACTGTCATATTCATGCATGTCACGAATAAACTTTATTCACCCTCACAGTTCACAAGATCCAGAATGTCGTCTTACCTCTTCAACACCACCCTGACCAGTGACGCAAGGCTCCAAATCCTAGAAACATGAAAAAATATTTTTGTACAAATAAATTACATTATTTACCAGTTTGGCGGAGCAACATAAGTCGTAGTTAAAAATATCATTTATCATGGACGGTACGATTTAGCTAATTATTCCTGCGTGAGAAGGTCACGAATAACGTTTTTCCTACAATTATAATATAATAAAGTTTCATCGATAGCACGCGTCAAATGCACACACCTCAATATGAGTGAGTGAGTGAGTTTAACGCCGATTTTAACATGATTCCAGTTATATCACGGCGTGTCAGCTTAATGTGGGAGGAAAGCCCGAAGTGATGCAGGTCTCAGTCCACTTCGGTGAAACCCACGAGCACGGGTATGGTGCTGACAAACCTAGAAACATAATCGGGCCTTACCGGGATTCGAACCCACAATCATAGGTTTCTGGCGTGCCCAAGGGACGAACTCTGCACAGCGATTCGCGGCGCCTTAGACGACTGGGCCACCCGTGCCCCCACCTCAATATGAGGCCACCTCTGGGCTGTCCCTACTTGATTCACGGTAGAGCGAGCGAAGTCTCCGAGGTATTGAGTTGTCTGGCCCCGTCAGTTACTGGTAAGCAAGGATAAGTTGAGTTGTCACGTGACAATGAATCCCGTGTGACTATGTATACGGTCCGCCACTATCGTGTATCATTGTGAAGAAAGGGGTAGCGGGAGGTCCGCGACAACTAGTACGATGGATATGTGCGTGTCCTGTATCAGCTAACCACGAAGTCTAGGGGTGAGTTCAATAGCACATAATAGTACGTGTCGATGACTGTCAAAACGGTGACAGCACTGGATGACATCGCGACTTTCTTGGGCTTATGAAACTACCCTCGCTTTCTCACGAGCAATACCTTCTGCTCTGAAGCGCCTTGTCTGCGACAATGCTAGCTATTGACAATGCTTGAAACATATTTGTAATTATTTCTCCGTGTAGTTTATGACACCATAGGCCAATTTTCAAGCCCGAGAATGTATGATGTGCTCATGCTTACCTAGCTTTAACATGTTTATTTGTAATTAACTCCTATCGATCTTAATGATACCATCACACCAAAGAAGTTCTATCCCGTTCTACCCCGTTCTAAACAAAATACTAGAACGGGCTGTGATCACGGTAGAACGCGTAGTTTGGCGTAAAATACGATGCTAGCAGTCCTCAATACGTCTATCTCGTTCTTATCTCGTTCTTAACCAGTCTGCTGTCCGTTTGTATCCAGTTCAGATCTTGTAAAAAAGTGGCCGTTCACCTCATCCCGACAACGTTTCGAAGCAGTTCGAGCACGTCCATGAAGTCCGTAAAAAGACTGTCAATAGTTGCTACTACGTCCACTACGTTCATACACAGTTGGAGCCCGTTCGACAACATTTTCACGAACGTATTGAGAACTAGTTTGGTGTGATTGGGGTATTAGAGAAGTCTGGTATCGACTTGTCGCATGGCCTCTTAATAGCCTTAACGTGCACTACATGCGTACATCCTCTCTAACTGTAACAGACCAAATATGTTTGCCCAAATTCTGTACCCCGCCTTCTTGTCTCAGACGCGCTCTGTGAGTTGGTTCAACCTATCCTGGATTACCTGTACAGTATACTACGGTTATAACGAACTCAAAGGGACTTCTATTTTTAGTTCGTTATAACCGTAGTTCGTTATAAGCATATATACAGCATAACTACAGCAAATAGTCGGGACTAAAAAGTAAGTTCGTTATATCCGTCAGTTGGTTATAAGCGTGTTCGTTATAACCGTAGTTTACTGTAGTTGATAGCGATTCATCGTACCCCGACGGCGTTTGACGCTGCTTATAATGTCAGTCATGGTTTCTCCAGGCCAGATCATGTTCAAATAGTTAGAATAGCTGGGTACGGCGTGAAACAACGAGCAAACACATGGACACTGTCATAAGCATCTCACTGCATTGAAATTACCAAAATGTATAACGACAAATCGAATCATAATGCAATAAAACGTGCGTTTGATAAATACTGAAGGTCGCACAACAAGTCTAATGTTCCATGTTCCGTTAGCTGGAAGGGGGCAGCACATACTGGCAATGCTTTACTGTTACATTTTATAATATAGACGTATATATAGTACTTCTCACATCACCTACACGTGGTTCAAAGTTCAAACGTTACTTCAGCCACCACGTACCCTGAACATGCCGAGGTCAATGGGTATCTTCATCAGCGGGTGTAGTCGTTTACGATGGTAGACAGCACTGGATTAAATAACAAAGACCTGCAGTAGTGATACATCTACGGAATAGAAATCTGTAACATTACGGAGTAAAACACCTGGAGTTAAGTCATGTTTACGTTATGGATACAGCACTATGCACTGAGCTACTCCACATGGTTATCTAAATACATAACACGTGGGGTCAGTGTTGGCTCAGTTGTGTAGGTGACGCAATTCACATTGCAGAGGTGCGTCTTATAGGCTTGGCAAACCTACAATTGCAGGTTCGAATCTGAGATTCGCCTAGATAATTCCGACTTTTCAGCACCCTACCCGTGTTCTTGGATTTCACCAAAGTAATAACCTCTACGACCTGCATCACTTCGGGAATTTCTCCCACATTAATCTGACAAGCAGCGACATAACTCCCTCGCTCCCTTGCTCGCTCACTCATAATTCACGATGGCATTCGAACGTGGAACCATTGTTATGTAAAAATATAATTCACTGATATCCAACATCACATTCTGTGCTTTACTGCACATAAATTAGTACTGATACTATCGCTACGTTGAAACAGGATAGAATTACAATATAAATATCTTTACCATATCATTGCCACGATCGCGATGATTGCCAGTACCGTAGTCACGCCAACAATGGCACCGATGTCCACATGTCCAGGGGCATCTTCAAGAACTGTGACGACAGAATGGCACATTTCAAATACTTCCATTAAACACACCCACACAAAGGTAACAATCTTCTCTTGGAAACTATCAGCTAAAGTATTTTTATTTAATATCTTACGAAATTAGAGGTACCGTTTATGTCCAGGCAGAAATCTTATTGATATATTCGTCTGAGGTCGGTACATCTTAGTGTTAACTAAGTACACTTAGTTACTCGTAGCGCTAGGATCGCTTTGTGGTACAAGAACCCAGTTTTATAAAGGACTCGTTGCCCAATTCCCATAGTTAAACACTTACGATAGTGACGGCACTACAGCCGCTATGTCCAGCTGGATCAAGATGGCTGGATCGGACATTGCGACGTTTACACGCAAAGCGATTTTAGAGAAAGGACTATATTGTTGTGTACGTCGTTATATAACCTTCAAACAATGCCGATTACTCTACACATCTGCCACTGATTTTTGCAACAATAATGATAATAACAGGAAGAAGAAGTCAATTTATAATACGCCTAATTATTGCTCAACGTGTATACACACAAATCATAATGCAGTGTTGGAGATGCGGTTTGCCTTGAACACTTATAACCAGACTGCAGACTTAAGTACATGTTTTAACTCCATAACATAGGGACACGGGTGGCCCAGTCGTCTATGGCGCCGCGATTCGCTGTGCAGAGTTGCGTCCCTTGGGCACGCCAGAAACCTGTGATTGTGGGTTCGAATCTTCTTTCATCCCGATTATGTTTCTAGGTTTGTTAGCACCATACCTCGTGGGTTTTACCGAAGTGGTTAACGTCTGAGACCTGCACCACTTCGGGCTTTCCTCCCACATTAAGCTGACACGCCGTGATATGACTGGAATACCGTTCAAAGCGGCGTTAAACCCAACTCACTCACTCACTCTCTATATTATCAGGTAATGTTTTTAACATTCTTTAACCATCGACCGGAATGGAAACATCACATACGTATATTCAGAAGATATTTCCTACTCTAAAATGTTGCTGTACACTCTACACTCGTCTAATGTTAAAAACAAACGTAACACAACACCGTCTTATTATTCCACTTCCCCAAGACTCTCACGCACCTGACAGGTTTACCAGCTTGGGTGGGTGGCTGTAGGGCCCCACCCTTAATCTGCCCCTCACCCTCAGACAGACGCAGTACAGGGCGCGGCGGGTAAGCGTAGGAAGGATGATATCGGTTGTGTCGAATAGAGCAGGCGACGGTACAACCGCACCTGCAAAATATACATGCGAGTAATGTGTTTGTTTGTTGTTTAAGGCCGCACTCGGCAATATCCCAGTTATATGACGGCGGCTTGTAATTGATTAATACCATGATAACACGTGACCAACCGAGTCACCCGGGCTGACCACCCGGCTTGACCATCCATTAAGTCACCTCTACGACCAGATAGATAGCTGGGCCCTATTCTAATCCGGAAAACCCATGAGTGTAAGATTAAACAAGTAGATGCAGACCACATTATTAACAAGAAAATTGTGACCGAAAACCCCAAAAACTATAACACACATTTGAAACACAATTATTGTTCTTGTTTAGAACTTACAGCTCCCATTCGGAAGACATATCTTCAAACACAAAGACAATTTTAAAGGCCTCAGAAAACCATTGACGTATGGAGATGCCTCACAATGGTTTCGAACCATCAGTCAAGCTAAATTAAAACTGTAAGCATTCAGCTTATCGTGAATACATGTATACAGTTCTAACAGTGCCTTTACCATCGGTGCAGTTGATGTCGGAGCATGACGTTGTGTTTATTGACTGGAGGGAGACTTCGTAGACGAGAGGACGTCCTTTGTTGATGGACACGTCACAGTAACTGAACCCGAGTGGCAGCCATGTTGTACTTGCGTTTGACAACACGTCCATTGCTGGCGGACTGCCCGCCCCTGAAGCATGAACCCAAGACACATGTTCATTACATTACTGTGAAACGTTCAACTGACGTTTTCAGCTTTTGGTATCTGATTTTGTTTGCATCGAAGCCAGCTGTTTTCCGACTACATCACGAAAACATGAAACATGAAACATACATTTCATCTCAACAATGTATTTTTTGTCGCATTTCTTCTTCTTCAAACAGCCTGAAGCATAACCTTATGCAATTATTGGGACAGTTTATTTTTTTCGATGCCCCCCGTCCATAATAGAACCCACACTGCCAGAGTGAGGCACCTAATCGCCAGCACACAAAGTCAGCGATCTAACCCACTCAACCAGCGGTTACATATATTACGATGACCTGTAGATTATTGAGGACAGGCAAACCAGTGGTTGATAGCATGAACAACGACCAACAACGTCGGGGTACAGCGACACACTGTGAGCCAGGTCACACAGTCACTGTGACCACACGGCCCTCAGTAGTCTCCTCTTTCGACGCGTACGATGCACTCAGGGCCTCATCTGCCCTGGGATGTTCACAGGGTTCCCACATGAGGAAGACTACGACAATGGACGCCTGTATATTCTACACGATGTGAAGCATGATACATATGAGAGTGTAGAATGTAGATATGACAAGCATTTACCTCCATCTGTTTGAAAGATGCACTGATTCCATGTTGTTCCATCACTGACGTCATCCACGCTGGTAGACACGCCAAACCACGCCCCCTTTCTCAGGTCAGGGTCAAGGTCGTGCGTAACAATGTAGAAAGAAGCATTACCGTCAATGACTGCTGCGTGAACGTCATTCTGTCACAGAAGAATGGTTTTTATCATGTATATATATTTCAGGCAACTTTAGTCGACTTTAAGTCAAGGACGATACAGTGTCGTAGCTATTCATTAGACTCTATAACGTTTAGGGTAGTATAGTGGTCGAAGCGTTCACTTGTCATGCCGAAGACCCGGGTTCGATTCCCCACATGGATAAAATGTGTCCACAGCCGTGACGTCAATGGAATACTGATAAAAGCGATGTAAAGCCAATTTCAGTCACTAACTGTACTTGTGTGAGACATGCTTAAGTTCATTGTAACTAAAAGTATTCAGGTTATGAGCGACTGAGAAGGTTTGCAATATTCAACTATTACTCCCAAATCCCCAGCAACATCACCCATAAGGGAGTACCGATAACTGGGACTCAAACCCTAATTTCGGGAAAACAGCAAACGTTAAAGATCCATGGATCACATGTTCGGGGACAGTGTAGCGACAAACCAGCTCCTAATATTTCCTTTGGGTTTGACGTTGTGGATCTTACTCAGTGAGTAATATTTTATGTGAGAGAGAGAGAGAGAGAGAGAGAGAGAGAGAGAGAGAGAGTATATGCGTGTGGGCGGGCATGAACGGGCCAATGCTGGTTTTATACTGCTCACCCAACCTAGAAACCATGCGGCTATTTAACATTGATACTCAAACACAGTGTACTTATTCCGAGCCGACCAGTCCTTGTTTCATCCCCTTCATGCAGGGTATCAACAAGTACCATTTTTTACCGTCATTTGTATGCGACGGCCAGGAGATCGAGTCACCCATATTGCACTCTCCGGACAGACGCTCTAACCACCAACCGAATCGAACCCGGATCATAGGCTTAGGCTACACCGACGCCCCTTATTAATATGGAACACTTATTCTTAACGTAGAAGAACAATCTCTTTCTGGGACATATTTTGACGTGTTTATATAAACGTGCTGCATCGGCATAATGCTCTGGCGGAGATGGGGTAAACAACATCCTCCAGAATCTAGGTATCCTCGATCGTCCTAATATAGTATTCGTTTGGGATGTGACGTCATATATGGGCGTCACGCATTGTACCCATATGGGGAATCGAGCTCGGGTCTTCGGCGTGACGAGCGAACGCTTTAACCACTAGGCTACCCCACCGCACCTTCTATATGGTATTTGTGACCGAATGTTTTAGCATGTCATTAGAATCGGAGAGGAATGGGTCCAGGGTGTTTATGGTAATCAAATTGAACTATTGTACCCTGGATAATCGAGGATGGCCGCTAATACGTTCCAATGATATCGATCTAGAAGTCTAGGAACTGCTGCCTACGTTGTTAGGACAACAATATGAACAGATGCATACTCTGCATGTTATTTGTTGATTGGCATGAAGACCTTGACACCAGGTGACAAACACGTGATCCAGCCTGACGTTAGGATTGGCTGTCACCCACGTGACGTTGTAGCGGGAATCGTCTAGTTGTTCGACAGTCACGTAGAGCGGACGTTGAGGGGCTGTAATAGTATGGAATCGGGGTTAGTTCTGATCAAAATGAGTGAGTGAGTATGGTTTTACACCGCTTTAGCAATATTCCAGCAATATCACGGCGAGAAACACCAGAAGTGGGCTTCACACATTGTGGGAGAATTGAACCCAGGTTTTCAGCGTGACGAGCGAACGCTTCAACCACAAGATTACCGCACCACCCTCAAATCATAATGATAGTGTTATGTCACTCACCGAGAGTATATTTATAAAGAAATGATGCTAAGAAGCCAACCATTTCATTTTCTTGATTAACAAAATGATATTTCTGGTTTTGAAAGGAGGGGCTGAGTAATTATTATTTCTCCTCTCTGCATTGTTTTGGATGACATCCAGCACGTGCACCGAACAATTTTGTAGTAAAACCAGAGTCTGGTTTTGTTCTTTTCAGCGCATTCTGGAACAAATTATTCCAAAAACTAATTTTAAGGCTCCCACACGAAATCGTAATTGGAAGCCCTTAATTATGCACAACGAAATCCAATAAATCCGGCCGGTGCCGGAAGTACACATTATCGGATGATGGATACGTACTGAAGTCACGTCATGAAGAGCAGTTTTAAAAAGGTGGGTGTCCAGACGTATGAGGTGTCCCGTGAAGATCCGGGGTAGAATAGGTCTTCAGATACCCATGCTTGCCGTAAAGGGCGACTATTCTCGTCGTAAGAGGCAACTGATGGGATCGGATGATCAGGTTCGACTTTGCTGATGCATGTCATCGTATTCCAATTGCGTGGATTGATGCTCATGATGACAATCACTGGACAGTCTTGCCCAGACTTGATTATTTACAGACCGCCATCATATAGCTGTAATATTGCGACGATAAAAAAACCCTCAAACAATCAAACAGTATAAGTAATTTACCTTGTCCGATCTTTGGAATGCGGAGTGCACTCGGCTCTGACATCCCGACTCGTGTCCCTGCTTGCACTGTGACTGTGCAGTCGCCGGACCCAGTGGGGAGATCCAGGAGGTAGTGGAACTGATCACCAGGGATGGAGGAGTTGCAGTAGGGGGAGGCGTTGTCGGGGAGATACAGACACACCTGATGATGAGTGATGTTGCCATTGCGGAGAGCTGAAGGAACCGCCTGGAAGAAATATGACCGACAACTTACGTTTCCTTTGTAGAAACAATAGTCTCCCATCGAGAAATGTACACGTGGTCTGGATTAAGTCATGAAATACACAAAACACATTGATACGTCACAGCGGCTTCAGCGTCAATGATCATACACTATTCGTACCAATATGCAGGATCACTACAGATGAACATCGCCTGTCATACTCACTTGCCAATACATTGACTTATTCACTGGAATGTTGTTCAAAGCTGCGTGATACCCTACTCAGTCACTCACTCACTTGTTTATTTACCTACCGTCATACTCACTAGCCAGTACACCTAAGCATGAACACCGCCTGTCATACTCACTAGCCAGTACACCTAAGCATGAACACCGCCTGTCATACTCACTTGCCAGTACACCAACAAATGAACACCGTATGTCATACTCACTTGCCAATACACCGAGAGATGGACACCGTCTGTCATACTCACTTGCTAATACATTGACTTATTCACTGGAATGTTGAAACCCTATTCAGTCACTCACTCACTTGCTTGTATACCTACCGTCTGTCATACCCACTAGCCAGTACACATACACATGAACACCGCCTGTCATACTCACTTGCAAGTACATCGAAAAATGAACACCGTATGCCATACTCACTTGCCTATACGCCGACAGATGAACACCGTCTGTCATCCTCACTTGCCAATACATTGACTTATTCACTGGAATGTTGTTCAAAGCTGCGCTAAACCCTATTCAGTCACTCACTCACTTGCTATTACACCTACACCTGAAAAACGGCTGTCATACTCACTTGCAAGTACATTGAAAAATGAACACCGTCTGTCATACTCACTTGCCAATACACAGACAGATGACAACCTCTGTCATACTCACTTGCCAATACACCTACACATGAACACAGTCTGTCATACTCACTTGCCAGTACATAGAAAAATGAACACGATCTGTCATACTCACTTGCCAATACACCGACAGATGAACACCGTCTGTCATACTCACTTGCCAGTACACCTACACATGAACACCGTCTGTCATACTCACTTGCCAGTACACCTACACATGAACACCGTTTGTCATACTCACTTGCCATTTCACCTACACATGAACACCGTCTGTCATACTCACTTGCCAATACGCCGACAGATGAACACCGCCTGTATTACTTACTTGCCAGTACACCTACACATGAACACCGTCTGTCATACTCACTTGCCAATACGCCGACAGATGAACACCGCCTGTATTACTCACTTGCCAGTACACCTACACATGAACACCGTCTGTCATACTCACTTGCCAATACGCCGACAGATGAACACCGCCTGTATTACTCACTTGCCAGTACACCTACACATGAACACCGTCTGTCATACTCACTTGCCAATACGCCGACAGATGAACACCGCCTGTATTACTCACTTGCCAGTACACCTACACATGAACACCGTCTGTCATACTCACTTGCCAGTACACCTACACATGAACACGGTCTGTCATACTCACTTGCCAGTACACCTACACATGAACACCGTCTGTCATACTCACTTGCCAATACGCCGACAGATGAACACCGCCTGTATTACTCACTTGCCAGTACACCTACACATGAACACCGTCTGTCATACTCACTTGCCAATACGCCGACAGATGAACACCGCCTGTATTACTCACTTGCCAGTACACCTACACATGAACACCGTCTGTCATACTCACTTGCCAATACGCCGACAGATGAACACCGCCTGTATTACTTACTTGCCAGTACACCTACACATGAACACCGTCTGTCATACTCACTTGCCAATACGCCGACAGATGAACACCGCCTGTATTACTTACTTGCCAGTACACCTACACATGAACACCGTCTGTCATACTCACTTGCCAATACGCCGACAGATGAACACCGCCTGTATTACTCACTTGCCAGTACACCTACACATGAACACCGTCTGTCATACTCACTTGCCAATACGCCGACAGATGAACACCGCCTGTATTACTTACTTGTCAGTACACTTACACATGAACACCGTCTGTCATACTCACTTGCCAATACGCCGACAGATGAACACCGCCTGTATTACTTACTTGTCAGTACACCTACACATGAACACCGTCTGTCATACTCACTTGCCAATACGCCGACAGATGAACACCGCCTGTATTACTTACTTGTCAGTACACCTACACATGAACACCGTCTGTCATACTCACTTGCCAATACGCCGACAGATGAACACCGCCTGTATTACTTACTTGCCAGTACACCTACACATGAACACCGTCTGTCATACTCACTTGCCAATACGCCGACAGATGAACACCGCCTGTATTACTTACTTGCCAGTACACCTACACATGAACACCGTCTGTCATACTCACTTGCCAATACGCCGACAGATGAACACCGCCTGTATTACTTACTTGCCAATACGCCGACAGATGAACACCGCCTGTATTACTTACTTGCCAATACGCCGACAGATGAACACCGCCTGTCATACTCACTTGCCAATACGCCGACAGATGAACACCGTCTGTCATACTCACTTGCCAGTACACTTACACATGAACACCGTCTGTCATACTCACTTGCCAGTACACTTACACATGAACACCGTCTGTCATACTCACTTGCCAATACGCCGACAGATGAACACCGCCTGTATTACTTACTTGCCAGTACACCTACACATGAACACCGTCTGTCATACTCACTTGCCAATACGCCGACAGATGAACACCGCCTGTATTACTTACTTGCCAATACGCCGACAGATGAACACCGCCTGTATTACTTACTTGCCAATACGCCGACAGATGAACACCGTCTGTCATACTCACTTGCCAATACGCCGACAGATGAACACCGTCTGTCATACTCACTTGCCAGTACACTTACACATGAACACCGTCTGTCATACTCACTTGCCAATACGCCGACAGATGAACACCGCCTGTATTACTTACTTGCCAGTACACCTACATATGAACACCGTCTGTCATACTCACTTGCCAATACGCCGACAGATGAACACCGTCTGTCATACTCACTTGCCAATACGCCTACACATGAACACCGTCTGTCATACTCACTTGCCAATACGCCGACAGATGAACACCGCCTGTATTACTTACTTGCCAGTACACCTACACATGAACACCGCCTGTATTACTTACTTGCCAGTACACCTACACATGAACACCGCCTGTATTACTTACTTGCCAGTACACCTACACATGAACACCGCCTGTATTACTTACTTGCCAATACACCTACACATGAACACCGCCTGTATTACTTACTTGCCAGTACACCTACACATGAACACCGCCTGTATTACTTACTTGCCAGTACACCTACACATGAACACCGCCTGTATTACTTACTTGCCAATACACCTACACATGAACACCGCCTGTATTACTTACTTGCCAGTACACCTACACATGAACACCGCCTGTATTACTTACTTGCCAGTACACCTACACATGAACACCGCCTGTATTACTTACTTGCCAATACACCTACACATGAACACCGCCTGTATTACTTACTTGCCAATACACCTACACATGAACACCGCCTGTATTACTTACTTGCCAGTACACCTACACATGAACACCGCCTGTATTACTCACTTGCCAGTACACCTACACATGAACACCGCCTGTCATACTTACTTGTCAGTACACCTACACATGAACACCGCCTGTATTACTCACTTGCCAGTACACCTACACATGAACACCGCCTGTATTACTCACTTGCCAGTACACCTACACATGAACACCGCCTGTATTACTTACTTGCCAGTACACCTACACATGAACACCGCCTGTATTACTCACTTGCCAGTACACCTACACATGAACACCGCCTGTATTACTCACTTGCCAGTACACCTACACATGAACACCGCCTGTATTACTTACTTGCCAGTACACCTACACATGAACACCGCCTGTATTACTCACTTGCCAGTACACCTACACATGAACACCGCCTGTATTACTCACTTGCCAGTACACCTACACATGAACACCGCCTGTCATACTTACTTGTCAGTACACCTACACATGAACACCGCCTGTATTACTCACTTGCCAGTACACCTACACATGAACACCGCCTGTCATACTTACTTGTCAGTACACCTACACATGAACACCGCCTGTATTACTCACTTGCCAGTACACCTACACATGAACACCGCCTGTATTACTCACTTGCCAGTACACCTACACATGAACACCGCCTGTATTACTCACTTGCCAGTACACCTACACATGAACACCGCCTGTATTACTTACTTGCCAGTACACCTACACATGAACACCGCCTGTATTACTCACTTGCCAGTACACCTACACATGAACACCGCCTGTATTACTCACTTGCCAGTACACCTACACATGAACACCGCCTGTATTACTCACTTGCCAGTACACCTACACATGAACACCGCCTGTATTACTCACTTGCCAGTACACCTACACATGAACACCGCCTGTATTACTTACTTGCCAGTACACCTACACATGAACACCGCCTGTATTACTCACTTGCCAGTACACCTACACATGAACACCGCCTGTATTACTCACTTGCCAGTACACCTACACATGAACACCGCCTGTCATACTTACTTGTCAGTACACCTACACATGAACACCGCCTGTATTACTCACTTGCCAGTACACCTACACATGAACACCGCCTGTCATACTTACTTGTCAGTACACCTACACATGAACACCGCCTGTATTACTTACTTGCCAGTACACCTACACATGAACACCGCCTGTATTACTTACTTGCCAGTACACCTACACATGAACACCGCCTGTATTACTCACTTGCCAGTACACCTACACATGAACACCGCCTGTATTACTCACTTGCCAGTACACCTACACATGAACACCGCCTGTCATACTTACTTGTCAGTACACCTACACATGAACACCGCCTGTATTACTTACTTGCCAGTACACCTACACATGAACACCGCCTGTATTACTCACTTGCCAGTACACCTACACATGAACACCGCCTGTATTACTCACTTGCCAGTACACCTACACATGAACACCGCCTGTCATACTTACTTGTCAGTACACCTACACATGAACACCGCCTGTCATACTTACTTGCCAGTACACCTACACATGAACACCGTCTGTCATACTCACTTGTCAGTACACCTACACATGAACACCGTCTGTCATACTCACTTGTCAGTATACCTACACATGAACACCGTCTGTCATACTCACTTGCCAGTACACCTACACATGAACACCGCCTGTCATACTTACTTGTCAGTACACCTACACATGAACATCTCCTATCATACGCACTTGTTACATCTTCACGAGGCAAGAGAGTTAACTGACTTTAAAAGTCCAGTTTCCACCCTTGCCGGACTATGCTGGAATTCCTGTGCTCGATCGTAGCACCACCAGTGGCCATTACGAGTTATGTCCCTTCTAAGCCTCTCCTATGGACCAATCAGATTCCACCTCTCGTATCACTTGTACTTGCTTCAAATAAAAATGCGGCGCCCAACAAGACGATCTGATCGATTATCAATATCTATATTGTTATAAAACGGGTCTTACACCGCGAAGTGCGTCAAATCACGTGAGCACCTTGATTAAAAACATGAACAGATTTGGAAAATAAATGTTGACGCCGAGTTGGCGGTGCACATGCTTTGCAAATCTTGCAGTCGACCGAAATCTGCATGACACTTTACGAACCGGATTTCGATTTCGTTGCGCGATTTTAATTGGACTATGCATAGACTCGTTAGTCCGGCCAAAATGTAACTCCATAATACTAGCCTAGTTCGGCAAGGGTGGAAACTGGACTTTTATAGTCAGTTTACTCTCTTGCCTCGGGAAAATGCACTTGCCAATACATTGACATATTCACTCGAATGCTCTTCAAAGCTGCGTTAAACACAAATCACTACCGTCCTACCGTTTGTCATCATACTCACTTGCCAATACACCTACACATGAACACCGTCTGTCATACTCACTTTACCCGTGATTCCGGGGTAGAATAGGTCTTCAGATACCCATACTTGCCTTAAAAGGCGACTATGCTTGTCGTAAAAGGCGACTAACGGGATCGGGTGGTCAGGCTCGCTGACTTGGTTGATACAAGTCATAGATCCCAATTGCGCGGATCCATGCTCATGATGTCAATCACTGGATTGTCTGGCCCAGACTCGATTTTTTTACAGACCGCCGTCATATAGCTGGAATATTGCTTATTGCGGCGTTAAAAAACAAACAAACAAACAAACAATATATTAATCATACTCACTTGCCAGTACACCGACAGATGGACACCGTCTGTCATACTCACTTGCCAATACACCGAGAGATGGACACCGTCTGTCATACTCACTTGCCAGTACACCGACAAATGGACACCGTCTTCCCAACGTGTGTACATCCCTGGGCTGAGTCCTGGTGGGACACCCGGTGCTGAGAATTAATGGAAAACGACAATAATCTGTAGTAAAATATATTTAATAGACTATACGAGTCTTTGCAAGATATATCGCAATGTCATTTAATGCTGATAGAATACCTATGCACATGAAAACTATATCTGTTGAAACATTTCAGTTAATATTAAAATCCATTCGTAAGAGGTTCATGATCAGATGATCGCTGTGATGACACGATACAGCAAAACCTTGTTAATTCGAACGCCGTTATTCCGGAAAGCCCGTTTTACTGATTACTGTTAGGAACGTTTCTGTACAATGAAAGACATATTGCCATGTATCCGTCATTCGTTAATTAGCATATTCTTTAATCCGGACATTCGTTATTCCGGACGATGTAAGATGTAACGGAAGATTATCGCAGTTCGCTGAATGTTTTACATCGTCGTTACGGCAGCATCCTCTATACATCGCAGGGGAACACATGACTGAGAAATATATTTATATGGTTGCCCATTCGTGTTAATATCCAACCCCATGTGTCGAGGTTTACCTGCTTCCAGTGTAGTTTTATTGATGTAGGTTGGATTGCTCCAATAGGGACTCGATCTCGGTTTAGCCCGAACTTCAGCGAGGTATGTCGTTGCCGGTCTCAGCCGGGCTACCTTGAAGCTGTTGACTGTGCTGGTAAATACCTGGGAGAGTTAGAACATGCCAATTGCTTACACCCATCATGTGAATCTATTACATATGCTGGACAAGCAGTCACGGTTTGGCATATTGGAATCGATTCAGAGGTAACACAACGTAGTAAGTTCATAAAATCAAGAGTTTGTGATTCTTTAGGTAGGTAGGGCCCAATCGTGTAAGGCGCCGTATTTATTTGTGCAGAGTTACGTCCCTTATGCGTGCCAGGAACCAATAACCATAGGTTCGAATCCCCGATTGGGCCTATATATAATCACTGGTTTGTCAGCATTCCGTCCCTGATAGTGGTGGGCCGCACTCAGCAGTATTCCAGCTTTATGACGGCGGTCTGTAAATAATCGAGTCTGGACCAGACAATCCAGCGTTTGACATCATGAGCATCGATCCACGCAATTGGGATACGATGACATGCGTCAACCAAGTCAATGAGCCTGACCACCCGATCCAACCGATCCCATCCGATCTTGCGACAAGCATAGTCGCCATTTACAGCAAGAATGGGTTGCTGGAGACCTTTTCTACCCCGGATCTTCACGGGTCAATGAGTTTTCACTACATCTTTCAGTGTAAGACGTGACCTACCTCACGGTATCCCATCTCACTCTGGGTGACCACCACACTGTATACAGGGTCAGCCCCTGAGATGTGTACTGGCGCGTCCCATAGGAGTGTTATACTGGTGGACGTGACGTTCGGGTCCACCTCAAGCCCTGTTACGGCACTGTATTGCACTGTGAACACAAACTAACTAGATACTGTAACGTGTTAGAACGCTATCGCAGACTGGGTTTGCTGTCAAACAAAATAAAATAAAATTTGAGATGCAGCTTTTGTTTGAACCACAATACGCTTTACATCGACACCCAGATACCTTGGTGTCTTGACAACTGGTTGGTCGTGTGTACAGTGAGAGGATTGTTCAATCCTGACTACAGTTGGTACCATTTGTATGTGTACAATGCACAAAAGACAATGACACATTTCATATTTTTTAGCCCTTCCAAACTGTAGTTTATCACTTATTGGGTATTACAACAACCAGACATTCAAATCACATTTCAAACTTATCAAAATTCATTAAAAAAAATTTAAACAAAAAACCCGCCAACTGGATCTGTCTTCAGCGCGATTAAAATAACATTACCTTTATAGAAACACAAAGGAGCTTTTATTTATTCTGTTAAAAATCATAGTAAATAAGAACCTGATCTGAGTGATGTTGCGGTCGTGAGTGCGGCAACTAACCTATACTGGGCCCTGTGTAGACCGATGTCTCATGGGAAGTCGTGCCGTAGTTGTTGCTGCCATCCACGTGCACCCTGTACACCTGACGCTCCAGCATCTCAGTGGTGCAGAGAAACAGCATCACCCCGTGTCCCGGGGTGGACCGGTCGGGGGACGGGCGACATGTATTGCTGCTGGTCGTGTTGCCAGGTAGGGGAGGACTGTCTCCTGTACATGCCAGCGGGTCGTCTGTTGGTATGTAACTAGAAGAAAATGAAAATCCCTCGTTTCGTGTAATATTCTAGCAATGGTAAAGCGGAAGACACCAAAAAACACACTGTGGCCATATGGGGAATCAGACAAGAGTCTTCAGCGTCACGATGCGACACTTTAACTTCAATGTTACGTCCATAGGCGGATTCAGAGGGAGGTTTCAGGGGGTCCGAAACCACCCCAACCCCCTCACACACCCAACCCCCAAACCCCCAACCCCCAACCTTTTGGGAAGCAAATATAATATGTTGTAGGCAGTAAAATCTGAGAGAGGATTTTGATATTTTGGACCCCTCCCTTTTAAAATTGCTGGATCCGCCCTTGACTTCAACACCTTTCGGACAGGTTTCTTACGTTTATATCGAAGTACACCGGATGAGATGAAATGCAATCTCCATCACCCCACTTCCGCCTATGCATGAATATCGCACAAAACATCGTAAGCAAAGATATATATAGAAGGTGGGGCTTTGGGTACTGATATGGTTGCATAGTCAAATTCATACTGAGACCGTGTCATTGAAATACAGCTGGGAGTTGGAGTGTCAAATTTCAATGATGTCATGTTTCTCCTGTGATAGTCATAAAGGCATTCAGTTAAATGGTTTTAATCCGAACAACAGGTTCCTGTTGAAAGAATATGAAGGTTATGAAGTTATCTCACAGATTTGGTCAAATGTAAAATAATCGGTCTTTATTATCAATGTTACTATCACACATTCTTCTCCTTTCCGTTCATTTATTGTTCATTAAAATGTTCAAGGAACCTATTCCGAGACGAATTAATTATCCTACAAAATGTTACGGGTTGTTTTTTTGTACTTCACGACTAAAGAGTACACGTGCCTCTTCTCACAGGGATCCGTAACATTTCAACAATGTAGTGGCAATGTATTTGTTTCCTAATATGGGAAAGGCAATTATGTCTGGAACTCCTAACTAGTGGGGTTATTTAAAAGGAAAGAAGATCGCTTATTGTGCCCGCTACAGGTACCTACTCCTCAATGCAGTAGGTGAGGTTCCAGTTAGTGTACTGCCCCGTGTCGTTGGTGGTCAAGAAGCAGTTGAGGTTGATGCCGTCGATGGAGGCGCAGGTGATGTTCACCGGTTTAGGTGGGTCTGTGTACGGGATAGTGATAGTTATTTATCCATTCATATTACAAGAGTGAGTGAGTGAGTGATTTGCGTTTAACGCCGTTTTGAACGGTATTCCAGTTACATTAGTGTCAGTTTGGTGCGGGGGAAAGCCCCAAGAAATTTTACATTTTGGGGAAACTCACGGGCATGGACATAGAGCATCTTCCCGAGGCAAGAGAGTTAACTGACTTTAAAAGTCCAGTTTCCACCCTTGCCGAACTAGGCTGGAATTCCTGGGCTCGATCGTAGCGCCACCAGTGGCTATTACGAGTTATGTCTTTTCTATGCCTCTCCTATTGACCAATCAGATTCAACCTCTCGTATCACTTGCATTTGCTTCTAACAAAACGGTGGCGCCCAGTCAAGACGATCTGATCAATAATCAAGATCTATATTGTGATAAAACGAGACTTCCATCGCGAAGTGCATCAAATCACGCGAGCGCCTTGATTAAAAACATGAAAAAGATTTAGAAAATATCTGTTGACAACGAGTTGGCGGTGCACATGCTTTGCAAATCCTGCAGTCGACCGAAATCTGCATGACACTTTACGAACCGGATTTCGATTTCGGTGCGCGATTTTGATTGGACTATGCATAGACTCGTTAGTCCGGCCAAAATGTAACTCCATAATACCAGCCTAGTTCAGCAAGGGTGGGAACTGGACTTTTATAGTCAGTTAACTCACTTGCCTCGGGAAGATGGGACTTAGAGTTGACAGATTTCGAAAAAGACTGTTTATGACTCTGTTGACCAAATACATGACGTATTTAGGAAGGCTGCAAAAACAACTTTCGGACAACAGGTATCAAACTTTCGGTCTAAGCGACTGGTTCAGACGATAGTGTGTGATCAGTAGAACCAAATATCACCTGGCAAAGACTGCTTTCCACGGGCATAAAAGTATCGGCAATACACAAGGTTTATTAAATGTCAATAAATCTTACAAGAAACCTGTAATGACATAATAATCTGCATACTAATATCCTTCAAATTACATTAATCGAGTAGAAAATTCATGATTCAAAATCATCATTTGGGAAGATGTTACTTAATAAAGAGGGGGCACGGGTGGCCCAGTCGTCTAAGGCGCCGCGATTCAATATGCAGAGTTGCGTCCATTTGGCACGCCAGAAACCAATGATTGTGGGTTCGAATCCCGGTTCGCCCCGATTATGTTTCTAGGTTTGTCAGCACCATACACGTGCTCGTGTGTTTCACCGAAGTGGTAAACGTCTGAGACCTACATCACTTCGGGCTTTACTCCCACATTAAGCTGACACGCCGCGATATAATTGGAGTACTGTTAAAATCGGCGTTAAACCCAACTCACTCACTCACTCACGTAATAAAGAACGAAAGTCTGGTATGCCAGCTTTAGAAATACTTTATAGTTATTTAAAAAGCTAAGTGACAATATGCCTGGGTCAATGTCGGATGATCTCTCTGACCACGAGTTTATTGGCATAGGTTTTACTCGTTGCAATGACAGACTTAAAAGAATCGCTGAAAAGCAGAAAGGCATCTGGAGCAGATTATATCATAAATGAATGCTTAAAAAAATATTCGTCTATAATGATGCCTGTGTAGTGTATATAAATAATTGTTTAGCCTATCATTCGGCCATGGTATATTTTCTGAGTAGTGGCTATTTTTAAACCAATATATAAAGGTCAAGGTGATAAAAAAAGAAACAGAAAATTATAGATCTATTAATCTTATAACTTGTCTTGGAAAACGTTACTCTTGCATATTGAGCAATAGAATATATGAGTTTTTAGATCCAAGTTGGTTCCAGAAAGGATTAATCTTCAAGTGGTCATATGCTTTCGATTCACTACCTAATAGATTTACGTAAATCAAGACAGAAAAAAATTGTTTTATAGATTAAAAAATAACCCCTTTGATAGCGTTTGGAGAAATGAAACTGCCAGCACAAGGTATTGGTGGGAAATACATTCAAATAATTAGATCTGTGTAAATAGAATTAAGTCATGTGTTTCCAGTGCAGGGAATTATTCACAATCCTTTCCATGATTAGATGGTGTAAGGCAAGGTGAAACACTTCCGCCAGTTTTGCTTTCTTTGTATATGAGTGGTATAGAGTTGTTTATCAGATAACGGATGAGTAGGTGTAATCATAGATACAGAGTTTTGTAATCCCATGCTCGATGTGACCCGTGTCATGTCTGTGCCGAAACGACGTTCTCCGAGACTTACAGACGTAACAGAATGTTATTGACTAATATTGCAAATCTTGAAAACTAAAAACTAACACTTCCAAAACTATATTGATATTTTGTGGTAATCCTGGGGATAAATTGGCATTATATTTGACAAAAGTAATTATTTAAATGTTAGTACATTTCTGGAAACAGGCTACCAAGTCTATGCATTTGATTTACGGCAAGGCCGTAAGTTACATCTATCACTAAAATGACAACTATTTCCGTTTGATGCAATGGTTGAATCCATTCTTCTAAATGGGGGTGAAATTTGGGGTTTTCAAAACACGAAGGAAACAGATTATATTTATATTACATTTTTTGGAAAACTTTAAAGAAAAGCACGCCTCTATTAATGCTATATAGCGAATCCGGTGGAATACCTTCACATATTTCGGTTAAAGCAAGAGTGATTAGCTTTTAGGCCAAGATAATATAAGGCAAAATTGTCCTCTATTCTTCAATCTTTTATCGAAAGATAAAATTGTTAATTCAAAATATTTTAAACAGTTATCATGTATACAGACAATTTTAAATAATTCTGGATTATCTTGTGTATGGCTAACGCAGAATTTCATTTCTCCTCTCTAATTAAACAATATTCCATGACATAAACCGGCAACACTGGGAGGCGGATACTCCGAATTCCCCCAAAAGATGCCACTTACCGCATATTCTAAAATGAATTCAAAATTGAAAACTCTCACTAAACTCCTTCTACATTTGGCTTTACGTCTTCACTATTTGGGGACATCCTATCACCGCTTACCAGTTGAGTGAGTATGGTTTTACACCGCTTTTAGCAATATTTCAGCAATATCACGGCGTGACGAGCGAACGCTTTAACCACTACCAGTTGAAGTTGGGAGATATCCGATATTGGAGATGAAAATCATTGCATTTTTCTGTGTTCAACTTCCGAAATTTAAAGTCTGAACGAAGGAAAGTCTTCCTAATTGTCAATTAGCTTGACCAAAAATAGTTTTTTAATATCTTTTGTTAATGTTAGAAGCTCGGAATCATGAAAAAATATGCTAATTCTGAAATATCATCATGAAATGTTTTAAATCTTCAACAACAACAACAACAACAACAACAACAACAACAACAACAACAACAACAACTTTCTCGCTCTCGTTACTATTAACCCCCAACCGCCATCACCATTGCTCTAATCCCTTAACCCCTGACATCCACTGCCAGCACTCTCATCACCTTTTACCCGTGAAGATCCGGGTTACAATAGGTCTTCAGCAGCCCATGCTTGTAACAGGCGTCTATGCCTGTCGCAAGAGGCGGCTAACGGGTGGTCAGGCTCGCAGACTTGGCTGATGCATGTCATCGTAACCCCATTGTGTAGATCACTGGATTGTCTGGATACAGACTGCCGTCATAATGCTGGCATATTGCTGAGTGCGGTAACACTAATCTTCTCATCAGTTAACCCCCTGCCACCTTCACTATCGCTCCATCCATTACTTTCCCTGTCGTCACCAAAAGCAACTTGCACCCAACTTGCACCCGAGTTGATTTAAGCCAGATCGTTAACACCATGCAACCTAAGGATCTGTCACATTATTGAAACATATATGTCTGCACGTACCGCCATATCTGAGCGTGACCGGGGCTATCCTCGGATGGAATGGATTCCGTTCGGTCATAGATGGGCAACTGTTGACACAACATTGCCCGAAAAACGTCCCTGGTGCCATTTTGGTTACCGTGAGCTGTGCTGTGGCGTCATCACGCTTAATCACGTCATGACGTTGACGGTCGTTCAGTGCGATAACGAGACTGCTTGAATTATACACTGATGACGTCACCCTACATGTGAGATTCACTGTCCTACCAACTGGGATGTAATAATAGCCGGCAGAAAACGTTGCGGCGCCATCAACCGTCATATTTGGAGCTGACGGCGAAGCTGAAAAATTCAGTTGAAGAATAGAAACTGTTATGATGTGTGATAAAAGAAGACATTTTGTTACTACAAGTGTTCTCTAATTTAACCGCCTCTGTCTAGTAGATAGAGCGGGGGCACGGGTGGCCCAGTCGTCTAAGGCTCCGCGATTCGCTGTGCAGAGTTGCGTCCCTTGGCACGCCAGAAACCTATGATTGTGGGTTCGAATCCCGGTTCGCCCCGATTATGTTTCTAGGTTTGTCAGCACCATACACGTGCTCGTGTGTTTCACCGAAGTGGTAAACGTCTGAGACCTGCATCACTTCGGGCTTTCCTCCCACATTAAGCTCACACGCCTCGATATGACTGGAATACTGTTTAAAGCGGCGTTAAACCCAACTCACTCACTAGTAGATAGAGCGTCCGTCCGCCCGCAGAGAAGAAGGTCCGATCCCCTGGCCGCTTCATGTGGCACTTGTTGTTACCCTGGTACGTACGCACGCACGCACACAGACACACAGAGACACACAGACACACACACACAGTGAGTGTGAGTGAGTGAATAATTGAGTGTCTGTTTGAGAGTGTGTAAGTGTGTGTGAATGTGTATATTGTGCGCTTGTGTGTTTGCGAATTGCGAGCGTGTTTGAGTGAGTGAGTGAGTGAGTGAGTGGATGTAAGAGTATGTAGGTCTGTGTGCATGTTGGTGTGTATTAACATTCGTTTGTCAAGGGGAATGAAATCATTTCAATTATTTCACAAGGCTGTCTTCATGTATTATTGAATGTATTACTCACAGATATCGACCGCCTCTGTAATGCCGAACAGTGGCAACACCAGACAGAGCAGCGTGATGCGTGACGGCGTCATGGTGTCACGTATGTCACGTATGCAGCTCACACATCTGAAGGTAACAGTGATATAATGCAATATAATAGTGAACCGGGTTAACACACTTTCAACAATAGTTTCGTAATGTCAGGGCGTGGCAGGTTGATGTGCGTGCGCATAGTGATGCAGGCCCTAGACGTGAACCACACTGATGACTGAAGATGAGCACAGGCAATAATAATAATAATAATAATAATAATAATAATAATAATAATAATAATAATAATTGCATTTATAATGCGCCAGATTCCATTCACCAAGTGAATGTTCATAGCGCTACACTATTATTACCCCGGTCAATGGATCAGTGAGCACTCGATTTTCATTCTCAGCTCCCTGGGGAGTATACAACCCAAGCTGTCTGTGAGGCGCTAGAAGGTTAACAGCCATCTCATCCTACCGAGTACCCACTCACTGCTGGGTGAACAGAGGCACATTTCCAACAAAGTCACTTGCCTAAAGAGACACCACATGTGGTACATGTGCTTCAGTGTGGGGGCAGGACCGAAGGCCTAGAAACTCTCAGGAGTCAAGCTGCTTAACGTGGTCACCCATCCAACTACTCTCCGAGACCAACGTTGCTTAAGTTCACCTTGCGTTGTGCACAGGACCACGTGCCACCACGTGCCACGTATTGTGCTGGCATATCAATAATCATAATCATATCGTATTTAGTACTTGAACACACGATCACAGGAGGAGTCTGGTTCGCCTGAGATACGCAGTTCTGCACTGTAAGAGTGAGTGAGTATGGTTTTACGCCGCTTTTAGCAATATTCCAGCAATATCACGGGCGACACCATAAAATGGGCTAACACATCGTATCCATGTGGGGACTCGAACTCGGGTCTTTGGTATGACGAGTGAACGCTTAAACCTGTAGGCTACCCGACCGCCCCTGCACAGTAGGCATGTGTCAGAATTATGGATCTTACTATAGGCAACAAATTGTTGTGTAAACAGCATTGAATCATTGACAACAAAGGTGTTACTTGATATACATCATTTAACCATTGAACGTGAGCATAATACAATATCTCCATATTTACAAAAGGGTCATATCACTAATCGGTTAGCCGCCAAGGAGACACAAGAAGACGTGGTCATACGATATACTTTCCGAAATTTAGGTTAAATTGCTCTCGCTAAAGGTAGGCTTGAAGCAGTAACCAAATCTCGGAAAGGATATCGTATGACCACGAGGCACGTATCTGCTCGGGTTGTCCGTTCATAGTTAAATATGCGACTGCTGAAAATAACGAGATTCTGTATAGTTTTTAGCGTTTAGTGAGGGCAATGTTTTTTTTGTTTATTTGTTTGTTGTTGCCGTACTCAGCAATATTCTAGCTATATGACGGCAGTCTGTAAATAATCGAGTCTGGAGCAGACAAGCCAGTGGTTGACTTTATGAACATCGATCCACGTAACTGGGATACGACGACATGCATCAACCAGGTCAGCGAGTCTGACCACCCGATCCCGTTAGTCGCCTCTTACTAAGAGAATTTACTTTCTCTTGTGTGCTTTCATTGGAGTATGAACGTTCATAGAGTGTTGGCCAAACTGTATGGACGTCGGAGCTATTTTTTGGGTATAATACTATCGAGTTCGTGTCACTTCATGTTTACACTCAGCAATACAACAATCAGTTGTATCGAGGAACTAAATAGTTCCTCAAAAAGAGAGGTGACGTTACCATATGTACGCACAAATTGATCTCCAGTAACATCTTTTGAAGTTTGGTTACAATAAATTATTAAAATAATATCATCACAAGATGAGAAAGGTCTGTTAAGAACTACCTCAATTGTCGGTCACAGCCATGGCGCGTCCTAACAGAGGTGAGGTGAGGTGAGGTGCGGTGAGGTGAGGTGAGGTGCGGTGAGGTGAGGTGCGGTGAGGTGAGGTGAGGTGAGGTGAGGTGAGGTGAGGTGAAATGGGGTTTAACGTCGCGTCCAAGATTATTGCACATATATAGCGACGTGCTTGTACGTGTGTGTGTTTGTGTGGCTGCTTGTACTAGTCCGGACTGATGCCGATTTATAGTGCTAGCTCACTGAGATACCCTGCCGCAGTTTAACATGAATACCCCACTCAGACACAGTATTCTGACTCCGAGCCGACCAGTCCATGTTTTAGCCCCTTAATGCCGAGCGCCCGACAGGGTAACAACAAGTACCATCTTTTAACGTCTTTTGGTATGACGCGGTCGGGGATCGAACTCCGGACTTTCCGCTCTCCGGGCGGACGCTCTACCACTAGACCACAGAGGCGGTCGCGTCGTAATAGATGTACAATGTACATCGAGTGCAGAAATGGCCGACACGAACAATGGGCATGCACTCTCAGACTTTTCCCATCGAAACCGAAACAACTCCTCTCTTAGTATTCGTGCTGGGGAATTCTCAGGGGTGTCCCAGGAATGTGGAAGTAGTCCGTCAGTGTTTACGTCATTTCAAGAATACGGTCTGTCAAAATGTCAAAATGTGTCATGTCACTGGCCATTTTCATTGTAGTGAACATATGTCTTGGACGGAACTTTTGTCAATACACGAGTTACCTCCCCGCAAATTGCCTCCCTTTATCGTAAATGTCTAGCCCGTACACAAACTGCTGCCTTCCGTTTTATATGTGTATGTGTGATGGTACCTATACAGGTATACACAGTATATGTACAAACACATATGTATTATCCATATAGTAAATTATATGTGTATTAGTCCAAAACAAGGAAAAACAGACGCTGAATGTGGTTGAATGAACAGAACACAAATTGATACGGACATTAACGCACATTTATAAGTGTATATGTAATGACATATACAAGTATATTCATGATGTCATGAACGGCAACAGGTGGAATGAGACGTAAAAGAACATGGAACATATGTGTGGGTATATGATTGCATTATACAGCTATACCAGTCATGATGAACTGGAAATGGGGGCCACACCGGACCCCCCCTTTAAGATGTATATGCATATGGGGAACATTGTCATTAAGTTTTATATATGAATGAGTAGGTTTGTTTGTTTGTTTGTTTGTTGTTTAACGCCGCAATAAACAATATTTCACCTTTATGACGCCGGTCTGTAAGTAATCGAGTCTTGACCAGACAAGCCAGTGATTGACATCATGATCATCGATCCACGCAATTGGGATCGATGGCATACATCAACCAAGTCAGCGAGCCTGACCACCCGATCCCGTTAGTCGCCTCTTACGACAAGCATAGTCGTCATTTACGGCAAGTGTGGGTTGCTGAAGACCTTTTTTACACCGGGCCTTCACGGGCCAAATGAGTAGGTCAGGTATAAAGTGCTGTTTGATATATTATTAATACAAACAAGGAACAGGATGAAAACTATGACTGTGGTATGACGAGAAAGGTAGGACAAGTTCGAGTACCTGTGTGTTAAACAATTCTCATGGAAAAAAGTCCCCAGGGGATTCCGGGTGAGAAATGGTCCCCAGCAACATTGGCCGGTCGTACGTAGGGATGGGCAGACTCGGTGATTTGGTAGATTGCCATCTACCCTAACGGCGTGGTCCGTTGTGGACAATATGTCCTTAGATTGACTGGTCCAGAAGCGATTATTTACAGGCCGACGTCATCTAGCAGGAATATTGCTGAGACCGGCCTTAAACAACAAACAAATATGACAAAAAGTGACGAATATTTACCTGCGCCAAGGTGGTCGCAATATGGACGGCTGGATTGGACGTATCATCACCGGGAAATGACACTAACAATATGATATCAGGTTATACAGACTGTGTTCAGTCTCGATTTGGATTATTTGTATTAGTAATACACATTGCTCCCATTGACTTTGTCTTACGAACTAATTTGCATCTGGTCGTCTTATGTTTACATTAGACTCGTACATCTTTTATTCCTACCGGTATATGTCTTTTGAGAATGCAATATTATCTTACACGTCTCAGACACCCAAGATTATTACAATATCTTGTTTACCATCACCTTTATTAATAAGTGTAGTAAGGTGGATTTCATATTTATTCAATTTTTTATATTTTCAAAACACTCCAAATTAAATTCCCAACTACACTTGAACACGCTGATATACAGTAGTTGAGAGAATATTATGTTTATGCGGCCTGTCCTATTTGATGAGTTAATCTCGAACGCCACTGCGGGCGCCATGGTGGGCTATGGTTGTTGTGATAACAATACTTGACTGGGTCAAAGATCCCTTTTTATCACAGACACACACATGATTTGGTTACGAGTGGGAGGAGAATGTAATACAGCGCTGTGACTTATCTGCAATGTACTCTGGCGGTGATGTTTTCAGATACCTGTTTATTTCAAAACTTAATATATGTCTCACGCTACAAGATTTCTTATGAAAGATAAATATAAAAAAATATAAAAAAATAAAAAAAATAAAATAAAATAATAATAAATAAATAAATAAATAAATAAATAAATAAATAAATAAATAAATAAATAAATGATAGTGTTGGTGGTGATAGAGACGAAAATTCAATACTTCAGTATTTGTTTGCTACTAGATTTCTTACGAAAGAATAAATAAATAAATAAATAAATAAATAAATAAATAAGTAAATAAATAAATAAATAAATAAATAAATAAATAAATAAATAAATAAATAAATAATAAAAAAATTTAATGCGAATGTTAGTGTTGGTGGTGTTAGAGACGGAAAGTCAATACTTCAGTATTTGTTTTGTCACTGTTTCAAGCGCTGTTTCCATGTACGTTGCAATAGACTATGTACGAACATGTTCACTGACTAGCGAGACACATGTACTGGGTGAGTGGAACATGTAGTCTGACTTACAGACCCTGATACAAATATGTATCAAATACAGCCCATGCAAGTCTATAATGTTTGGCTAATCTAGATCACTGCAGTATCTGAAAATGAAGAGAGTCACTGGGCTCCTTTTTATTATGTTTTTATTAAGATAACCGAACAACTGTTTTTTCTGTACGATATGTTCATTTCAGAGACTAGATGTTAGTCTATGGAACATGCAGTAATTTCAAATATGCAAGTTGCAGTTACTGTTATCGGTATCTCCGTGTGCATTATTTATAGACGATGAGTATTTGTAAACAGAATTTCAAATTGATTTATTGAACTCCTACACTATTAAAAATACAAAATGTCACAAGAGTTTTCACGGAATATATTGTGTTGGCATCACTGACACAACACGAGGTTCAGACCAAGTCGTGTTAATTTACGTTTTCAGTACTGGAACTTCATTTAGAAACCTGATGCGTCAACGTCATGTAACGTCTGTTAACGTCATAAATGGTCCAGAGGGATGACCATCCCCAAATAAAGCGTGACCACCTTAGGCCCTGATACATGATCTATGTATGCGAGCACGTCTGATGAAGCAGTCTGATTAGGTAATGTATCAGATGTGTTGATGTTGACGTTACGTCGTCACACGTGGAACGCCAGTACATGGATGACGTTGCCCTGAGTGTTATACCTAGCACTAATGGTCGACAGGTGAACGATGAAACGTATGACAACACCATGATAACATCAGGCGTTCAACAAGCCATGTTCACCGAAGTGGTAAACGTCCGAGACCTGCCTCACTTCGGGCTTTCCTCCCACATTAAGCTGACACCATATAACTGGAATACTGTTAAAACCGGCGTTAAACCCAACTCACTCACTCAACAACCGATGGCCTGCCCCCCCCCCCCCCCCCCCCCTCCTTTCCGCTGACATAAGTCGTTGCAATGGTGTACGTGTCTCATCTGCGTTTACAGGACCTAGATCTGTAGCAAGCATTTCCAGAATCTGGCGGTCAGAAACGTGTGGGTTGTTCTTCACAATATCAGTGGAGTTTCGTAATGGCCCAAGTTCTGCTACTTACTGAAATACTGGACCTATATCATGTTTATGAAAATGCGAAATAATAAGTTTAAAGCTCTGGGAATAGAACTTCCGAACATAATATAAATCGTTATATAAATACTGTAACAATTATGGTCCGGAAGCCCTTATAAATGATATAGGTTCGACTTAGTTAAAATTATTAATTCAAAGGGCTTAAAACCTGCCTAAATCATGCTTCATGTGCTCTGGTAAAATCACTTTTTTTACTTACTCTCCAGAGAGAAAATGATTGTTGCTACCTAACTTACTTCCGGTTTGGCATTGACAGCGATTATTTCTGCAGCAGGATAATAGAAGATGCGTTAATGGATGCGTCGAAAGAAATGAAATGTGTGGCTGTGTCTACCAATGATGTTTCCTGCTTGGGTCAGTTGATCGCGGGTTCGAATCCCAGACTTCTCAGATTATTTAACCCTGGTCTGACACCTGTTTTCGTTGGTTTCACTAACGCGTAGTCGTATCATGCGTCACTGTGTTTTTTGCCACCACTATCACGCAGTGTTATTTCTGTAATTCCTGTAAATACTTGAGTCTCACCCCCCAAAACAGCAACACAACAGATGGTCCTCGATCTGAAACGTTGAGAGCATGGTCACGCACTCCTCTTCAGGCGGCTGCTGCATCAGAACCAGACTCACACATCCCATACACAAGTCCCATGTGCCGGGAACGGGGGTGAGAGCAGGAGATTTTTTTTACGAGCGCTTCCTGTACTTCGCGTACTTTCAAAGACTGCATTGAGGCCCTTCATAATTTATTTAGAGTGAGAGAGTTGGACTTTACGCCGCTTTTAGCAATATTCCAGCAATATTTCGGTGGGGGGCACCAGAAATGGGGTCCACACATTGTATCCATTTGGGAATCGAACCCGGGCCTGCAACGTGTCGAGCGAACATTTTGACCCCTAGGCTACCTACCGCCTAAATTTCGAATGACATCCTATGGACAAGGATGGCCCAGTCGTCTAACGCACCACAATATAAATTGTGTCCTTCAGTTGTACCAGACATCTTCGATCCTGTGTTCGAATCCCAGTTCGCTCGTGATTTTGTTTCAAAGTTTGTGAGGACACTAACCGCGCTCGTGGGTTTCATCGAACTAGTAAACGTCTATGACCAACGCCAAAATAAAGATGTCAAATGAAATGCCGTCTTTACATACATTTACCTGCCCTTCTCTGAAGGGATGGCTATACTTCTTCAAAATGCTACTAAATCTGGACAATCTTTGGTACTCAACATGGGCATCAACCATTCGTTATATGTTATTTTATCACGGCTTAGGTTATCTGTGGTTGTATCAAGGTCATTCGTCACCACTCGCCCCTTTCCGTAACCTGCAAGAAGACTCGTCCCCCTATCGATGAATGTCATGTGCCAAAATACGACAAACCAATCAAAATGCGCGTATGATTTCAAGTTCTTCGTCAAAGAATCCCTCAGAAATAATTTTTCATTTTACATATGTCTTGCATCTAAATATATACCCGAGACACATTTTAATGTGTTCAATCATACTGTATAATTCCGCATGTCGAGATGTGCTTTAAATTGCATCTGAAATATATATAATATATGGGAAAATATATGTGAACCATTACGCAACTAGTTGACAAATGTTTTAGGTATGCCCGTTTGCGCTTAGACGGAACCCGGTCGCAAAAATGGCCATGTGAGGGGCACGAGTCGCTATTCGGCTTGTCCCGGAATAACACGAGTTGGTCACGAATGGTATCAAGGTATCGATAATAAACATGATTCTTTTAGATTTCATTGAAAGTCACCAGATACGTTTCATCAGGACTGGAGCTCGACACTTGAAAACAGTTCTAGATATGCCATGTACAGATCTTTTAAATCGATATTTGAACCTCAGTTGTACTTAAATGTTATAACATGCAAATCTCTGCACATAACATATTCAAGATTTCGTCTCGGATTGTCTGAAATAAAGGTTAACATTGGACGACATCGCCAATGAGATTTTGTCCTTTCAACCAAAATTGTATAGAGGACGAATGTCATATACTGTTTGTTTGTATTGTTCATACTAAGGATATCATACATGTATATTTCACAGAAATACCTGCGTTTACCAAATTTGTATTCATGTAAATTTTTCTTAAACTCTAATGATTGAAAAGCTGTTTTTAGGTTAGCCCTATTTGTTCACCATGCACAAGAATGTTATGGTATCGTGACGTCATTTCGTAAAATAATTGTGTACACCCACTTTGTAACATTATCTGCACAGATGTATTGTGTGCATCACATCCCTATAGCTAGCTGTGTTGTAGTCACTGACATTATCTCTTTGTACTCTTGTTTTGTATATGGGCCGGAGGCCCTTTGTACAATAAAACATCTTCATCTTGATCATTCACCATCGCCTTAACGATATTCTGGTCGTGGCTCCTCTGGTGAATCATAGATGTATGACCCAGGGTCTCATTTCTCTTAGGGCTAAGTCATACATTCAGGATTTTTATTGCCGTCCTTGATAGAACCATTCCCGATTTAAATTTGTCAAAAGTCTGATCAGGATCCTGTGATTGGTGGCAGGAAATTCACAAACAATCAGATATTGTTCAGGAAGCGTCCCGATTCAGCCGTTACCAGTCGAATCCGTCCCGATTCTCAATCCGAATCTGATATGATATGTATGTTCCGCATGGTAAAAAATGCGACCCGACAGAGATCAGACAGTGACCGGACAGTGAACCGACAAAGACGGTTCGAATGCGGCAAGATCTGGACGTAATCTGGACTCAATTCATACCCGTTCATCACGACAGCGTTCAGACAATGA